GTATTAAATTAATTATTCTTTATAATTTTATCTTTTATATTTTCTTATAGAGTATTATAAAGTAACTCTATTATATTATTATTATTTTATATAAAATAGTTTAAAATACACTTAAATTCCTCTATAAAATATTAAATAGATTTAGTCTACTTAAAGGCTTTAATTTTATATATAATAGTATATACTTTATTTAAGTCTCTAAAGGTAGTTTAAAGTAACTCTTTAAAGTATTTATATTATTTAAAGATTTATATAGTTTTATCCTTAGGTTCTTTATTATTAAAGTAGTCCTTAAGAGTTAGTTCTTATTATTCTATTATTTATTTTATAAAAAGGTTTTTAATATAAAGTATTTATACTATAAGGTTAATAATAATAGTATTTATATATAAGTAGGTCTTTATTTAGGTTAAAAAGTTTTAAATATCTCTTAAATATCTCCTTTAGTTCTATTAAATAAGTTAGGTTTAAGAAACTTTAATAAAGTAAGGGTTCTATTATTAGTATTCTTTATAGTCTAGATTTAAATAATAAGTATATTAATCTACTATTTTATTTATACTATAGTATTATTTAGATTAGTTATTATACTACTAATAGTAGATATTATAAAGGTTAATTATTTATAATTTTAAATATAACTTATTAAATAAGACTAATTAAAATATAATAATAGTTTAATTCTAATCTATAGTTAGTTTACTTTTTAAGTAAAGAGTTAGTTTAAATATATAAAGTATATATAAGTAGTTATTATAGTAGAAGTTATATTAAGAAATATCTTCTAATAGTAGAACTATTATTTAGATTAATTAGTAAAGATCTAGACTATTTAACTATAAGAATACTTTCTCCTTAAGTACTTATTTATCTCTCTATTATAACTCTAGATAGTTAGATTATTTATTTATCCTTTAATTATTCTAATTATAGTAATTAATAAGTAATCTATTAATTACTTTATAGATTATATAACCTTATATTCTATTCTAAGTACTAGTATATCTAATTTAGTCTAACTTACTTAGCCCCACTTATATATTCTATATATTTATAATAGATTAGTACTAGATTACTCTAATCCCTAGTAATCCTAGTTATATAACTAGTTCTTTTATTTTTATACTCTTATAAGCGCCCTATAGTTACTTATTAGACTACTCTACTCCTTATCTATAGTACTTTAGTGTATTTATAATAATATAATAGAGAATAGAATAGATATATAAGGAAGGAGATTTCTAGTAGATAGTTAAACTAGATCTCTACTAATTAATCTAAGTAATAACTTTACTATTAGGAGATATCTCCTAATATAACTTATACTATAATAACTACTTATATATACTCTATATATTTAAACTAACTCTCTTTTTAAATAATAGACTAACTATAGATTAGAATTAAACTACTATTATATTAATTTAAATAATAGTTCTACTATTAAAAGAATATCTTTTAATATAATTTATATTATAATAACTATTTATTAGTACTTTATATATTTAAACTAACTCTCTTTTTAAAAGGAAGACTAACTATAAACTAAGGATTAAGTATAATAGTAGTTTAATCCTAATCTATAGTAAATCTATTTCTTAAGTAAAGAGTTAAATAAATATATATAGAGTATATATAAGTAAATAATATAGTATAAGGTATATTTACAGATTACGCCTAATAGTAGAACTATTACTTAGATTAATTAGTAGAGATTTAGTCTAGTTATTTACTAGAAATCCCCTTCTTTATATATTTATTCTATTTTCTACTATATTACTTAGATTACTAGCTTATACTAGGGTTATAATCCTTTCTTACCTTACTAGCTTATAGTACTCCTAGAAGCCTATTATAGTTAAGTGACTTCCTGTCTTAATTAGGCGTCCTACAGGCGCCCTACCTAGCTTCTTCCTTAGGCCGGCCTATATTATCCTTAACTGTTCATAACATTAAGCTACTATTATAACTCTATAGTTACTTACTAGACTACTTTACTTTTTATTATCTATTTATAAGTATATTTATACTAAGATTACTATAAATAGGTACTATAAAAGGAATATATTAAATTTCTTAAAGAGAGAAGAAAGATAGTAGCTATCCTAGAATATATCTAGTTAAAAGGAGTGTATACCGTGAGCCAGTGAGCCAAGAAAGGATCACGACCTCAGCGTGAGCCAGTGATCCAGGTAGCACAGTAGAGGATAGGAAGGGTATATAGGGAAGGGGATTCCCAGTAGATAGCCAGACTAGATCTCTACTGATCAATCTAAGCAATAGTTCTACTATTGGGAGTAATCTCCTAAACGTGACTCAAGCTACGATACTGCTCATCTGCACCTGTGGTGCATTCAACCTGACTCACTTCCTAAGAAACAGATTTACTGTGGATTAGAGAAGAGCCACCGTTACAAGTATATACTACCTTCTAACTATTAATAGCTTTAGACTATAAGACTATAGACTAGAGTAGACTAGAGTAGACTAGAGTCTAACTCTATTATAAGATCTTTATTCTACTATTACTTAATTTTAACTATAGCTCTCTACTTTTAACTACTTTTCTAGTAAAGTCTATATATAAATAAGTCTAATAAAAGAGTAACTCTAAAGTAGTTAATAGTAGAATAATCCTTATAAACCTTTATACTACTCTTATATAATAGGTATAGAGTGTATTCTTCTATTATTTAGTTTCTTTATTATATACTTATAAGTAAAACTATGCACAATTTAGGGGCAAATGACAGGAGGGTTATAATATGGGGTGGACAACGGGGTACAGCAGAAGTCCGAATTCACAGAACTCGCGTGGATCCGCGTCGTAGATGTTAGACAGATCGTAAATAGATTCGACAATTGTTCGGGCACAAAGGCGAATTCGACCGGTGGCACGATGCACGGCGGACAGCAATCTTTACCCCCCAGCTTTTCAACCGTTAGGTAAATTAAACTACTGACTTCTCTAGCACGGATCTCTAGGCTAGGACTAAACAAGAGTAGAAATAATATCTCATTAGCTTTACCCGAAACTGTGAGGAGCCAGACATTAGTTACCAGACATTCATCACGCCAGCCATCCCGCATACTATAATTGTGAAAATCCTTTCTCCAAGCCATTTCACTGTCCCCGAGTACTTCATTTCCTTACTTGATAAGCTCCTTGCATATCTCATCTGCTTAATAGCACTAGAGAGGGGAACCCGCGGGTTCGAAACTTGGGCAGCCATCTCGATTTATAAGAACAGGTCCAAGATCAATAATCCAGCTGTCTCTTTGGTTCTCCCCACTTGCGTTGAACCAGTTGGGCAGCTGCATCGCTCAACAAGGTCGGCGCTCACCAGCCAGACTCGAAAAGTCTTTCGTAAGATATTTCCCATAGAAAAGAAGGATTGTCATAATTCCATGAGAATCTGCGTGCGGTTCTTACAAATCTCTGCGTAGATACCTGGATTCGCATTATTAACCGCTGACAAACGGCAGCATCCTGCCTTTGCGCAGCAGCAGCAGCTCCGGCCCTTCCGCGACGAGGAGAAGCTCTGATGTACATTCAGAGCTCAGGGGACCTCAATGTTGTTTCGATGGCGAGCGGTGCAGGTGAAAAGCATAAAGCTGCCTCACCACCCTCCCTCGCTCTGCCTTGGAGGTATCTCTCTGCATCTCGGACTCCATTCACTTCTACTTCTCGCCGTGTTCCTTGAATCGCACAAAGATTTCCAGCATGTCTCTCAAACCAATTACCGTTTACAACCACGGCAAGTTCATGCCTCAGTTCAATTCTCGACCATGTCCAGCAACGTTGCAGCTAACAAGCCGAAACAGCCTATGGCCCCAACCCTAAGAAGGTCAACATTATTCTCGAGGAGCTCAGCGTTCCCTACAAGCTGGTAACTAGCGATGTGGAGTTACGTCAGAGAGCCTTTTAGAGTCTAACAGTACACTAGATTGTCATTGAGAATCCTAAGGATGAGGAGTACCGCAAGATTAACCCTAATGGCCGTCTCCCCGCCATCATCGACCCTAACAACGATAGCCTCACCCTGTGGGAGTCTGGCGCCATTGCTGAGTACCTCGTCGAGACCTATGACAAGGAGAACAAGATTAATGCCACCGCCGGCGCCGACAAGTGGCATCTGAAGCAGTTCCTGCTCTTCCAAATGTCCGGCCAGGTAAATACGCGCGACAGAAAGCCCATCTGCATTGTAAGCCGTCGCCGCTAACAGTCGAAACAGGGTCCGTACTACGGCCAGGGTGTCTGGTTCCATAAGTCTCACGGCGAGGACGTCCCCTCTGCTAAGAAACGCTACCTCGAGCAGATGGAGCGTGTCTGGAGCGTCCTGGACGACCTCCTCAAGGGCCAGGAGTATCTCCTAGGCAGCAAGCTGTAAGTAAATTTCGTGGTCTACTGCCCAGAAACACGCGTTGCTGATACGTGCTCACAGGACCTACGTCGACCTCTGCTTCGTTCCCTGGGAGTTCGTCGCACACAACTTCCTCGGCGAGGAGTTAAAGGCCGCGGGCTACAACGCCGAGAAGAAGTACCCCAACTACTGGGCCTGGTACCAGCGCCTGCTGGCCCGTCCTTCCGTTAAGAAGACCTACGGCCTGTAATTAAAGAACGTAGCATAAGATAGACAGATTGTGGGTGGCGATTTTCGTCTCGACGCAGAATAAAGAATGATGGCACTCAAAGAAACTCCTAGAAAATGCATATGCTCATTTATGACGTATATACATCTCGGCTACCTTGACAACCTGTAACTAGGGGGAGGGAGCTTGCCAGTATGCCACTAATCATCCCACATGGACACTTTTGCCCTTTCCGAAGCCTCTGCCTTTCCCTGTTGCTCGGCGCGCTCCTGGTCCCTGCGTTTTCTTTCTTGCTTCCGCACCGACTTTTGATATTCCCGCTGCTCGTCCGTCTGCTTGGGTGCCTTGAGGCCCGGCCCCGCAGCAACGAGCCTGCGCGCCACGGCGTCCGTCTTTTCCGGCCTGCGGCCATCGCGGGTAAATGGCTGTGACGAGCCAAAGTTGGCTTGGCTACTCCAGTCATCTGGCGGGCCCAAAAGAAGGCGTCGCCGGCGTGGGAGGAGGCGCGACGGGAGCAGCCTCGGCTGAGGTGGTGCCCTCAGGCGTTGTTGGCTCCTTATCACGACCTATAAATAGTCACGTACGAATAAGTAGCTATAAAAGGGCGAGAATATAGTAAAGAACTACTAAAGAAAGACTACTCTTTCTCTAATAATTAATAAAGTTATTATTAAGAATAATCTACTATCCTCTAGCTATATTCTAGTAATCTCCTTATAATCTCTCTTTCTACTTTCTTTATACTAGCTATTTTCTTTAATACTCTTCTAACTTAGAGACGTCTTAATCTTCCTACGAGTTTAGCCACTTTATTCTTTACTTTAATCTTATTTAGTTTATCTTTATTTAGACTTAGATTAGAGATTAATAATTAATTTTATATAAAATATAATATTAGTATTAATAGAGGCTATTTTACTCTACTAAATACTACTTTAATTCTAGTAAAAATATACTAAGTTAGTCTCTTTTATAGTTTAAATAATAGCTTCTATAAGAAATTCTAAATCCTAAAGTATTCTATTAAGTCTAAGTTTTTTTTAATACTAAATTAATTAAGTAAGAAAACCCTACTTTTAATACTATAAGGCTTAATATTTTAAGTATTTTAAGATTTTTATATATACTCTCTATACTATTAGGTATTATAACTTTATTACCTTATTATTCTAGTAGAAAGAGTAGAAGGAGTAGAATCCTATACTCTAATTAGCTAGAATAATACACTAGTAAGAAATAAGTAGAGTGTTACTAAGACGTATCTAATCCTATAAAATTCATGTATTAAATTTCAGGCCTCACGATTTCTAGCGACGAGTGGACGTTGCTAATAAACAAGAATGCCGCAGATGTAAATAATTGACTTTTTTTTAGAATACATATACATGACCCAAGTCTTGGCGTGTCGCTACTGTAGTTGCCTTGACAAGCCGCCGTTCGTCTTTAGTGCCTACCTAGACCATGGACAAATCGATCAGTCATGGACTTTGCTCGACTTTGCCAAGGTTTCCCTCATTGGAAATTTTTTTTCTCTGGATAAAAATAGGGGCAGAAAATGTCGCCATTACTGGATCGACCAGTGATCAATCGAGCGACAGAATTCGCACTGCTGCCAAGAAACCTTGTCCGCTCCTCCGCAGCCTCTTTCCATGTCCTCATCGGCCAAGACGCGCCTCGTCCGAATGGCCAGGTCGCCTTGAAAAGGTTGCATGGCCCCATGAAATATTTGCTGTCAAGTTTCAGGTAAATTACCGTTACTTCTCTGGCCTTTACGACGCCGTATCGCCTCTACCAAACTCTGCATACATGACCACGACATCCTCTCAACCACCACCGTCGACGCCCGGCTCTTCGTGAGCATATATACCCCATCATGGGCGCATTCGCCAAAATCGCCAACCTCGTCGCGCCCAAGAGCCGCAAGTCCTCCGACGGCCGCGACCAGTGGCCCTCACGCGCCGCCTTCCTCCTCGCCTCCATGGGCGGCTGCGCCGGCATGGGCAACCTCCTGCGCTACCCCAGCCAGACCTTCAACAACCACGGCCTGCAGTGGTTCCTCCCCTACCTGCTCTGCGTCGTCCTCATCGCCGTTCCCGTGCTCGTGCTGGAGATTGCCATCGGCCAGGCGTACCGCGGCGGCTGCGTCGTCGCCTACAACAACCTCTCCCACCGCCTCAAGGGCGCCGGCCTGTCCCTCGTCTACGTCGGCGCCGTCGTCAGCCCCTACTTCGTCGTCAACCTCGCCTGGGTCATGATCTACTTCCGCCACTCCTTCACCAGCCCGCTGCCCTGGACCGGCCGCAGCGAGGAGTTCTACATGCAGGACGTCGTGGCCAACGTCGACCCGGTGCCGGGAAGCTTCTCCGCCAACGGCGCGTCGGTCACCAGGTACGTCCGGTACCCCGGCGTGGGGCTCATCGGCGAGACCGTCGGCTGGGCGGCCTTTACCTGGTTCCTCGTCTGGGTGTCCATCTTTCGCGGCGTCGGCCTCACCGGCCGCGTCGTCTACTTCACCATGGGCCTGCCCATCGTCGTCACGCTGGTCCTCATCGGGCGCTCCCTCTCGCTCGAGAACGCGGCGCGCGGCGTCCGGCACTTCTGGTACACCTGGAACGGCGACCAGCTCGCCCGGGGCACCATCTGGCAGACGGCGTGCGGCCAGGTCTTCTTCTCCACGGGCGTCGGCTTCGGTTACTTCACCTCGTACGCGTCGTACAACCAAAAGTACTCCAACGCGGTCATGGATTCGATCCTGATCGTCAGCAGCAACGTCCTGTTCGAGAACGTCGCGGCTTTCATCGTGTACGGCGTCATCGGATTCCTGGGCATTGTGCCGGGCGGCGGCGAGCGTCTCGGGAGCTTCGTAGTGGGCTTCATCACGCTGCCGACGGCCGTTACGCAGATGCCTGGGGCCAACTTCTGGGCCGTCATGCTCTTCTTCACGCTCATGGTGCTTGGGTACAGCTCGGCGTTTGCCATGGTTGATGCAATCGTCACCTTGATCATGGATGCCCACCCGCGATTCAGTCGCCCGTGGGTGGTCACTGCGGTCGTGGTTACCTTCTTCTGCTTGACCTTGCCGTACTGTACCGAGTTTGGCTTCTATTTGCTCGACGGTGTGGACCGCTGGATCAACGATGTCGGCCTCGTCTTTGTTGTTTGGGCCGAATGCGTCACGTCGACCACATTATATCGATGGCGTGACGTCGTTGGCCAAGTCGGCCTGCCGGCTTTCGCGACCTTCAACAGCGGCTTCTTCGGAGGCATGGTGCTCGGCGTCGCAATTGCGCAGGCAGTATCCCCCGTCGTAGGTGCAGCTGTAGGGTTTGGTATCTTTGTCGTCGGCCTGATTGGGACTGTACTGCTGGGAAAGACACCGGATGCAGCAGCTCCAAAGTGGTGGAACAAGAGCATCTTTGGCTCTCGTGTTTGGTTTGTTGCATTTTACTCGGTACGTATTGCACTTGCATGATGAATCAATCTTGCGACATCTCTAACAGGCAGTTGCAGGGCAATCAGCTTCGCCGTGACTTGAACGAAATTGTCGGCCAAGGCAAAAACTGGAAGATTCCAGTGTTCTGGGCACCGATGGTTCGCTACATCGCGGCGCCTATTCTGTCGATTGTGTACAGCTTCTCGTATCCGTCATTTTATAAGCTGCGAAATGACCCGCTCCATGTACTCGGGTTTGCGGTCGGTCACATCGCTTTGATACTCATAGGTGCCGGTCTCATTGTACCGCGCTGGTTCGATATCCTGATTCCGCCGCGGCGACGCGGCGACGGACACCATGACTATGGCGCCAACGTCTTGATTCCTGCCGATGACGTTGGGTCGACGAGCAGCGTGGAAGCCGGAAATGGAAGCGACCAAGAAGCAAAAAAAGCGGCTATATAGGAATGGTGAAAGTGTACATAAATTGGTCAAGATGGCTCGACAGACCTACAGGTTACAGGTCTAGCTGCATCATAGTCGCATTCAAGACAGCCCAACAATTGCTCCGATTTTGTAATCCTGACGCGTCTCTAGGGATACGTCTGCCGTAGTCCCCAAATTTAGAATGGTATGAAGTTGGCGGCTCAAATCTGCCGGCTTGACATAGAGTAAGCTTGCTCCGTAGCTCAGTAATGCTCCGCGGGACGATCGGGGCTACGAAGCGGGATGACGCAGCATGTGAGAGGCGCGCTCCATGTGTTTTTACTCTTTCTCAACAGGGCCAGTCAGACAATTGGGGGAGTTGGGGATGCGCGATATTTCCCGAGAGGGTTGAGGGGAAAGAGTGTGACGGGCTGACATGTCCACGTCAGTCAGTCGCGTTGCCGCCACCCTGGAGATTTGCGTCTGTGTGCATGCGCTGAGCACATGTCAGCAGGCGTCGCCAAGAGATGCGAGGCTAATAATAAACCCGGAAGAACAACAGTGCTGGTAACTGCAGGGCGCGTTAGATGGGAACATGCGAGCAGCCATGCGGCGCGGGGAAGGCCGGCCCCTGCCAGAACAAAGGGCCCGCTCCTTCGCTACGTGTGATGCAACCCTAGCGAGAGGGATGTGCGGGTGGTATTAGTACTGTCTTACGAGGCCGATGAGATGTAGATTGCGGAGATGTGGTAAGCGGATGGGGATGGCGAAGCTGGGGTACAATGAAGCCGACAAGCAATGCCGATAGAGTTGTCAGAGGGCCGATATCAAGAGGGGACGGGTAGCCAGATATGTAGCCGTGATTTTGATAAGAGACATGGAGCGGCGCTGGAGGAAGCACTCACTATCCGTACACACACTTGACGTTTCCCACTCGTGTGGTTGTGGTTGTGAATGGCTTTCGGGGATCTGGAGCGAGTCGGGGTAAGCTAACCAGTCTACTACATAGCTTGTCTCATGTGCAGGAAGACTCCTCCGGTTCTGCCCGTTGTGCACGTCGCGTTGGGGTTGGGGAAGACAAAAGGCCTGGCAGGGATGGGCTGTTTCTGGGGTCCATCTCACATGTTTTTTTTTTTGGTGGAGTGGCTGATGGCATATGAAGCCGGTGTTGGAGCTGAGTTGTCGGGGGAAGAGAGGTTTGGTCTCCAAGCACAGGAAAAAAACAATCCAAGAAAAATAATGCAAGGCCTTGATATTCTAGAGAAATCGATTGATAATAAAAATAAATTTTTCGAGCCCAACATGCTTCATTCTGCGCCTTTCTCCCCGCTCGCCTGCCCGGCCGCCGCGGGGAAGTTGTAGATAGGGCAGTGGGATACCCGGTGCTGATTGGTCAGAGATAAGAGCGCCTTCAAATGGGCCCGGGTCGCTGTTTTGTTCCGACGGTCGGAGAAGCCAGCCGTTGCAACGATTTTTTCCTGTCGGTAGCAAAATAGCGAAGAGATGGTGCCTGCTTGGCTTGCAATGGCACCAAACTAGTTTACTAATGGCGTGCTTTTCAGTCTATCCTTCCCCACCAGTCCGAACCGAACCGAACCGCGCTGCCAGTCAAGAGAGAGGGCGTACGTATTGTAGCCTGTCTCTGTGCCTGGAGAATTATTTTTTGTATTTTTAATTATTCTTTCCACGCATTCAGCACCAATCAGACCATACCGACAAAGTTACGTAGTGCTGTATTCTGCCTGACAGCTCATGTCACTGCTCCGCTCCTTCCTTGCCTTGGTCTAGCAACCCCGAATACGCTCCAAGCCAACCCCGACGCCAACAAGACATATTCCCCAGCACAACTAACTACCGTATATTATTCATCCGCGCTCCCTCTTCTTCTCCCCTCCCCTCCCCTCCCGCTCCCTCCGACCTTTTTTATCCTCTTCTTCTCTTCCTCTCCACGCCATCATCTCCCCTCGCCATCCATACATCCATACAAGTACATCATACAACATCCATCAACCATCCATCCACCCTCATCACTCAACAACCCACCTAGCTCTCCGCAAGTAGCCGCAATCATCATACGACCCACTCCGCGCCCACCAGCTCGCCGCGACTTTCTCCTTCGTCCTCGCTCCACGTTTTCTGCCTCGCTCCTCGCGCATCTGCCTCAACCTAGCATCAATTCGCCTCCAGAGATCCGCCGTTTCACTTCGAAAAAAGTCTACCATACACAATACCGCAAAAATGTTCACAACCCGCGCTCTCCGTCAGGCTGCCGTTCACGCCGAGCGCCAGCCCATGATTAAGTTCATTGGTCCTCGCTCCATTCCCTGTACGTCTTTTGCCTCAGGCAGGCCCTGCGTCTACCATTCTGCCAATTAGCCACCACTGACCGTTCAATCTCCCTCTCGCAGCGTCCATTGACCACTCTCCCAAGCCTCACCCTGCCTCGCCCTCTGGCACGCTCCCTGAGGGCTTCGCCTCCGCCGACTCCTCCCGTCACGCCAGCTTCAGCTCCTACCGCGACCACGCCCAGCAGCACGGCCCGCTCCAGAAGACGATTCGCTCCGGCGAGGCTGGTATCGGCGGCTTGTCCGGTGCTGAGCTCGGCTCCGTCAACGCCCCCAAGGGCGTCTTCTTCGACATTTCCGAGCTTCCCGCCCGCTTCCGTCGCCAGCCCATCAACCTTGCCGAGATTGAGGCTGTCGAGTCCGGTGGCGCCGCCGTCCTGGGCTAAATAAATGACGCTCTGCCGCTCGCTTTCTCGTTCAATCGCAACAAAAAGTGAGCGTGGCCAGAGGGAACTGGACAGACTCATGAGTCGTACATACAAAACCAATCTGGGCTGTCCAGCTGTCCTCCCTCGTCAATGGTCAAACCCTTCCCACCACCCTCCGAACCAAAATATCCTACCTCACCAAACGCCGAGAAGCCGGCCAGCAAACATTAACTGATTCTGGCCACCGCACCGGTGCTCAAGCCCGGCCGGCCGCTACTCATGTACGATGACGACCTCCCCCTTCATATCAAGCATCTAGACAGACAAAAAGTTTTGGCTTGGGGCGCCGCTACCGACTTTGTCAATATGTAATGCGGACTGCCCACGGAAAGACGGCTTCTCGACATTGCGGACAAGTCGCGCGCAATCCCTTTTTTTTTTCATCATGTCCGACGAGCATATTCTACTCTATGTCTTTTCCAACCAACACCTCAACTCCATCCCTTCGGCGCCGTTTGAGGCGCAGCTGTATGCTCCATTGCTTCCGCCTTGAAGAAACCAGCATGCGTCCTCAACGTTTCTGCGACTACTGTGGTGGTCAATGGCTCTTCAACATCCCCACGCGGGCACTTCAACGAGGACTATGGTAGCCAGTGACTCTTGGCCACCGCAGTTGCCGCGACATTTATTAGCTCCAACATTCTTTACAGACAATCATTTCCGCTTGCTCTGTCTCGGGTCTGCATCTTGACAGTGGCCCCCAACAACCGGGTCATGTTCAGACATGTTCAAACATTTCGCCCCCAGTCGAGTGTTTGGTTACTCTGCCTTGGGTATCGCAATGATTTAGATTGCTTGCGGATACGAATACTCGGGCATGTTTCACCCCTGATTCCGAGTACGGATAGAGACAGATGGACTTGCTAGTTAGTATGTAGAAGCGGTCAAGGATTACGGAAGTGTAATAAAAAATTGTGAACACATATTGAGACATGTCCACCTCACTCAACAATTCTTTTTCGTTTATCCATAACCAGAGTGTGTGTGTGTGTATGTGTGTTTCTTGTGACTTGTGTCATGGGAAATGTGCCCGTGCTACGCACCAAAACTACGTTCAACAACAGTTGAATGCCCATCAAACAAGTTGTGACACCCGCGCCTGTGTTTTCATATTCGCAGCCTGGCCGATCGCAACAGCGGCAGCACGCACCCAACGGAGATGATGCAGCAGTGTAAATTGGCCATATCCTTTCCCACCGCCACCACCGCCGCCTACCAACTCACCGCTGCGGGCGTCGTCACTCATCGGGATCTACAAGATGCACACGCCCTCATCTCGGGGAGGAGGCAGAGACGGGCGGGGCGGACTTTTACTTGCGCACTCCTCTTTGTCCTACCGCACTCCCGTTGGCGCGGTCGGGCACAGCAGAGGGTCTGCCTACAATGGCGAGACGTCAAGTAGAGTTTGCCACTCCCATGGTACGGAGCCGGCCATCGACCAACCTAGCGTTTCTCTCACGACGGTTCTCGTTTCCTGTTTGAAGCGCTTCTTTTGACCACACGTCATGCCGCCAAAGCTTGGACTCTGGTAGGAGGGCATGCGGCACTTGGGGGATGGGAGACGAGGCTTTGAACAGAAAGCTTGGAAACATCCGAGTTGCGCGGACTTTCACTTGTACCAAATCGCACATTAGATGTCCTGTACCACAGCGATGCCTAATAAACGTTGTAGCAGAATCGAATATCGCCCGAATACGGGCGGGGTTGGGGTTGGTTGCCCAATGCGTGTCATTTGTTCGTTCACCCCAAAAAAAAGTGCGTACTCTGATTTGCGAATTCGATTTGGGCCTTGTATCAACAACCATGACAATCATGTTGAGCCTTCTCTGACAACGCCTCGGTTAGCCATGGAGTTTTGCGCGGGGAGTATTTGGGAGTATTTGATACAAGTCGATCTCAAGTCGATACTTAGGTATCATGTACTCGATATATGTTCATGCGGCTTTCGGCGAGTTGTCGGATGTCTCCTTGCTCCTAGCTGGGCTGACATCACACCACGCGTGGGTGTGTTTGATGTAAGTCAGTGTAAACGGCAGATCAGTTCTGAGATGATCCAAGGTGGTTTCAAGTTGAACAAGAACCAACGATTGTCAAAGACTTACCAACGTGTATACACAAGATAGCTTGCGTTTTCCAAGTGCGTTTGAGGGAGTACAGCATCAATTATTCCTCTGTCCCGGAGCTTGCCTACCTTGGACATTGAGAGGCTGGTTCTGGTTCGATAGCCAGACGCCAGAACCTTCGCCTCTTCACCACATTCCTTTCCTCGGAATGTAGATGGAGAGGTGGCGAGCCGTGCCTATCCGAACAATATCGGCAGTCTGCTCGCCGAATAGGCCGCGTTTTCTCCGACATCAACAGATCGCGTAAGTGTCCGACGCATCTGCATCTGTCACTCCGCGCGCGCAGTCCAGAATTGACATCTGCCGAGATGCGCGCGGGAACCCTCATCTGGACCCCTTGCTCCTGACTTAAGGGTGTTCCTGACTCGCCAACCTCGCCTCGTCCCTCCAATACGGATCAAGCGGCAGGGGTGCATGCGCGCAAACATTTCGCATGGACTCCATCGCCGCAGTGCTTCCCAATTCAACTTGATCGTCTAAACCACCCCACGTTCCCCAACACGCCCAATCCCCATCATCAGATGAAACCAGGGCGGCGGGCATCCACAGCTTCCACGCGCCTTCCATGCTATCCCGTAGTAGTCGAAAACGCGGGGTAAGTAAAGAGGGCGCTTGCTTGCTCCCCCAGCCTACAGATGCATGCTCGCCCATAGGCAGATCAGAGACTAGAAATCGCCTCAAACACTTTTCAGCTGGGTGGCGGGCCACGACTCAGGACACGCTGGGCGAGAAGAAACGTGGCGCTCGCCTCCCTCCGCACCCTCTGCCTAGAGACTTGGTATTGCCCGTCGTTTCCATCTAGAAAAGGACGGAATTAGCTTCCGCGCCTCTGGACAAGAGAAATAAAACCGATCCTGAGCGAGCCAGCGTTCATGCCAGTGCCGCCGCCTCCCTGGGCGCTGTGGCGGGCAGCCACATGGAAAAGCCAACTGACGCCATGGCGAAAAAGAAGCCACTTCTTTCCTTCGAAACTGTAAAGAACCGTAAAGACTGGCAGATTGGTAGCTAAAAATGGCCCATATCGTGAGGCATTGACTTTGATACTGTCCGGGTGTTTGCCTTGTAACACGCAGGCGGGTAGCATCGCACACAACCTATCGCCTTGTTGCCCTCTGCGTTCGGCTTAAAAACAGATTTGAAATTGTCCAGATCCTTGCATAGAACAGGGCGTGTATCTAAACGGCATGCCTCAGAAGTTCCAATCCCAAGGGTGGTAACCAAATTCCCTCATATCAGGGGGCGTCGACATGCGAGAGGGGAAACGGAACGTCGTCGGAAATCGTGCACCGTTACCATAAGGCAAGATCCTTGCAATGCAACTTTACTGCGCATTCAAATTAAGGTCTTGGCTTTCTGCGACGGCAACAGCAGCTTGTTGGCTGGTCTAATAGCGGGCGTGATCTCGGCAGATTACGAGGGCCGCGCTCCCGTTGAAACGGAGACCTGTGCTGTTATTAGAGTCTGGGAAGCAAGGCGAAAGTGAGTTGGAATAGGTGAGCACTCGCAAAGAGACGACAGCCTTGGAGTCGTGGTGAGCATACACAACACCAGGCAATCCCACGGTACCAAGGAAAGCGCATGCCTGCTTCGAAGTAGCTCCGAAGCCACAGACCCTTGGCAGACGCACCGACGCTGTCAACACCAATCGCTCACAAGTCTTGTGATGTTGGGTTCTGCGGATGGGAGGGAGGGGAGGGGCAAGCCAGGACGCTGCGCTTCCAATCAAGATGCTGAAAAAAAAAGACGGGGGAGAGGCTGCTCCGGGAGCGTACATAGAAGTGACGCTGATACAACAAAGGATTGCTCCGCGCCGCAAGCCCCCTCCCCTGCCGGCTTTTGTCTTCTTGGCGGCAGTTATTCCATCGAGGCGCACAACATCTATCCAGCCATCTTTGCGGCCGGGCGTGTTGAAGAAAAAGCCACGGGCCAGGATCAAGTTGATGCAAAAAGGTTAGTTCCAGGTGGCGGCGTTTTGGAAGGTCATGTTGCGTGCAATTCGGGCGTTCCAGAAGACATGGCGCAGAAATGGTGGCTGGCCTTAGAGAAATGGAGAAGAAAAGAAATCCACACTCGGCTTGCTTGGTCCCCGTTTCTATTTTGCGCTCATGATTCCAGGCACGGTCGTTCGTTCCGTATGGATAGCCTCACCTGAAAGTTTCCTGCGACCGACCATGTCTCAACTAGAAGCAATCGCATGCTAACTAGCTAATACTTTTAGCGAGTCTGGGGAAATGACTCCAGTCAGTCAGATGAGCCCGCACCGCAAACCTCACCGTTCGAGACAGGCCGCAGGCCCGCAAGATCGTTAGTGGATACGGGGTAATAAGTGGACGTAATAATGCCTTTTGACGAGCTGATATATCTTCTGCTCCGTTTTTTCTGATGGCGGATTTCCTCTCCTCGTCTTCCCTGGTCCTTCTGTGGGTTGTCGTGGGCCACTCTGGTCGTCCGTAGTTCTCACTGTCAGGCCGTTGGCTCTGCAGAGTAGGGCATCGTCGTCGAAGCAACTCGCTCGGGCACGGAACGCAGCCGACGCGGGAGACTAGGTACACAACACAGAAAGGCTCTCGCGGCTACTTCTCCAGTTATCCGTTGCTTGCATCTCCTGTTTAGCGCTTTGTTGGATTCAATAGCGCTCCCACCCAATTCTACTAGTGGCTTTCCAAACTGGCAGAAACCTCGGAAGTTATCCAGGCCAGATCAAGAACCTCCTGGGTCGTTTCCTTGTGCCACTCCTCCCCCTCCAGGGTCTGCTTCCAGGGGGTCGGCTTTGCATGAATGTTGTGCTGTTGTGCTCCCAAAGCTGCGTCGGGAACACTGGGCGGGCTGGGAAACACAAGCTCCTCTGCCTGGCTTCCCCCGTTGTCTTGGTCCCTACTCAGCACATGCTGACCAGGGCCATCATAATGGGCCCAAAACGGCTGGGACTCTGCTGATCTAGACGGTCCCGAGTGCTCGCTAATCCAGCCCTTGCCGCTGGTAATTTTGTCTCCGAAGCCTCATTTTCATCGTATTACGTACAATGTACGGATGCAGATTAAAAAGGATGAGAGTTTCGTACTGGGCAGAAGAGGCGAGCCGTCGATCAGGCCTCCTTAGCCCATGAGCCCATTGCGCACCAAAGTTGCTTCATCACCAGTATCTCGCAAGTTCGTCACAAGGATGTGGGCTGTTTTGGATGCGCTGAGGACTCCGTTGCTGTAGCGCAACTTAACGGCTTCGCGGCATCTGGTCACGTTTTAAACCATGATATGCTCTCCACGCCGGACGGCAATGCAAAGCCTTGCGCCACTAACAAAGCCCCTGCCAGAGATAGATGATAGCATTACCTGGCCGCCTTTGAACATGTCCGCCTCCGCGAATGGAGCCTGCCAGCCATGCTTAACAGGATAACTGCTAGTTGCGGTACGCATGACCCAGTTTCATAGTTGCCAATCGCTAGCCAGAGCGTCACATCGATATCTTTTACCCACTCGCGTGGAGGCCAGTGGCGGCCCAGCTCTGCAGCTCTATAATTGGCATTCTCAGCCAGTTTGAGAGTGCCATTCGTCGTCGGGCAGAAAATCTGTCCAGAGCTACCTGTGGGCAACTTGGCGGAGTTCGACGCTTGGCTTCTGGAGAAACCAGTGTTATGTGCGGCCTCTTCAAATGCGACGTGTCTGAGGCCTTGGCTGATAAGCGGCCAAGCTTATCCGACTCCGCAGTGACATGAACGAGTTGTCAAGTACGAGATGCCATGTGAAGCAGCACTCTCGTTATCGCCGAGACTGCATCTTGCAGTGCCTCGTGGTGGCTTGGAGAACTTCCAACACAGGCGAGGGGCGGTTGTCTCTACCAAGTCTTTTCCATCCGTTCTGGCCAGTTGGCACATCGCCTGTAAGCCTTCCAGCCATGGCTGCTGGTTTGGTATTGTTGCCAAGTCGCCTAGTAGTTAGGCTTGGGAAAAAGGTTTATTAGTCGGTTCTTTATTAACACGCGACGGATGGCGGCGACCTACTAGGATTCCCACGAAAAAGAGCTGCAATGCTTGATTTCGCGCCTTGTGGGTTCCGTAAATGGAACCACTCGACACCATCGGACGTTCAATTGGCTGCACCATACCTCTTAGTGTGGTGGGAGGCTATCCAACCATGCGAGGAAAGTAGCCAGGACATGGCGCAGATTAAGCCTGTTGGAAGGATTTAGGCTTGCAGCTCGCACCGCAAATAGGAAGGCGCCGACTGGCAGAAGGCAGTTAGAAGGCTGCATAGAATGTTGTCGGGGGCTGCGCCTCACACCCTTCTAACAGATCCCCTACTAATAAGATGCTGATGTGCATTCCCAGGCCACCGTACGTAGCACTGGAAGTTCCCTAGGTTCTCGGAGGCGGATAACAGAGGCCCTGAATTAGGTGCTCTCCAGAGTATCAACAGAAGCACTTTGGTTGTGATCTCTTCCGTCTTAAAAAAGAAGCAGCACAATGTAATCAATCGCCTGGCTGCCTCCTTCTCCAGCGGGGAAGGGATGCGGGGTCCAGAAGAGTGCTGATAGAGCCCCCAATTCGTGGCGCCGTTCCCAAAATCAGAGTGCGCGCTACTGTCAACTGAGCTTGAAGGCCGCTGGCCCTGCTTGCTTTGGTTCTTCTTTGTTCGCGATCAGACGCCTCCCGGCGACGCCGTTCCCCGCAGATTGTGACAGCAAGCCAGCCACTGGCGAGTTTTTGCCAGAACGACAATTGCGACGCGATTATCTCGTGGAGGTACTGTAGGCTTGATCAGAAAGTAACAAAAAACTTTCCTCACTGGTTTGCCGCGAAGTGAGGCTGTACAGCGTTTCTTTTTCTGTGAAAAGCAACACACTCGCTACACCACCCGTCCAGCTGACTGGTACAAAGGAAAATGGCACTCCCCAGTGGTAGATGGCGTTTTCCTGCTGACGCGCCCCCCTTAAGTCACGATTCCTTTTTGGGGCCTATCGTCCGGACTGGCGTAATCTGTAATCTGTGCGCCGCGGGTCGGTTCCAGCCCATGAATGGATGGACTCCCAGTGGAGGGAGAGGTGCCAGTCAGTCCCAGGTGGCTGTGAGACTTGGGGTAAGTCCCGGCAAGGTGAGCTGGAAGATGCCGTCGCAGGCGCACACGATGTACTTACAGTACACCACTGCGACCCTGATCTTCTTTTCAAGGAAGACTCTCGAGACTTCGTCGAATGATTCTAGCAGATGCGCTTGCGACGCTGAAGGGGGGCGACGCTGAAGGGGGAATTGACCCAGTCCCGCCCTGCCGGGCACACCAAACCTCAGCTCTGCGGCCAGTGGCGAGGCTGCTTCATGCCCCCAGTCATGCCCCAACCCTCTGGTACAATATCTTTGATTATTAGCAGCACGCACCAGGGCGAGAAAACGGGGGTGGGGTCCTGTGCCTCGTGGGCCAACTTTATTAGCTTCCTATTTCTGTGGGTGCGTGCCAAGATCTGCAGTTTGTCCAGATGCGAAGTCAAGCCCATGGCTCTCGCTGCTCAGGCGACGACACCGTTGAATGGGACAGCGAGGCTTCGCATCTTCGCAACATGCCAGCTCACCATTCTTGCTGAGTAGTTTCACGTCTTCAGCGCTCGAATGAAAGTCGCGAGACGGAGTCTCTCTGAGACAGTTCGGTGAGGCCGGCCTTTTCGAATCGGTGAGCCTATTGTTATCTCGCTAGTTATCGCAAAAGCGCCAAACAGCTCTCGGAGAGGACCCAGTGCGGGCAAAGTGTTCTGATACCAGTGGCTCCATCCATCATGCTTTATCGCAACACTGGACCTTCTGGAAGGCCTTTTTTTCTCTCTCCTTGTCGAAATTTGCAGAGAGATGCCTCGGGTTAGCAACTCCTTGTGCAGCTCTTCTTCTCGGGCAATAATAGAAAAGTATGGTGACGCATTGACAGCTTGAGCGCCCATTTGTCGTGGGAGTCCGGCCCTGTCTGTGATTGACCTCAGCCGTCTTCGATTCGTCCAGCGACTCAACACCGCACTTCCCCAAACGACGCCTCCAAAGTCCCCTGCCCAGTCTGGTTGTTGTGGCCTCTTGGCTTCACGCCACCGTCTCCAGGTGCCCCAGTCTGAACTCATTAGCTCACGAGCCGACTCGGGAGCAGTATGACAGACCTCTGAAAGGGCAGCTGCTTTCCTTGCATGCATGCATTCATGGCAGCATTGTCCGACCCTCCCAGCCCAAGATTCCAGCTTCCCGTGCGGCACCTCCGTTTAAGAGGCCCTGTCCCCCCCAACATCGATCGCCATTTTCCCTTCCAGACTCTCTCTTTATCCCTCCTCGCTTCCATCGCTTCCCTCTTCTCCTTGCTGTCCGTCTCAACCCTCCCACCTGTTGCTCATTCGATTCGCTAGAAGCGCAGAGCTGCCTGTCACCCATCATGTCTGGCAAAGACGGCGTGATCGCCTCCGAAAAGGGCGAGGCCGTCCCCGAATATGAAGGGACCTCTCAGGTCCTCCCAAAGGAGGCCGGTGTCGCCTACTCCGAAGAGAGTTTCCTGACGCGCAACGGCCTCACAATTGACTCCTTCAAGCCGAAGCACTATGGCGAGGGCATTGTTGAACTAGAGAGACCGATGAAGGCGCGCCATTTGCACATGATTGCAATTGGTGGCTCGATCGGTGCTGGTTTCTTTGTCGGTTCTGGCGGTGCTCTGTATAAGGGTGTAAGTACTTCCGCGACACTGTGACCGTAATACAATCCGTGCGGTTCTTCAATGGGTTGCGCAATGCAGCATACCGTCTTGCCCTTCATCATAGGTCCAAAGTGCTGACGTGTATCCGATCTCCAGGGCCCCGGTAGTGTTCTGATCGATTTCTTGATTATCGGTGTGATGATCTTCAACGTCGGTATGTTTTGACCCGTCGCATCGTGCTTGTGCTTGTGCTTGCACCAGTGCATCTTGCACTCTGGCGCGCTGCTTCTTGTCACTTGGTTCGCTTGCTGACCGCTTTCTCTCGACAGTCTATGCTCTTGGTGAGCTCGCCGTCATGTACCCTGTCTCTGGTGGTTTCTATACCTATTCGACCCGCTTCATCGATCCCTCCTGGGGCTTCGCAATGGGATGGAATTACGTCTTCCAGTGGGCCGTTGTATTGCCTCTCGAATTAACAGTCTGTGGTATCACCATCCAGTATTGGGATCAAGAAACCTCGCTTGCTGTCTGGATCATCGTCTTCTTGGTTTTGATTATCATCATCAACGTCTTTGGTGCTCTTGGATATGCCGAGGAAGAGTTCTGGTCGTCGGTGTTCAAACTCGGAGCCACTGTTGTCTTTATGATCATTGCTCTCGTACTTGTTCTCGGCGGCGGGCCGGAGAGTGGCGCCTACAGTGAGTACCAGGGAGCCAAGCTTTGGTACAACCCGGGCGCTTTCAAGAACGGCTTCAAAGGTTTCTGCTCCGTCTTTGTTACGGCCGCCTTTGCCTTCTCTGGTACTGAACTGGTCGGTCTGGCTGCTGCGGAATCTAGCAACCCCGTCCAGGCTCTTCCTGGTGCCATCAAGCAGGTATTCTGGCGAATCACCCTCTTTTATGTCCTTGGTCTCTTCTTTGTTGGCCTCTTGGTCAGCTCGTACGATGATGCGTTGCTGTCCGAATCGGCCTATGCTGACGCAAAGGCGTCACCATTCGTTCTTGTTGGAAAGTATGCCGGCCTTAAAGGATTCGATCACTTTATGAACGTCGTGATCCTGGTGTCCGTCCTTTCGATCGGTGTCTCTGGCGTCTATGGTGGCTCGCGCACGCTTACCGCCCTTGCCCAGCAGGGATACGCGCCTAAGGTTTTCAGCTATATCGATAGATCTGGTCGTCCTCTTTTCTCAGTCATTATTCTCATCGCGTTTGGCTTGCTTGCCTTCGTCAGCTTGGCATCCTCTGGTCCGGTTGTTTTTGACTGGCTTCTGGCTCTCTCTGGCCTCGCCGCTCTGTTCACCTGGGGCTCGGTCTGTCTTGCTCACATTCGATTCCGTGCTGCCTGGAAGTACCACGGCCACACTCTTGATGAGATCCCCTTCAAGGCTGCCGGTGGCGTCGCCGGTTCTTGGTTGGGTCTGATCTTGATTGTCCTCGTTCTCATGGCCCAGTTCTACACTGCCATTGCCGCCCCTCCTGGCAAATCTGGTCTGGGCACTGTCGAGGGCTTTTTCAAGCAGTACCTGGCACTCCCGGTCGTTCTCTTCTTCTGGGCTTGCGGTTTCTTGTGGAAGCGTACAGGATGGCTCAAAATTTCGCAAATGGATGTCGACACCGGCCGCCGCGAGCTTGACTGGGATGAGATCAATGCCTTCCGGGCACGCGTTGCTGCCTACCCCGCATGGAGACGCCTTCTTCATGCGTTGTTCTAATGGCTAGTTGGATCCTCAGATGTGCCATAGATTGAGATGTCGATTGCGTTCGCGCCAAGTGTATTGGCGTGTAGAAGATGTCTAGAGGTTCCTAGCTTTTCTGCCTTGGGGCTCCCTAAATATGGATTTTCATTAGCTGTACATCCTTTTAACTTGATACCACTCTATACCAATACAACAAGGAGAGTTTTCACAATCACTTTTTCGCTGCTCGTTTGTTGTTGTGGTACTAGTCTTGCTAGAGCTGTGCAGGGCTTGACTGAGGGTTGAATACCGTGACGCTTTCGATTCGCTGAAATAACACTCTCGTACACTTTTGTAAAAGAAAAAGCACCTATCTTTGGTGCTGCGAGTTGTATTCAGCTGCAAGGACTTTTACGTTCCCGGATGTGGGTGCTGGCTGGGTTTTGAGGTGGTCCAGAACCAAACTTCCTCAAAAGGCGCTGTGGACCAAAAGCTGCCAACAGGCCCGCCATAACTACAAAAGGTACCCAGTCGGCGCTATCAGTTGTGACGCATTCCGCGCGCCCTTCATGTCAACCTGACCCATGGACAATTTTGGTCGACGGATGCGACTTCCTGGCTGAGATAACGAGAACACATGGCTGGCGCGTAAAACGTCTACTAGCTATCACTGGGTCACTCCCTACATTATTAGTACCTAGATACCTCGGCCCTTCTTTGGGTAGTTACTACCTACCTAGGTGGGTGGCCGGCGTTTGAGATGGGGTGTAAGATGAGTAGGTAAGTCATACGCACATCATCATGCGTTTTTGCTCAGACACGATGACTCTAATAGATCACTTTTATACTGAATTCTGCTACCCTTCTCAGTCACAATTTTTTCAATGCATTCAAAATAAGAACAGTCAAGTCGAATCTTAGAATACTAAACCCCCGTTACTCCTTTCACCATACACTCCTCAGCCGCACGACTAAGGAAACAGGAAACACGGTCTTCCTCCGCCTCCTGGGAGAAAAAAAAATATTCAGGCAAGGACTCCACAGTTTAGAATAGCGAAAGAAACACAAAATAGTGTATTTTCTACACATCCGGGAACACAGCATCCATCCCAACCCGCTGCTTCCCCAAACTCCGGAGCAACGCCGAGTCATCTGATCTTTGGCATGCACATGCACTTTCTCCCCAGGTAGGTAAGACAAAAGAGAGACCAAGGAGACTGACGTTTGCCAAGTCTCAATAGCAGCCACCGAGGCCATGTAAGATCCCACCTTCTCAACTATCGAGAGGTAGGGCAGCTGAGCCGCGGCCTGAGCTCTTCCCCGCATTTGCAGGCGACATCGAATACGCATAATAAATATCATTAGAGCTGCTAGGATTTTGCAAGCATTTCAAGGTTTAATTTATCGATTTTAGTTGGCATATCTCGAAGCGAAAGACCAAAAGCACTATGCGCATCGTTGCTGCGGTACTCGCCGCTGCACTCGGCATCAGTGCTGCGGTATCGACACCACACCTTCAGTACATCGACTTGCCGTTAGCAAATGCCAATGGGGAATCTAAGGGCGGTGTCAATCCCGAGCTACCATACGACTCATTCGTTCTGGAGCAGGCACTGTCTTCTGCCAGGGCTGTCCAGCTTTCGCCTGCAAGGTACAAGGCATTGTTGTGGCAGCACTGGATTGTGAATGCCACATCAGAAGCCAATATTTCCCTGAAAGAATGGGATCCCTGGCGCACCGCAAAGCAGAACCAGGCTGTTGTGTTCGGTGTCTACGAATACTATGCCAAGCTCTATCTCGCGCACCCGGAGCAGCTGCGCTGGATGGCGTTTGCTAACATGGCTGGTTCGGCATTCGCCGCTGGCATGCTCGACTTGGGCGGCTTGCCCGGCGGTGGGTGGTTTGCGTCTATGCTTATGGCGATGCAGAAGCATATCTTCATGGACATTGCCACCATGCACGTGGCCTACATCAACGGCGGCATGGCGGCCGTGGAAGAGATGCGCGATGCGGGACTGATTGACCCCGAGACGGCAGCAGCGTGGGCCAACCCGCCCGGCGCTGTTCTTCGTTTCTCCTACCGCGAGCAGAATCTGGTAATTCCCGAGCAGTGGAACCGCGTGCGCTCGCATGCGGCGCCACTGGGCGAGATCATCACCTACGGAATGACCATAACAGGGCCGATGCCTGTACCCGGCGCCAAGACGCCAGCCGAGTACAAAAAGCTGTTGTGCGGGCCTCTGCCGGCGTTTAATTACGCAGACCAGTCAGCACGTTGGGATCTATTGGCCAACGATACGGTACCAGCGTATCTGCGGCTCGAACCGCCAACAGTAAAGAGCATCGTGGGCGAGTCGTTCGCCGAAAGAGTCGACCAATATCGGACCGCGCATCGTCTCGTGGACGTGGTGCTCGCGCAGTTAAAGGCAATAGGATGCCGTCCTTAAACAGCAGGAATCAAAATAGGAGCAAAGACACAGGAGAGCGCTAATTATAGACGAAGTGGTTGACAACAATTTGTTTTATTCATTGTACAGTTGAGTTTGGGTATGGAAAGCTGTTAAAGACAGTTGTCAATAGCACAGAGTCCAAATACTACTATCATTCTGTTAGAAGAAGTACTCAAAATATCGGTGCAGAATTTGAGTGGTAAGAACGGAAAATCAGGAGAGAGCAACATGTTTGTCCACATTTTACTTCGGAACAGGTCTGTGTTATGTGTAGTTCATCACATTGAGGGAAGGAAAGGGTGCGCGTCGGGAGTAGGCTTACCGATGGATCAGATATGGCAAGGCTGTTTGTTAGTATGACGAGCGAGGCTAGATGTGCGGGTGATGGAAAGCTGCAGAGTTGAAGTTGTGTAGAGGAAAAAAGTCTTGTGAGAGTTGTGGTGGGACTTTTGTACCTCTGGAGATTTGGGGCTGTCGGCGGCTCGGCGCAGTTGATTCCGGTGGCCAGTAGTGGGGAGCTTGTAGGGAGAGGTAGAGACGGGCAGTCATGAGCTAATTGAATACATTAGGCTTCTGCAGCCAGACTTATCAATGGGATGGCGCAATGAACTACTATTTCAGATGAGTTGCGCATGCAAAAGCTAGTCAAGATAGTTTACATAATCAAACACAAGGTGCTTTCGTCGTACGTCTACCTAGATGCCGTGTAATGCGCAGCTTTTCCTTTGTGTCCGCTGTCAAGTCGGCAGAACACTGCTGACTAATAGCCCTTTATTCTCGGGGCTTTCAATTTTCTAGAAGCCGTGATACTACTTGGCTATAGATGCTGCGCTAGACTTAATGTTGCTGACGCATATTGACCCCTATTATTGTTTGCGCAAAGGGCGGAGCAAGCATCTCTGTTGTATGGCTACTTAGTAGCTATGCGGGACTAGGTTGATATCACTGGTAGAAAGCAGCACCTGGCCCTTTGTCTCTTCTAATACTTTTTCTAGCTCCGACTAACTAGTCGTCAGTGGGCGTTGACCAAGCGTCGAGCTCGTATTCCACGTGGTGGGAAGCAGTGCGTGGTCTTTCTGGAGACTCAGGCAGCCTCCAGGGTAGGGGTCATGGTGGGCCACCAGTCTCCTAACCAGCCCGCGCTGCCCTCCTTCTCGATCCTTACGTCACGAGACCTTGCCGCCTTGGTAACCGCTCTCGGCTCTTCCATGGCCGCCATTTAAAAGCCAATCCTCATCACAAAGCGCTCTGCGACCGCCGCTATCCGGCGCACGGCTTCTTCCACGAATAATGGCGGATCATAACCCCGCGCTGGATGCCAAGCTCCAGGATCTTGACCGTGAGCTTGAGGTACGTCCTGGTCCATCCCGCCTCGTATTCTGGCCCAACAGATGCTGACATGCTCCCTCAAGGAGGGCGATATCACGGAAAAAGGGTATGATACGTCCTTGACTCGCTAATGCAGCCAAGACCGCATGTGCAAATTCTAACGCCTTTTTTCTAGCTACCAAAAGCGACGAACGCTGCTCTTCTCACAGTACGGACCTCCGCCCGTCCCGCCGCCGCAATCTGGCCTCCGAATCCATTCCGTCGAGAACTCTTCGCACCCCGTAAACGATGGTCACAGAGTAGCTGCCATGAACGCCTTGGGAGGCGGCGGTGCACCTCGTCCCAGCAGCTCACACTCCCAGCAGCAGCAAGACGGTCCCGGCTCTTGGGCCCCGACGCCTGACCATAACCCAAACGCATTGCGCCCCGGCGTGCCGATACCCGAAAACCGCCCCGGCATGCCGATACATCGCGACTCGCTGTTTTATCTGGGCTCTGGAGGCGCAATGGGCCCATCGCGAAGCGAAACCATGGTGTCTGGCAACTACGCCTTCAACCCCGACCAACATGGCTCCTATCCTCATTCGCAGGCGCCCCCGCCAGACAGTAGAACTCAGACACTGCTTGACTCCCAGGGTTACTTTTCTGACTTCGCTGGCGAGCAACACTACGACCAGCCCCAGCAAGCCGACTATGGTGGCCCGCAGCACCGATACTCATCCACTGAGGCCTTCTCTCCTACGGCCGCCATGGCCCCGCCGATGCTTACGGCCAGTGACCTCCCGCCACCGGAGGCACTTGCATACCAGTTGCCCTTGGAACCTCGTGAGGTTCCGTTCTCCATAATGGATTCGCATGATCCGAGCCTGGCTATGTCGAAATTCGACAACCTCGCTTCGGTGCTACGGCATCGAGGGCGTACAATTGCAAAGACCCCTGCGTTTTGGGTCCTCGATAGCAAGGGCAAAGAGACAGCCTCCATCACATGGGACAAATTTGCTTCCCGAGCCGAAAAAGTGGCTCATGTCATACGAGAGAAGAGCTCTCTCTATCGTGGTGATCGAGTTGCCCTGGTATACCGAGACAGTGAAGTTATCGACTTCGCCATTGCTCTCATGGGATGCTTCATAGCAGGTGTCGTCTCTGTACCCATAAACGACTTGCAAGACTACCAACGTCTCAACTACATCCTCACCTCCACACAAGCTCATCTCGCGCTGACGACGGACAATAACTTGAAGGCCTTTCAGCGGGATATCACGGCGCAAAAGCTTACTTGGCCCCGCGGCGTTGAGTGGTGGAAAACAAACGAGTTTGGTAGCTACCACCCCAAGAAGAAAGAAGATATGCCTGGTCTGAACGTTCCGGATCTCGCATATATCGAGTTTTCGCGAGCGCCAACTGGTGACCTGAGGGGGGTCGTGCTCAGCCATCGCACCATCATGCATCAGATGGCAACTCTCAGTGCTGTCATTTCCAACATCCCTGGGAATACCCCGGGAGACACTTTCAACCAGTCACTCCGAGATAAAAATGGACGTCTCATCGGTGGTCGTTCTCGCAGCGAATCAATCCTCTCTTATCTGGACCCTCGTCAAGGAATTGGCATGATTCTCGGCGTCTTGTTGACAGTCTATGGTGGCCATACTACTATTTGGTTTGACAACAAGGCTGTCGATGTGCCTGGTCTATATGCCCATTTAATCACCAAATACAGGGCGACAATCATGGTTGCCGACTATCCAGGCTTGAAACGTTCTGCGTACAACTACCAACAAGACCCCATGACAACCAGAAACTATAAAAAGGGCATGGAGCCCAATTTCCAGACCGTTAAGCTGTGCTTAATTGATACCCTTACAGTTGACAGCGAATTCCACGAGGTTCTGGCCGATCGATGGCTACGTCCGCTACGCAACCCCAGAGCGCGTGATGTCGTATCGCCCATGCTCTGTCTCCCAGAACATGGTGGCATGGTTATAAGTCTGAGAGACTGGCTTGGTGGTGAGGAACGAATGGGTGTTCCGCTGAAGATGCTGGAAGCAGAATCTGAGAAGGGCGAAGACTCTGACACCAGCAGCGAGAAGGAAGAAATCAAGCCTGCTATCTCGAATGGATTTGGCAGTTTACTTGGCGGAGGAACGACAACTACTAAGGATCCACAAGATTCACAGACGGAGATGAATGAGGTGCTTCTCGACCGCGAAGCACTCAAGACAAACGAGGTGGTTGTGGTCGCATATGGAGCCGAAGCTAGGAAGAAAGGCTCTAATGATCCTGGCATGGTTCGAGTCGGAGCCTTTGGATACCCTATTCCAGATGCCACCTTGGCCATTGTTGACCCCGAAACTGGTTTACTTGCTTCCCCCCACTCCGTCGGCGAAATTTGGGTTGACTCACCATCACTATCTGGTGGATTTTGGGCTCAACCTAAGAACACGGAGATCATCTTTCATGCTCGACCTTACAAGTTTGACCCGGGTGAGCCCACCCCCACGCCCGTGGAGCCTGAGTTTCTTCGTACGGGTCTTCTAGGAACTGTTATTCAGGGCAAGATTTTTATTCTTGGATTGTACGAAGACCGCATTCGGCAAAAGGTTGAATGGGTTGAGCATGGGACTGAATTGGCCGAGTATCGCTACTTCTTTGTGCAGCACATGGTTGTCAGCATTGTCAAGAATGTGCCCAAAACATACGACTGCTCTGCATTTGATGTGTTTGTCAACGAGGAGCACTTGCCAGTTGTGGTGTTGGAAACTGCAGCAGCATCGACGGCACCCCTGACTTCCGGCGGCCCTCCCAGACAGCCGGACATGGCTCTTTTAGACTCACTTGCCGAGCGCTGCATGGAGGTGTTGATGCAGGAGCACCACCTCCGACTGTACTGCGTGATGATTACAGCACCAAACTCATTACCTCGAGTAATGAAGAATGGCAGACGTGAGATTGGCAACATGCTGTGTCGTCGAGAGTTTGATCTCGGTAACCTGCCTTGTGTTCACGTCAAGTTCGGCGTGGAGCATGCCGTTCTCAATCTTCCGATTGGCGTGGACCCTATTGGTGGCATCTGGTCGCAAGTATCCTCAGAGTCTCGTGAAAATGTGCTCATGACGTCTGAGAAGCAGTACTCCGGCATTGATCGACGTGAAGTTGTTATTGACGATAGAACGTCCACCCCGCTAAACAACTTCTCCTGCATCACAGATCTTATTCACTGGCGTGTCGCTCGTCAACCTGAAGAGCTGGCTTACTGCACCATCGACGGGAGAGGGCGAGAAGGCAAGGGCATTACTTGGCGCAAGTTTGATTCCAGAGTCGCTGCTGTGGCAATGTACCTGAAGAACAAAGTCAAGGTACGACCGGGCGATCATTTAATCCTCATGTACACCCACTCGGAGGAGTTTGTGTTTGCAATACACGCCTGCATCAGCCTTGGCGCCATCGTTATCCCCATTGCACCTCTGGATCAGAACCGCTTGAACGAGGATGTCCCTGCGTTCCTTCATATCGTCTCCGATTACCGAGTCAAAGCTGTTCTTGTCAACAACGATGTCGATCATCTCATTAAACTCAAGCCAGTTTCCAGCCACATCAAGCAGTCAGCGCAGATCCTCAAGATTTCGACCCCGAGTCACTACAACACGTCAAAACCGCCAAAGCAGAATAATGGTCTCCGGGAATTGGGCCTGACCATTGACCCTGCGTGGATCCGGCCTGGCCATCCAGTCATCATTTGGACATACTGGACCCCGGATCAGCGCAGGATTGCTGTCCAACTCGGCCACGATACAATAATGGGCATGTGCAAGGTTCAGAAGGAGACGTGCCAGATGACTAGCTCCCGACCAGTACTTGGCTGTGTCCGCAGTACAACTGGGCTTGGCTTTCTTCATTCCTGTCTAATGGGCATCTATATCGGCACACCAACATACTTGCTATCACCAGTCGAATTTGCACAGAATCCAATGTCGCTGTTTGTCACCCTGGCCAGATATAAGATCAAAGACACATATGCAACAGCGCAAATGCTGGATCACGCCATGGCTACTATGCAAGCCAAGGCATTCACCTTGCATGAACTGAAAAACATGATGATCTCGTCTGACAGTCGGCCGCGAGTTGACATCTTTCAGAAGGTTCGCATGCACTTCGCCCAGGCCGGCCTAGATCCGACGGCCATCAACACGGTATACTCTCATGTTCTCAATCCCATGATTGCATCTCGGTCATATATGTGTATTGAACCAATTGAGCTCTGCCTAGACCCGAAAGCTCTCCGAAGAGGATTGATCATGTCTGTTGACCCAGAGTCGAATCCCAAGGCCCTTGTGGTGCAAGACTCCGGCATGGTGCCAGTGTCTACCCAGATTGCCATTGTCAACCCGGAGAGCAGAGCACACTGCCTTGATGGCGAATATGGAGAGATTTGGGTGGATTCGGAGGCATGCGTTAAGTCATTTTACGGATCGAAGGACGATTTTGATGCGGAGCGCTTTGACGGCCGAACTGTCGACGGTGATCCTGCCGTACAGTATGTGCGAACTGGTGATTTGGGCTTTTTGTACAATGTGAGCCGGCCTATTGGGCCCGGTGGCGCACTGGTTGACATGCAGGTGCTCTTTGTGCTGGGTGGAATTGGTGAAACATTTGAGATTAACGGATTGAGCCACTTCCCGATGGATATTGAGTCCTCCGTGGAGAAGTGCCACCGTAACATTATACCCAACGGCTGGTAAGTTGTGCTGGAATCGAACTGAAGCGCGAGAGGCTAACTTTCGTAGTGCGGTTTTCCAGGCCGGCGGTCTGAATGTTGTCCTCGTCGAGGTCAACCGCAAGGCTTACCTGGCTTCCATTGTGCCTGTCATTGTCAATGCGATCCTGAGTGAGCATCAAATAATCATTGACATTGTTGCTTTTGTCAGCAAAGGTGACTTCCCACGGTCGCGACTGGGCGAGAAACAGCGTGGCAAGATCCTCGCTGGCTGGGTAACTCGTAAGCTGCGCACTATGGCTCAGTTTGGCATCCGTGACGGGAGTCCAGCAGCCCTGGGCGACGGCCCGGGTCCTGATGAAAGCAGACACTCGACGGGAAGCATGCGTAGCTCCGCGATGCTGGCAGCAGGATCATCTAGTCTCCGAAATTTCGAGACAGCTCCGCACATCCCTGAGCATGAAGAATATGATGTCCGATACAATACCATGTCTACAATGCCACCTCCGAGGCACAGCGTGATCCCCGAGGATCAGACAACGCCGACAGGCCATCCACAAGGGGCGTCAACGGCGGCACCCGATGTCTTCCCACAGACTGACAGGGCAGATACAGGCGCTGATGACTACGGGTTTATGAGCAAGGAGGATCCCACTCTTACCCATTTCGTCTCGGAGCTTGATTCCACGCGGAATTTGCACCATGATGGGAACCAAAGCGCTCCGCAGATAAGGCTGCCGGGTGTTGATGGCCGAGAGAGTATGGACATGTTTGCCGGCGGGGCGGACCGACCGGAAGACGACGAAACGGAGTGGACAGCTGACGCAATTATGCACATGAATCTTGCGGGTGATATGGACACCCGGCGAGGTGAGGCAAGATGAGCTTGTTTGTGCTGAGGCATGCAGTGTAGATAGAGTGGCCGAGATTTCGGGTCGAAGGGCTCAGGTCTTTTTTTGTTAGAGGAGAAAGGGAACGGAGGGGTTGTTGGTAAAGTCGAGTCTCGTTGGAAACAACCATGAACATATGACGATATATTCGTTGGCGCATCATTTTTATCCGCTGCTGTCTTCCGGCTTTTTTGCATTACTGTTTTTGGCCATGTGGGATAGTGTATATTGCATAACTATATATACCTTGATGGTATTAGACGAGCAAACGTCTAGAACTTTTTGTAAATGAAATTGGTATCCGACAAAATAAAACCTTGTGTGAGTGAAAGTATTCAAAAAACCCAAAAGGGTCCCCCAAACTCCCGTAAAAATGTGAGGCCGTCCCTGCATCTAGATTACATGGCGGAGCATTGCCCAACCCAGGCCCCTTCCTTATCCTCGTCTCCTCCCCGATAAAGTTGATTGCTTGAATGCCGGCGCTACCGTGAAACGGGTGTCGAGTCGAGCTCGTAGCGCTGGGCCTCGATCTCGCGGGCCAGCCGCGGCGACAGCGGCCCCGTGGGGGTGGGCAGCTCCTGCGGCAGTTTGTAGTAGCTGCCGTTGTGGTCGGCGTCGGGAAGCTCGTACACCTTCTTCTCGTCCTCGGCGGCGGCGGCGGCGCCGATGGGCGGCAAGGGCTTGTTCGTGTTGGGTGTGCCGGGTGGGATGGCTGCGGCGGTGAAGGGGGTTGGGTCTAGTTGTTGTTGTTGTTGTTGTTGTTGTTGTTGTGTCCTGCGACGGCGGCGCCAGAGGAGAAGCGCGGCAACGCCCAGTGCGATGACGCCGAGAGCGACGGCGATGCCGATGCCGGCCTGCGCGCCGGGGGACAGCTCGGTCTTGGTGGTGGCGTCAGTAGCTTCGGCGCCGGCTGAAGCGGTTGGTTCCGAGTCTGAAGTCGTCCCGGCCGTAGCTGTTGTCTGTGTTCCCGTGGAGCTCTAATAGATCACGACCCATGGTTAGTCAAATTTTACTTGTGTCTGTCTGGGCCCATCCGGGACGCAGAGATTCCCAGCATTGACATACAAGAGTCGGAATCGTCGAGTACTCGATGGCGTTGACGGCCTGCGCGCTCGTCAAGTACCAGTGCTGCGAGGGCTCGCCCTTGGCATCATCCTCATCATCCGCCTCCTTGCCATCGTCGCTGCCGGTGACAACGCTGCCATTCATAAACGGCGGGTTGCCCTTGTGGACGTCGAGCCAGAAGCGCGTGCCGTTGGCGACGTTGACGAAGCGCAGGCCGTCCTTGACCATGTCGGCCCCCCACTGGTCGAGGCGCCAGACCTGCGCGTCGTCGGCGCCGTTGGCGGCGGCCATGCACAGGCCGGTCTGACCGTCGGCCGGCTCCGTCTCGTTGCGGCAGGCGGAGAGCTGCTTGGCGGCGCCGTCGCGCGAGTTGCGGACGACGTACCGGGCCTGGTCGCTGTCGCCGACGGCCTGGAACTGCCAGTAGTGCGGGGGTTCGGAGACGGGCTGCGCGTGGAAGGGTTCTGTCAGTTAGGGAGGAGACATGCTAGAGGGAGAGCGAGCTACATAGGGGGGAGCGGGAGTAGCTACCCAGACTTTGAGGCTGTTGGTCGACGAGTCGACTTGCAGCATCGAGGAGAACTTGCGGCCGGCCCTGTCCACCCGACCCTCGGTGACGTGGTACCAGACGTTGCTGTTGATGGCCGTCGCCGGCTTCATCTTGGAGGACTTGCCCCCAATGGAGAAGAACATGTGCGCGCGAATGTTGCGGAACCGAAAGTTCTGTATCTCCGTGTAGTAGTTTGTAGTTTGGGTTGTAGGTTCTGCTTGAGGGAAACCCCAACTAGGTACGGGATGATAAGTCCGAGGCAGAGACAGCAAACGGAAAATGATAGCTCGCCCCCCCCTGGAAAGCTACCGCCGCCAAGTCCAAACCCATGCGAAACCCGCGGTGGAGATGTGATGACAGGCACAGGGCTAGTTTAATTAGAAACACGCAACGCCAAGTTTTTTGAGTTTTCTCGTCAATGACCCCTGTATCACCAGTAGAAAGGTACTAACCTAATAGCCTGACTTTCCATTGCGGTGTGGGTTGATTCGCACAGAGCAGTTCCATGGCTTCTTCGTTGACCGTGACAAGGTTGGCTGGCACATCGTATACGATCAATCAAAGACCCTCAGAAACTCATAGTTTGCAAATTGATAATAACGGCTGGCGGATCTCGGTAGCTGTCACTCATGATCTGCCGAGCGAATTACAGATTAATAAGGGATATCCCATATTCGGCCGTGATATAACTCAGCTTGACAGACAGCCCCCAACCCAAACTATATAAACAAGGCGGGGAGCCCAGGAGGCGCAGTCCGGGGTCGGTGCGATAAGCAGCCCTGTGCTAGCTAAAGTCAATTCAAAAGTTGAAACCGAGCATAATAGATACCAGTTGGCAGCTAGACTACGGAGTACCTGGAGGCATAAAACAGACAGCCCTAACCGCAGTAAATCGTATAGCTGCACTCGAATTCGGAGGGAGAGGAAAAAAAAAACGCTCATGGCTGCATTATGCCGTGGTCCCAGCCAACCTTGGCATTTTTCCTTGAGCAGATGAGATGCCTGGCGATGCCGAGCTGGGACAAAACTGCCGTGATTTGTCAAAAATGTTACTTAACTCGGCGATGAGACACAGCGGCCAAGCCCATCAAGCTCGACCACTTTGAGTTCGAATTGGAATTCGAGTGCCCCTATTCAGGCTGGAGAGTTCGGTCTACAGTAACCATCCTAGCACAGGCTCTCTCGTTGCTCTCAAGACAGCGCCCTGCATTGAGATGAGATGAATCCATTTAGACCGGCGCGTGCCATATGCAAGTAAAGTCGAGATGATAGAATTCGATAAAAGAAAAATTCTAGGATATTATAGTCTATTCAATGGCCCTCCTCCAGCACGCGCTTGATGATCCCCATCGCCTCAGCCGACACGTCCTGGCCCCTTCGCCAGGTATACAGCGCGACGCCCAGCTGCTCCAGCTGCTCGTGCGCCCTCGCCACGCGCCGTCGCCACATGTCCTGCTTCCTGTTGACGCCCTGCGCGCCAATCGTCGGCGACCCGGACGACACGGGCGTCGCAACCCCCGAGCGCGACCCCGACCGGTGGTTGTACCACGAGAGCCCCGTCGCGGCCGGCAGCGGGTTGGCCGCCGGTGGCAGCGGGTCAAAGTCGTCAACGTCCGAGTTGAACGACAGCCCCCGGTTATGGCCGAACAGCCGCGGGCTCAGGTTGCGCAGGCTCGCAGGGCCACGGCGTCGGGGTAGCGGCGGCGCGATGTCCGGGGACGAGGGCGCTGTCGTTCCGTCGCCCATCTCGCTGGCGGCCTTGGAAGACGATCGTCGGGACAGATTGGGCGCGACGAACGACGGTTCCGTGGTCTTGATGCGTGGCGGGGGCTTCGGGGGAGGGGCGTCGCCGGCGTTCCTAGCGCCCGCGGCCCGGATGCCCAGCCCGCGGCCGTCTGCGTTGTGGCTCGTGGCCGAAGTGGCACCCCGCAGCGCTGCCGGCTTGGCGGGACGCGGCGGAGGAGCCTTGCGACCGAGCAGATCCACTGCCGAAACCGGCTTCTTGCTGCTGCGCACCTGCGCGAGAGGAGCTGCCTCATCAATCTTGAGCTCCTCCGGCTCCTCCGCAAAGTCAATCAAGGTCCCCATGGCAGGGCCAGCCGAGGGCCTCTGCTCGATTGGAGAGACGACCGGCGCCGAGTTTTGGCGCGGCTTGCTGCTGCTAGTTCCGTCAGCCGGCGGCGGCCTACCGTCGTCCACGGCGAGGCTGCCGAACCTCTTTCTTGTGAGGTCGTACGCCGCGTCAAAGTATCCCGGGCGCTCTGTCGTGGTGACGTCGCGGATGAAGATGGCTAGAATGCGACCCGGGTTCGCGACGGCTAGGTCCGTGTAGACCTCCAGATCGGCCTCACCGCTATCTCCGACAAGCAGGAACTTGCGGTCCGGGAAGTCGCGGAGCAGGCGGGTCAGCGTCCCCTTCTTGCGCTCTGCGACGGGCTCAAAGATTCCCTGCAGCATGCCCGAGTACTGCTTGAGGTGGAGCGACCCCGGCGGCAGCCCGCCGAGCTTGAAAAAGCTCGCCAACACCGGGAATAGCTGCCAGGGGCTGTTGGAGCAGTAGTGGAACATGACGCCGTGCGCGTGCATCTCCGTGTACCACTCCTGCACGCCCTCGATCGTCAGATCTCGAAGCTCGCGGATGAAGGTGTTGCGGAAGATCTCGCGCGCCCCGCTGGCAATGTTGGACTTCTTGACAGTGTCGTCAATGTCGCTGATGAGGCTCACGCCCCGCGGCTCGATGATCTTGACCTCCTGCGTCGCCGACAGGTCCTCGTTGCCGAGGACCCGGACGTGCGTGGGCACGAAGTCGAGCGCGGCGCGGAGGTTGAAGTGGCCGGCGTCGTCGGTCAGGACGGTGCGCGACTGCGACTGCGAGTCGTTGTAGAAGAAGACGGTGACGGGCAGGCCGATGAGCGGCGTGGTCATAAAGGGCGCGAGGCGCGCCATGAGGTTGGCGTTGGCCAGGGTGAGCTCGGCCTCCGAGAGCTCGTTGACGTTGGACTGCTTGGGGCCGAAAAGCGGACTTGTCGGCGCCGACTCCGGTGTCTGGCTGCCTCGCCGGCGTGACCTTCGCGAGTAGAATGACTCTGAAGCGACGGCGGTGCTGCCAAATGGTTCTTCGCTATAGCCTCCGGCGCCGGCGATCTGCTTCTCCAGGCGACCCCTCCGCTCGATGTTAGCGGCTTCCTGGTCAATCTTTTCCTGCTCCCTCTGCTCTTCGTGGAGCTGGTGATGGGACGGCGGTGCGTCGCCGGCGGGGTCCGTGCTGTCGGCCTCAGCTCGAGGAGCAGAGATGCCACTGAGCTGACGCGCGAGGCCGATGAGGATCCGGTTGCGTCGACCTATGGGGCCGCTCTGCGGGTTGTACATCCAGCCTCGGACGTCGACGTCGGCAATAGCGCGTTCGTCCTCGTGCCGCTCAAACTCTTGCCGCCAATAGTCCTCGTCGCGGATAGGGCCGTCTTGTTCCTGCATCTGGTTCTGAGCTTGGAGCTTGGAGCTCTCGCGTTTCGTGTGGCGTTTGGCGTAGGAGGGGAACAGCACCAGGTGCTCGTCGCCTTGTACCGTGATGGCGGCGTCGGGGAAGGCACCGGGTATGTGAATGTGGCTGCGGGTTTCCGTGTCCGTATCGGCCATTCTGGCGCGCGTCTGGACGTACGTCTCGCGCATGTCGGTGACGGCCTGCTGGCCGGTACGGTACAGGCTTCCAGCCATCTCCGCCAGCTTCCTCCGCCTGTAGCCCCTCTCGCCATAGATGGGTTGCGCGTCGTCGCCTGCCGTGGTGGGCGTGGCGCCCGCCTGGGACCCAAAGGCGGGCATCTTTTTCTCCCTGGTTATAATTTGCCCCGGAGCAATCCCATCGCTGGCCGCGGCCGTGCTTCTCTGCTGGTGCTGGTGCTGAGGGCTAGCGGCGACTCGTCGTCGACCGGCGGGAGGCTGCTGCTGCCTGCGTTTGGCGAGCAGACCTGCTAGGCGGCCTCTCTCGATACGGCGAGATTGACGCTTGAGGATGTATCGGTAGACACGCGATTGCAGTCCGTGCTTGACAGCCGGGAGGGTATCGAGGTGGAATCGAACGAGGCGGTCGTTGAGTCTTTGACGCAAGGTGGCGGGGATAGCTCGTTGTAGCAGGCTGAGCCGGTGTCGCAGCGGGTGTGGGCGGAAACGGGCAAGGTTGAATAGGCGGAAGAAAGCCAGCTTGTCTGAAGATGAAAATCAGGGTATCAAATCTGCATGCAATAATGGCTTCGAGCTGTCCCGTAACTAAAAGGGTTGTGCTTGTTTTTTATAGGTTTTGTGCGGCTCTGCCTCTCTGGTACCTTGTATGTACCACTGGTATGGTATAGTGGCGGCACTGGGTCTCGTGGCGCGCGGCGCATGAGCGAGGCCGTCTCAGCTTCTCAGGCGCGCAAGTCTTCTGACGGCGGCAGGTCCAGGACCTGAATCAGCCACATGCAAAAGTCGGGGCGCGACACGACCAAACGGCTGACGGAAGCAGATGGGCGCACTGAAGAACTGCTGAATGAAAAAAAGGCAGCCGTCGGCCTTTGGGGGGATGTAGGATGAGGGTATGCTAACCCCGACTAGGCTCCGGGTCCTCATCAGTTATTGCCAGCAGCCAGCAGTCAGCAGTCAGCAGTGGGCTACACCAGCTAGCCAGCCCAGAGTATCATAATCAAGTCACAAATCATCGCCCGAGTTGCTGCCCCGAACGACCTTGCCCTTCTTAGCATTGCAGCTTACTACCATCGACATGTACAACAAGTCTGGACCAGTGGATCGCCAGTATATGGCCCACGACTCCCCCGTTATTAGTGTCCGTTAGCGCACTCCCAACGCCCCGATGCCAAGTTGCAAGACATTGCGAGCACTCTCCTCCATCGCAGTCGATGATTCGTTAACATCCTTAGCTGGGACTAACAATGCTAGTATCCCCATGCGGACATGGTGGCTGCATCGTCCGAATGCTCATTCGACAATCTCGCCATCGTAATCAAGATGCATAGTTGGCCAAGTGCCATCTACACCAGCAAACTGCACATGCAGCCTTGGCGTCAGGCACATACATGCAGCCACTCATGTGATACTTGACTCTCGCCTACCATACACTTGGCGAGTACATCACAATGCTTCCAGCTGGTTTAACAATCAAATAGCCTTTTTTAAAACCCAAGTAAATATATGTATGCATCATGTACACCAACGCCATGCTCCATCATCCCCCGTTGCCATCGCCTCTACTTCACTTGCGACCGCCAACCTTTCCCGCCTTGCCCTTCTTCCCCTTGGGCCGGCCCTGTTTCGCCTTTGTGGCCGCATTCATTGCATCCGTCTTGCCTTTCCTCCATCCCATGCCGTCAGCTCGCTCGGCCTTGATATCCAGTCGCTTTTGGATCTTGTTGCTGATCTTGCCCGGTGCCTTCTTCTTGCTCGACTCCCGCGCGCCATTAAGTTCCGCCTTGCCAGCCTCCTTGGCCTTCTTCTTCTCCTGCTCCGACTCGAACCATGTTCTCTTGGGACGCGACTTGATCTCCGCCTCGTGCTCAATCAGGTTCTCGCCCTTCCTCACCTGCATTTCTGCCTGCGCAAGTTGCTTCTCTTCCTTTTCCTCCCGCATAATTTCCTTGATCTCCTGCTCCATGCCGTCAATCTCTGCCTGTAGCTTGTCTGCCTTGTCGGCTTCAATTACGCGACTGGAGACCTTGGCGCCTTGGGCCTTGCCTGCTTTGACCGCCGCCTTGACAATCTTTCGGTCCGCCTCCGAAGCGAGAGTCAGGGCAACACCCTTGCGACCCGCACGCGCCGTACGCCCGACTCTGTGCACGTAGATTTCTAGTGACTGTGGTGCTTCGTAGTTGATGACTGTATCGACGCCTTTGATATCTAGACCACGCGATGCCAGGTCAGTCGCAAGGAGGAAATTGACTTTGCCGTCTCGAAAAGCTTCCACGCTGTCGATACGCTGTCGCATGTTAGATCTTGCCAGGTAATATCAATCGCATCAGAGAGCAAACTTACTCCTGTTTGACTCATGCTTCCGTGGAGCTCCGCGCAAGTCAGTCCTAGTATCCCAAAAATAATACGCGCTTCATGGGCGTCCTTTTTCTGCCGGAAGAAAATGATCACTCGCTCTGTATACAATGTCTTGCAAATATGTGCTAAGTAGCCCATGCGCTTCTCTTCTCGACCTGGGCGCAGGCGCACAAATTCCTGAACAAGCGTGCCGACAGTCTTCTTTTGCGCGTCGACCATGACTCTGGCGGGCTTGTTCATGCCGACTCGAATGAGTCTGTCGACGGTTGACGTCATGGTGGCAGAAAAAAGCATAGTCTGTCGGGATTTGGGTAGAGTGGTGAGGATTTCATTCAGTTCGTCAGCAAAACCGTCCTCCAGCATTCGATCAGCTTCATCAAGAACAAGAATCTCAACAGTGTCAATTGGGAAGCTGGCCGAGTTGCGCATGTGATCAATGAAACGACCCGGTGTAGCGATGATCACATCAGGGCGGAGGCGAAGTTCGGCTTCCTGCATTTTCAAGCTGAGACCGCCGACGGCTAATGTGAACTTGATGTCAGTGTGTGCTGCAAGCTTCGTCGCGACAGCGTGACATTGGATCGCTAATTCACGTGTGGGTGTAAGGACGACAACTCTGGTAGTGGGAATCTTCTTGGGCCGATACAGAAGTCGCTCCAGAATGGGAATAATGAAGGCACCAGTTTTACCAGAGCCAGTGACGGCTCCACCGACAAGATCCTTGCCCATCAGAGCGATAGGGATAGTCTTGGACTGAATCGGCGTGGGCTTTGTGAAGCCGACATTGGTAAGGCCGCGAAGGATGGGACGAGACAGAGACATGGCTTGGAACGAAGAGATCTTTTCTTCTTTGCCACTCTTGGGCTTTTCTTCGGGAGCGAAGAAAGCCGCGCGCTTGGCTTCCTCTTCGGCATCTTCTTCATCGCTAGCATCGGATGCCTCGTCATCATCGGGATGAGCCTCGGGCGTGGCCACAGAGTCGTCATCTGATGCATCGCCTCCCTCCTGCTCGTCGTCTTCTCCCTTGCCGGCATCTTCTTTAGCCTCGTCATCATCTTCTTCCTCCGATCCCAGATCAACATGCATGCCGAATGCGTCGTCAGCAAGAACCTCATCGTCGTCGTCGTCCATTTCCATGCCATCCTCAAGATTCTCTTGTTCTTCGTCTGCGTCCGCCTCACCCTCGGCGTTGGGGTCGATAGAGTCTTTTCCCTGCCTCTCTTTTCTTCTTCGAATGATTTCGTCAATGTCCACCATTTTCTTGTTCATGTTCATGCTCTTCTTGGCGCCGTCGAAGCCCCAGCCCTCGAACGCTTCCTCGTCAAAGTCGCCAGCATTGTCCACCATAAATTCGAAGTCAGTGTCCATTGCGCCATCATCGTCGTCGTTCTGGCCCCAAACCCCCTCAACCTCCTCATCCTCATCAGCAGAGGCGTCCTTGGTTTTCGGGGCTTTCTTTGCTTTCTTTGCAGTCTTCTTCTTCTTCTTCGGTGGTTCAGCGTGCATCACTTCCTCTTCAGCGAGATCCTCGTCATTGTCTGATATCGTGTGGACGAAATCGTCTTCAACTGGCTTTCTCTTTTGTGCAGGAGCCATTTTTTCTTTATGAAAAGGTTATGCCACACCTTGACAACTTCAGCGCGTCTGGAGGGCCGACAGGAGATTCCGAGCTTGGGCTTGGGGCCGGTCGTTGATAATTTTCTGCCGTTTTGAAATTTTGGCGGTGAGCGTGAACTAGTCCATTTTCTGCCGTTCCGTGGCGTTCCTTCTGTGGTGCCTGACTTGTTGGAGGGGTTGGTGGTGCACGTGATCCACAGCTCGTAATAAGTTGTTGCCTATGTTCTTTGGCAGCGACCTCCCTTTTGACCCCACCGTTGGTTGATTGGCCGACCAGGGAAGCTGGCCAGACCTCCTTCACTTCTTTGCTGGGCGCGTACTCCATTCAGCAATTGATAATCTCACGAGCAACCGTTGTTTTCCTGCTTTTTCACTGCTGCCTGTTGCCACTGAACCACATCGGGAGAAGCCATTTTTTCACCCATCTTGATATTCTCGGCGTCATTTCAGCACTCAATTTTGCTTTTTTTTGCATAGCACCTTTTTCTCTAGCGTCACACTCACCAGCTCCGACTCGGCAACCGCAGCACAAACAAGGGAAAATGGGCGAATCTCGGTACGTCCACGCCGACTCACTGCAGCTCCATATCACACACCGCGAAGCTCCGCGAGCAAGACTGACGAATCCGGCGACGACAGGCAAGAACTCGTTCAATGGCTGAACAACCTCCTCCAGCTCAACATCACCAAGGTTGAGCAATGCGGCACCGGGTACGTAGCACTAGACTTTTACCCCTCCCCCGCTTGAAATGGCGAGCGACGAGGGAGACATCGCCACAACGCGAAAGACAAACGACTGACGTAACAATAGCGCTGCGCTCTGCCAAGTCTATGACAGTATATACATGGATGTGCCCATGCATAAGGTCAAATTTAATGTCAATGGCGAATATGCATACGTTCAAAATTTCAAGGTGCTGCAAAGTAAGTCCACATTGTCCTCGACCCAACGGCGGCCGGGCTCTAACCGTAGCAGGCACTTTCGCAAAGCACCAGATCGATAAGCCTATTCCTATCGAGCAGCTCGTCAAGTGCAAGATGCAGGACAACCTCGAATTTCTGCAGTGGACGAAAAAGTTTTGGGATCTCAACTTCCCCGATCACGAATACGACGCCGTCGCCCGCCGAAAGGGAGGTACGCTTGCGACGGGCGGACCCAGGCCACCAGCAGCTTCCAGTGGTGGTGCCGCGCGAAGAGGCGGCGTCACGCCGAGTGCCCCTGGCCGCGCCGCCCCTAGAACCGCCAGCGCGCCCTCCGCGGCCCTCCAGCAAGAGAATGCTACGCTGAAGGAGACTGTTGTTGGTCTCGAGCGCGAGCGCGACTTCTACTTCAGCAAACTGCGCGATATTGAACTTCTCATTCAGCAGGCCGTTGACGAGGATCCTGAGCTTGACAAGCAGGAAGATGGCCTTGTCAAGCACATCCAAACTATCCTGTACTCGACCGAAGAAGGCTTCGAAATTCCTGAAGAGGGAGAAGCAGCAGAGGACCAGGAGACTTTCTAAGAAGCTCAAGGAGCGGGGCATGTGACGATTAACGAAACGGAGCTGCATTTGATCTGGAGCAACTGGGGAAGCCAAGCTGCCGACACGCGCGGGGGGCTTTTATAGAGCCAAGGCTGCGTTGCGGGTGAGAAGCAGCTGGAGCGACGGGTCGGAGTGATGGAAAAAACTAGACTGAATCAGTGCAATTACACTTGAAAAGCATTGGACTTGAAGGTTTCTGCCTTTGACGAGTTATTCTGCCTGAATTGGGGGTGTATTCCAATAGATTTGGTCAATATACGTAGAGATGATAAGGGGCGGTGACTTTTGCGAGCAGAGCAGACATGAATAATAAGGTATCATCTCTCATTTGCTTCCGTCCAGCATCATACTGCAATAATTACTAAATGTCCGGCAATAACCCTATAATAGACAACTACAATTATGTAGGTACTCCAATTGTACTTATACTCCCCGCCACCAACAATATGTATGTACACACACCATCACTACCATCGGCGCTCCTATGAGTTGCAGCAGCCAACACGGTATCTTGATTTTTAAGTCTGCTTGATCTTAATAGTTAACAGCCCTTGTCTGCCGGTACAATTTGGTTTAGGCGCCCGCATACCTGAGCGTCGAGCATTGTTGGGACATCACGGGGAGCCGCTGGGCGCAGCAATCCGCCCATCCACGCACTCCACTAACAAAGGCGCTAAAATTTCACAGTCAAGCTCCACTGCAACAGCACCTGGCCGAAACATGTTGCATCATCATCACCCTCCAGCCGCCTGACAACCGGTTGTCACTCTAGACTGACCACGCGACCAGCAGTATTCGACCCCAGCAGGTCTTTCAAATAGCCATCATACTCCACTACCTCCTGCTGGCTTAAACATTGCCATCGAACTGGCACAAAGAAACGTACACACGGTGGACGGTCGAGCACACGAGCAGTACAAGCGTATACCGAGAGCGAGAAGTCGAGTCGTCACGCATCGGTGAACGATGGCGCCACCCCCCGAAATCGCCATTCCATCCACGAGCATCTCTGATGAGGGTTCAGGGAAGCCATACACACTGTACAACATCACCCTGCGGCTACCGCTTCGATCATACGTCGTGCAGAAGCGCTACTCGGATTTCAGCAAGCTGCACGAGGCGCTGCTGCAGCAGGTCGGCGCCGCGCCACCGCAACCGTTGCCGCAGAAGCACTGGCTGAAGTCGACAGTCAACTCTCCCGAACTGGCGCGAGAGCGACAAGTCGGTCTCGAGCGCTACCTTAAGACGATCGCGGAGTCTCTCGACCGTCGCTGGCGCGACACCTCCGCATGGCGCGCCTTCCTCAACCTCCCCAGCTCTAGCACCACCAACTCGGCTGTCTCGGCGGGCGGGCGGGCAGCGAGCGTCGCATCGGGTGCCGCCGACCCGACGACCTGGCTCGATCTACACAAGGAGCTGAAACAGCACCTACAGGACGCTCGGATAGCGCTCTCGCGGCGGGACAGCGCCGTCGATGGCGGCAACACCACGGCAGCGGCCGAGGCTGCCGCGGCCGCCCGCAAGTCTACCGTTCGCGCCGGCACGCTGGTCGTGGTTCTCACCGACGGCCTCAAGAAGCTGCAGGAGTCCGGGCGCGTCGGCGATGGCGAGCTGCGGCGGCGGCGGGACCTGGTGTCGACCGCCAAGATGGAGCGAGAGGGCCTCGACAAGTTAGCCAGCAGCATGCCCAGTGTTAGTGGCGGTGCCGGTAGCAGCACCACGCGGGGGCTATCCTCGTCCCCTGAAAAGGCCAAGCTGCTCAACGGCGCGCGACCAGGCGGCCGGCGCCTCGGCGGCGGCGCGCCGGCCCCCGAGACGGACAAGACACGCGAGCTCGACAACCAGGGCGTGCTTCTGCTGCAGAAACAGGAGATGGAGGCGCAAGACCTGCAGCTCGACCAGCTAACGGCCATCATCCGGCGGCAGAAGGAGATGGGTCTGCAGATCAATGAGGAGGTGGAGCGGCAGACGCAGATGCTCGACGTCCTCGACGAGGACGAGGCGCGCGTCCGCGGCAAGCTGGGCGTCGCCAATAACCGCATCCGCAAGATGTGACTGCGCTCGGCACTGGGCCTGACCCTGGCCCTGGCCGTCCGGCTGTGCGTGGCCCTGGCCGAGGCCGTGGCCCGGCTGACGTGGCTGGCGCGCCACCTATACCGCGGCTGCACCTGGATTTTCCGTCTGCTTCTGCTTCTCTTTGGCGGGATTAGGGTGTGAGCTGTCATTTCTCGGGTTTCTCTTATTCAGCATCATTTTGGCGGGCGTCTGAAGCGGCACATGTTACGTACGCCGTGGTCTCTCTTTTTGCCTTTACAGGAGCGCTGCTTAATATATCTACTACGGTGGCCTAACCGACAGAACAAGAAATTAATTCTATATACATAGGCACCATCTAGAATTCCTTTTCACAGAACCAGTCGCTACTTCCGTTCCCGTGCGCACGTTGAAACAAACGTCACTGCTTCTGTCTCCACGGCCCACGTACGGGCTGCCCCGAGCGGCCGCATCATGATGGCAGTCTAGTCCCCTGCCGGCCCATCAACGTGTACAGGTTCAGGACATGCATGTCAACGAACTTGAAGCCAAACTTATACAATCTATGGCCCTGTAAGGCGAGGCGTAGCGCCTGCGATAGTAGGTCCGTCAGGACGAGATGGCCACGCCCGCGAGTTTGGATGTTTTTCCCCAGAGTAAACAGCAGTGCTATGGAAAGAAAATTGAGCACCGGCTACACATCTAGCCATCTCATCGTAATTAAGATCAATTAGGGTCTATGTCGATCTGCACGGCCGTCTGTGTCGTACAGCTTGATCAGAGCGCTATGCAAGCAATCGACGCCTTCACTACGCCGCGGATTTGCTCCGTAAGCCTTTGCAATCTCACCGCTGAAAGTTAATTAATAGGCAATTTCGTGTCGGGCATACTCAAAAAAATTTTCCTCGTATCAAGGAAGGGACAGGATGGAAAATGTCCGGAATATTGTCAGTCCCAAGGCATATACCTCTACGACTGGGCTTTTCTATCACTGGAGGTAAATAAAACAAGATCACTGAACAGGATCGATTCCCTCAGCGCTAAGGATCGGCGCACTGCGGCCGCGGGTTCTGGCTATGTATGGTATTGTTTGAGGGGAAACTTGCATATGCCGACACAGGGCTGCAGACCTTCGGAGCGATGTATACGTTATCATGTCGTAAACGCCTAACTTGGGCACTGCATGCGAACTGCAGCGAAAGCGGGCAACCGGGTGAATGGTTGGCAGTCGTTGCGGATATGCAGACAGAGCGGCAAGGACGGGTCTAGCCGTGGTGGCTACGTCACAGATGAAGCTAGTGGTAGAAGCTGGTGGTTGCTGGGCAACAAGAGGCAGCTAGCGTCGTCTCAAGGAAGAGGACGAGCGCGCGGTAACAATAGCGAAAGAGGAGGGTGAGGGTCACGCTATTTTTCTTCTTCTTTGTCTACTGGGTCTTCTTCATCTTTGTGGCGCTGTGGGGAGTTTTGCGGTCACTTTCTTATGATTCAGGGCCCTTTTCATGCTATTTGCCGTGTTAATGTTGTGAATACTGAGCCGGCGAGAAACAGTAACTACCTGACGACGCGACGCGGATTGCCAGAGCCCAAGCGCAGCGTGCGTCGTACCGCTTATCTTGTAGAACGTATGTAGGCCATGCATGTCGTACAAAGGCAGGCTGAATGAACATGTGGATTCCCGGTGCAGAAGTCAGGGACGCGTGGTTTGGAAGGATTGGCCGGTAAGCTTGACCGCCTATGCAGAAGCAGAACTGTTGTTGTCGAGGTTCCAGCCCCTCCTGACTCGGCCGGGTCAGACTTTGAGGGATCCGATTGGAAGGTGTTACAGCTCGTTGGGCACTGATGCATATGAGCAGTCAGAGGTGGTTCGTACATGAATTCGAGTATTGACGGAGTGACGACCACCACCGTCTGAATCGCTGCTGACGATAGTTAATTACGAATACAGGCCAAAATAGAGGCGCCTGTTACCCAGGGTCCTACAAAAATAGGCAACGAGTTGTCAGGGCCGGCAGTGCAACGACTGGCTTGGTAATAATAAACACGAGCCGCCGTGACATCCGCTCTCGTGCAGCGAGACTAGAATTTGTCACCGACCCGTACACCAGTGAATGACTGGAGGACAAGACATCGTCAACAGTGGCACCAAAAAGGGTGCCCCCTGTCCGCGACGCATCAAGCCCTCTCCTCTCCTCTCCTCTCCTCTCTTGTGGAGGGGGCTGGGTGATGGACTCATGCACCGCAACCGGCTTGGCCGGATGAAATGAGGTGTGAGCGGAACAGCGGGCGCGAGATGTGATTGATGATGGCATCATTGGATGAAGATGAACAAACAGAGGCCATCCATCTTGATTCCCTCTGCAGCGAGGTAATACTAGCGGGAGATTTCAGTGGACAGCTGGCAGACTGGGTGGCGTTTGCAAGTGTTTGCTGCGCTAAAAGCACTGCCGAGCTGGCAGGCTGCCTACCCAAGGACGCTAGACAATCGCTACGAAGATGCCTGGGACCGCTGAAAAACAACGACCAAGAGACTTTTTACTGCTGCCAACTTCAACTTAATCTCTCTCCAACCACTACGGAAAGGTGGGGCCAAGCGAAAAAAAAGTCGCTGACCCTGGATCCTGGATCCCTCCCGCCCCCAGCCAAAGTAAACACAAGGACCACCATGCTCCATGGTCTTCTCTGTGTAGCCTGTCCCCCCATTTCCACCGATTTGCATTTCTTTGTTTGCTCGCCGCCGAATTCTTCCTTGAGCCATCTCAAGAAGCTTCCTATCGCCGTGTTGGTAGCCGGTATCGCTGAAAAATCAAATCACCTCCTGGCCTCTCTGTCATCCGCCCGTTGGGGCAAGCCAAACAACAAGCTCCCAGTGACGATAAGTCGACAGTCGACAGTCGACCGGCCACCCATCTCACCTCCTATTTTTGCCTCGATCGATTAACTGGCTCGGGAAGCCCGTCATCGTCAGCTCTCCTCGACTTCCTTTCTCCGTGTCCTCTTTCCTCGTTGGTGTGTGTCGCCCATCGTATAGCCTCTATTCTTTACACCCGCTAATGCCACGTCGCAGCTCCGATTCTCTTCACGACTGCACGACTTTCAGCCAAATGGCGTCCCCAAGATACCCCCGACTATAGCGTTTCTTTTTGATCTTTGCTTGCCGCTCTCCATTTCACTTTTCACCATAAGGCGCACCCGCCATGAGTGCGCCCCCTCCGCCTCCGCCGCATGGCGAAATGCCTCGGTCCGGTGGCCTTCCTCCGGGCAAATACGACATTTTTGTAATTCCCGAACACTCAGCCGGCTCTGGGTTTCTCTATCTGCCGTCTCTGCAACCGAGCATCAACAGCTTCGTTGCCGGTTTTGCGTCGGCCCTGATTCTCGTGGTTTTGTGTCAAAGCATGGCACCTGCTTTTCGCGCCTGGTGGGATAGCTTTGAGGGCCTTGGCAATATGGGCATCACCTTCCTCATTGTTGGAGTTGGTTTCGGCGCCTGGGCTCTCGGACGCACTCAAAACGACTCCGGTTCCTCGTCTAGGTCAAGATCAAAGCCTTCCAGCCCTCCGCCGCACAACTCTGGTCCAAGTGCTGGTCCTCCTCCGGGTGGTTACGCCTCGACGCCGCCACCCAACGGACCACCGCCTCAACCACCACCGCAACCACCACCTCAATCACCACCGCCTCAACCACCGCCTCAGCCAGGGCCTCCGCCACCTCCTCCTCCTCATTCTGGTACCGAGCGGCCCCAATCATCTTGGCAAAAGCCGCCACCACAAACAGGGAACAAGAGACCAGAGAACCCGAAGCCGTCGGCTAAAGGCTCGTGGGAAAAGGCGCGAGACGAAATGAGAAAGAAGGAAGAGGAAAGAAAAGCCAAGGAAGCTGAGCAAAAACGTCGTGAGGAACTTGCCAAGCGTCTCGCAGAACTGCGTGCAAAGGAGGCCAAAGAGCGAGTGGAGCGAGAAAAGGAGAAACAGCGGAAAGAAAAAGAGATTGCCGATAGGAAAGAAAAGGAAGTCAAAGCAGCGGAAGCAAAGGCTGCAGCGGCCAAGGTTGCCGAAGCAAAGGCTGCTGCCGAGAAAGCAAAGGCGGCAGCACCACCGCCTCCACCATCACAGGCCCCAACACAGACAACAACGCAAACGACATCGCCCACGGCCGCCCGTGCCGGAAGTAGTTATGCATTTTCTGGTGTTGGAGAGAAAATGAGCATGTGGCCGAACGGAAAACCTCCAGCGCCACCGAGCTCAACCACGGCAAAGGCACCGCCCGCCTCGCCCAAGAAGCCACCGCCAGCGCCGACAGCGAGGACCTATGTCAGTACTGACGAAGACGCATTCTCCTACCGGCCGTACGACAAGCCCAAGAGACCGCAAAGGAGAAACTCTGGGGGCTCTATGGCCTCGGATGGCTCCTGGGCACCGTCTCACACAACAGCTCGAACATCGCCTCCGCCTTCTATGCGTGGTCCATATACCACAAAAGACCCAGACAAGATTGTCATACAGGCTGTGTACCTGTTTATGAACCAATATGCCAAGACGCCTGCGAGCCAGCTCATCTCAGGCGTAGGCTCCGTCACCGACGGCCTCATCTTGCGCATCACCACTGAAGGCCTGTTCATTGACGATGACGTTCGCGGAGTACCACAACGCGAATGGGACGTCAAGGCATGGACCCTGAAGCTGGTCGAGGTATGGTGCCCCCCGCACTGTTTGAATTATGCGTCGTCTGCTCCGAGTCCCAACCCCAACAACAAGAGTGCGAATTTGCTTTACAAGATGGCAACAGGCCGTGCGCGCGCATCAGATAGGGATCCCAACAAGCCATTCGTCGGCGACGATGCGGATGTCTATCTGACTGACATGCTCAAGGCGTGCAAGGACTGTTGCCGTCTCGGTCTCTGCGAACAGAAATTTGGCAAAACTAACAACTCTGCGAATGGCCAGTCGGGCGAGTGGAAAGCCAGGGGGCTTCATCTGCTCCGTGCGACAGTTCGCGACCAGGACGGAAAGCGATATCTATTCGTCATCGACGAATCCGAGAATTGGAAAGTTGGCGCATCACTCCAGCGCCTGCGCCGCGGTGCTCAGGCAAGACAGCTGGGTGTGTGCAGCATGACGGCTTCGGAATCAAAGAACGTTTTGGAGACGCTAGGATGGCTTGACTAGTGGAGCGAATTGGAAACGCCGCAATGGCGTTGGTGATTGGAGTACTGGCAACGATTCGAATTCAAGGCGCAAGGATAGTCAAAGCAAGGGAACAAGCATTGTCAGATGTTCGGAGCAACGAGGGGGATTTCTTGGCTATTTGAACGGCGTTGGGAGAAAAACAAACATGGCTGTGGAGAGCTGTCAAGAGCATTGGAATGCATGGAGGGGCATATTACACTGGAGACAAAGCATTTGAAGCGATATGGGGATGGCATTGTTTGAAGCGACATTTTTCTCATTTATTGCACCTTGCAGCATTCCAGCGAAGAACTACATACCCACCGACCACCACAGTTTACAAGTGGTAGGTAGTCTGGTCATGAAACTCGGGCCCCCTCTGTCAGTCTAAGACGAAGAGACGTGTTGCGAGACACCATGTGGAGACTTGCATCTATATACCTTATATACCTTTAATACGAAGCTGAGGAAAGACAATGGCCAATGGTGAAATGCAAATGTCTCTCTTTTCCCAGCACGGGTTCTGCGGCCCCATCTCGGCACTTCCGCATTGCACAGCCAAGATAACCAAGCCAGATCATAGCAACAATTCCGAATACTCCATCTCGCCAAGGCGAATCTACCATCAAACGGGAATAGTCTTGCCTTAACACTAGTCAAGCTCCGGGCCGCACGGCCATTTAACCATAAAACTACCTTTGGAAGTGGAAGTGGCTCCATCTCGATCGGCATCACAACGACAGACAAGACCTGGAAAAGCATGTCCCACCCGTCAAGGTTATCCAATGAGGGAATTTGATCCCTTTGCCGAGACAGTTGTTAGTCTTTCGCGCCTTCTGCATGGGGGAGAATATTTGTAGTATAAATAGGTGGTGGGAGGGAGCCCGAGACGTACAGAGCCCAGACTTCTCCCAAGCCAATTCACGTATAGCTCTGCGAATAAAGTCAGCACTATGTTGAATCTCGCGAGAAACAGCCCTTGGGCTATCCTTGGCCTCTTTGGGTTGGCAGTTTCTGCCAGTGTGGTCTTCAACGGCGCCAGCGTCCAGGTGGACGACCGCTACTTCTTCATCGACCCGCACGTCGCCGGCGAGTTGCCGGTCCCGCCCCCGACGACGGCCGCGGCACTCGCCGGAGGCTTCGCGGGTGTGACAGTGGTGCAGAAGCAGCACCATGGTGACGGCGCCGGTGATGTGGCAAGCCTGGACACGCTGCTTCGGGGCTGGGCCGAGCTCGACGACGTCTTCCAGGCGTCGTTTCTCGAAGGCGGCGTTTACACCGTCGTCGACGTCTCCTCCGCGGAGATGTTGCCGACCTCCATGCAACTCCTCAACACCACCGCACAAGTCCACGCACTGCCCAACAACACCAGCGCCGCCTCCCTGCCCTCCGGGCCGTACTTCCTGGACGTGCGCACCGGGCAGGCGCACCGCGTGCTGCGGCTCTACGACGACTTCACCAACTCCTTCACGGGGTCGCTGCTGCAGAACCCCGACGGCAGCGTGCGCACGCTCTCCGCGCAGAGGCCCACGGCCGCCACGTTGACCATCGGCGTGCCCTCGCGCCTGTACTTCACCCGGTCCCCCGCGCGGCCCCTCGCCGGTGTGCGCCTCGGCGTCAAGGACTTGTTCTGCGTGCGCGGCGCCCGCCGCTCCAACGGCAACCGCGCCTGGTACCACCTATACTCCGCCGACGGCCCGTGCTCCGCGACGGCGCCGACGGTGCAGCGGCTGGTGGACGCCGGCGCGATCATCGTCGGGTACCAGGCGCTGGCGCAGTTCGCCAACGGGGACCTGTACGCGGCGGACGCGGTAGACATGCTCCTGCCGTTCAACCCGCGCGGCGACGGGTACTCGGTGCCGCAGGGCAGCTCGTCCGGCGCGGGCGCGGCGGTCGCGGCCTACCCGTGGCTGGACCTGGCGCTCGGCAGCGACACGGGCGGCAGCGTGCGCATGCCCGCGCAGGTCGCGGGGCTCTTCGGCAACAGGCCGACGACGGGGCTGGCGGGGTCGCTGGAGGGCGTGACGCCTCTGAGCCCGACGCTGGACACGCCGGGCCTGCTGGCACGCGACCCGGCGCTGTGGGACGAGGCGCAGCGGGTGCTCTACGGGAGCAACTACACGATGGCGGAGCCGCTGGTGGCGGAGGGTGCGGACTATCCGAAGACGATCTACGTGCTGGAGGGTGGGTGGCCGCGCGGGAAGCGTCCGGCGGTGGATGCCATGCTGGACGCGGTCGTCGCGGCCGCGGTGGAGGTGACGGGCGCCAAGGTAGAGACGCTGGACTTGGAGGCGCTGTGGAGGAGCACGAGGCCGGGCGAGGTCGGCGACGTGACGCTGGCGGCGTACCTCAACACCACGTACGCGACGCTCGTGGCGACCGAGCAGTGGGAGCTCGTCGGCAGGAAGTTCTTCGCCGACTACGCCCGTAGGTTCTCCTCGTGAACCGGACTTGTTGACCTGCCGCTGACGTTTTGATTTTGCAGAGAAGCACGACGGCCGGAAGCCGTACGTCAACCCTTCGGCCGATGGCCGCTGGTCGTGGGCCCAGACGCTGCCCACGTCCGCCTACCCGGCCGCCAAGCGGCAGCAGGAGACCTTTTCCACGTGGTTCCGGCAACACGTGCTCGCCGCCACCGGCGACGCGCGCTGCTCGTCCTCGCTGCTCCTGTACAGCGACTACTACGGGGTGCCGGAACTGCGGATGACGCTGCGGGCGTCCGGTCTTCCCATCGGCTTGCCGATCGGCCCGGGGACGGTGTACTATGCCCCGTTCTCGGGGACGCCGGACGTGGCGCTGCCGCTGGGCGAGGTCCGCTCGTCGAGCAACGTGACGGGCCGCGAGGAGCCGCTGCCCGTGTCGGCGGACGTGATGGCGGCGCGGGGCTGCGACGCGCTGCTGACGAGGTTGGCGGTGGAGCTGGCGAGGAAGGGCGCGGTCAAGGTGCCGAGGCCCGGAGGAAGCCTGGACGGCGCAGAGGTGCTGTTCCGCCGCGAGATGGGCCTGCTGTAAGTTCAGTGGTCGTCGATGGCTATGGTGTTGTCCTGCACGAAGCTAGCTTGAGAAGCACGGGTAAGGAGGATTGTGGTATGCACCGCTGCGTGTGTATTGTTTCATATGTATACAGTTTATAGTAAGGTATCAGTGAAGCTTGGTGTACTAAGCAGTTAATAAGGAAGCAGGAATATGCAAGGTTGAGCTGTGTGATGCCGTGGCTGTTGAAGTAGCCGTAGAAGCAGATAAAGCAAATGCAAACAAACGTTATCGCCAAATAAACTCCGTTTCTCAGAGCAAGCCAAAGAAGGCAAAAAAAGATCGCCTTCCAGACTGTCAAGACAGCAAGAATGCTAATTCTTTGTCGCCTGCCAGAACAAGAAAGCCGACCAAAAAAATGCTTCGCTCCCGTGCCATGCTTTTCGTATCCAATCTGAGCAAGTGAAGTCCCCAACTCCATAAAACTCCCCAAAGTCGTCCGATTAAATCCAATTACCCAAATCACTTTTCTTTTTCCAGCCTCAGCACTACATCACCAACCAGGCCGGGCTACGACTTGGTGACAATGTCCCAGACCTCGAGGTAGCCGTCCATGCGGCCGAGCAGCAGCACGCTCGCGTCCGCCGAGAAGGCCGCGGCCGTGACGAGCGCGCCGCCAGGCCGCTCCGCGAGGGTCGTGCCCGTCCGTGCGTCCATGATGTCGAAGCCGCCGCCCTCGGTCCAGCAGAGCATGTAGCGCGCGTCCGGAGAGAGCGTCAGCGGGACGCCCTCGGTGCGACGCACCGCCGCGAGCGCGTACGAGGCCACCTGCCCCGCGCGCGGCCTCCAGACGTGCACGGTGGCTCCCCAGACAGAGACGACGACAGGCCCAGTGCTGCCTTCGCGGGCCACGGCGAGCGCGCGGGGGTTACCCGCGCCGAGGCCCTCGATCTCGAGCCGCGCGACGGTGCGGCTCGTCGCGGGGTCCGTGAGGCGCAGCGTGCCGTCGCGCGCGGCCGTCACGAGCTGTGGCTGCGCGTCGTGCGTAAACGCCGCAAAGGCGACGCTGTCGATGTGCGAGACGACGCGGCCGCGCAGCTGGCCGGAGCGGGCGTCCCAGACGCCGATGCGGTGGCGACGCGGCTCCGCGGCGGCGACGAGGCGCCCGTCGGGGCTCCAGGCGACGGGCTCCCCGCAGGCGCCCTTGATCTCGAGGAGCGACTTGCCGGTGGCGACGTCGCGGACGAGGAGCGACGTGGAGTGGCTGTAGTCGACGCCGGGGCCGAGCTGCACGGTCCAGTCGCGGAGGGTGGCCACGCGCGTCGTGGTGGTGGTGCCGGTGCCGGGCCCGGGCGCAAAGGCGGCGTGGCTCCCGGGAACCTTGGACAGGCCGCGCTGTGAGTCGAGCTCAAACATGTCGAGCCACACCTGGTCCATCTGGCCGCCGTTGAAGGTGGCGTAGGCGACGGGGCGGCGCGCGTCCGAGGACAGCCCGACACTGTGAATCTCACTCCGCGCGGCGAGCTTGCGGTACCGTAGGCGCAGGTCCAAGTGCCCTGCCGGCAGCGCCGCGGCCGAGTATGGGGGAGCTTCTGCATTTGACCTGTGATGTGTTAGCATTGTAAGCAGTGTTAGAGACTGACGGCACTTACATGACTGCTGGGGCGGGGCGGAATCTGATGAGGCTGTTATATCACGCACGCCGGCTGAGTTGGTTCGTGTAAGTCGTGCAAAGAATAGTGAGAGCAATGAGGGCTTTGTTGAGGGCGTTTCGTTGTATAATTTCTTGACTTTCCATTTCATAGATATCAGCGAAGCGGGCGAAACCGAGTATTTATAAGTCTCCGTGAATGAGGTGTAGTCATTCACGATGGGCCGCCTGGTGCAGTCAGAGACGCCGCCTGGCGCGGATCCAGGGCTCTTCACTGGCCCTCGGCGGGGACCGAACAAGTAAAATCGGAAAATACAACCAGAGAAAAAAAACGATAATCTAATATTGGTGACTCGAGGTAGTCTGGAGAATGACAGGGGCTACCAACCAGCCGACCCTGATGGTGACCCTGCCTCGACTGCTTTGTCACCTGCCGAGTGGCTTGTCCTCTTTCTCGCAAAAGCCAGGCCGTTATCGCTTAGCAATCGCAAATGTCGCGACTGGAGGGAGAAGAGACACCAGCAAAGGCATTGTGGCTTGAAACCGAGAGCTAACCAAGCCCGTTCACAGGATAGGCTCAGTTAGCGGGGGCCTCCTCTCGATGCTGTGAGACGGGCTGGATGGACTCGATGTGACTGCGCTTGCCGTTCCGAGAACGGTGAGTAAGGAATTGCAACAAGGTTGTGGTCAACCCTGGTGGTGTCAACGTTCGCCTGTCCAATCCGCGTGTCGAATTGAGACGCCAACCCCTCTTTTGCCCGCCTAGTCGGCCAGGACGTTTTGGGCTCGCCGAAGGTTGACTCATGGGGATATTTCCTTGGCCGCTTCCATTTCCGTGTTAGTCAAATGGTTCGAGGCAATAAACGTCTGCAAGCTTGAGATGAAAGCACGAATGACCTTGCCTGCTCCAATGTATTCGATTCTTAATAACTCTGAATTGTTTCGTGTCTTTCATGTCGCTTCTCTTGAACAAGGCAACTCGTAGTACCAGTAGGGCTGAATGAATGGCTTTACCCTCTAAAAATATCTTGGCAAGTGCAAGAGATCCACCGAGCTGAACTGGAAGCGAAAACGAGTACCTGCTGAATATAAGCTGGACTGGAAATACTGCTGTGTAATCCATCGAAGCACGTCATAGCCAGAGCTAATGATCAGGTCGTCTTATTAATCCCCAAACTGTCATCGCCAAAACCTCATACCACATCACCCGCTCCCCTGCGTTGGCGGAAGCACCACCGTCCACGTCGCCTTGGCGCCCGCAAACTCCTCTTCGATTGCCGCGAGGGTCCTCTGCCACGGCACGCGAAACGCGCCCGAGTTGAACATGGGCGAGTAGATGGCCGCCGGTTGCCTCCTTGGCCCTTCTGCTACTGCCGCCTCTGTCGTCGTCGACATCTTCTCATCCACCACGCGCCGATACGCCGCCAGGCTCGCCCGCGTCTGCCGCAGGATGGTGTCCGCCGCGTCCCGTCCCGGCTTCCCGTCCGGCGGTTTGCCGCTCCGTAACCGTAGGACGTGAAGAGACACACGATGTGCACGCGGGGTGCGCCGCGGGCCACGTCGCCGGGCTGCGGCGGGATCACCAGACACTGTCCGGCCAGGCTGCGCGGCGGCCACCGGCTGACCTCGCCACCGGCGCGCCGCCTGGCGGCGTGGCAAAAGGCCTTGTAAACACGACAGGCGTCCGGAAAGATCTTGGCCAGCTCGGCGGCGATGCCGGAGCCCCATGTTGCGAGGCAGTTGGTTGCGTGGACGAGGTGGCTGTCGGGGGGCAGCTCGCGCAGCGAGAGACGTGCGGTTTGGACCGTGAAGTCGGTGGCGGACATTGTACGTCTTCTGTGTGTAGGGGAGGAATAGAATAATATTTCAGAGCAACCTCTTGATCTGTAGCAATTTGATTTCATGACGTTGGTCTTGGTATCAAATTGTTATCTGTGCCTGTCGTTGTAGCTGTTTAAATGCGTTTGCCGATTTGCTAGGTTCACCGTCGACGGTGTTTGACTCACGCTGGCAGGGCTGACAGGGGACCATCAGTCAACACTCACGAGGCTGAATTTTTTTAACCAACTAGGTTGTATCAAAGGTTGCATTTTATCTACTAGTTTCGTTAGATTTTTCGGAAACTGCTATCTTGGCAGTTTGATTCGTTTGAATCTCTAGTTGCATGTCGAGTGGCAACAGAACAACACCATCAAGGTGGCCCCGCCAACTTAGCTATGTCCATACAAAATCCCCAACTCCCCTCAGCCACCATTTCATCTCTCTTCATCTTTCACATCCTTCCTATGCACCAAACTGCTTCTCATAATCCACCATGCATGAGCGATAGCGCGCCCTGTTCGTCTGCAGCTTGTCAAACGCCTCTTGCAGGCCCTCCTTGGAGAGAGGGATGGTCTCGACCCACGACGGCAGCTTCTTGCCCGCGACGAGCGCCAGCATCTCCAGCATCTCGGCGCGGCTGCCGAGGTGCGACGTGCCGATGGAGCAGCCGTTTGTGATGAAGTCCTGGTTGCGCACCGCGAAGCCCTCGCCGCCCGGCAGCCCGACCGAGTTCCAGCGGCCGTGCACGTCGAGCAGGCTGAGGTACTGGCCGAGGTCGAAGCCGTCCGACGACGACGCCGTGTTGACGATGAGGTCGAACGTCATGGCGTGCGGCTCGGACCAGCCAGCCTCCGAGGTGGCCAGGAACCCGTCGGCGCCCATGGCCCGCGCGTCCGCCTCCTTGGCCCGCGTCCGCGAGATGGCCCAGACCTCAGCGCCCAGCGCCTTGGCCAGGATGATGCCGTAGTGCCCGAGGCCGCCCACGCCCACGATTCCGACCTTCTTGCCCAGACCGGCGCCGAATCGTTTCAACGGCGAGAAGACGGTGATGCCCGCGCACAGCAGCGGTGCGGCCTGCGCGCTGTCGAGCCCATCGGGGATAGGATACACCCTGGTTGCTTCTGTTAGTGGTCCTATAGGGGGGAGGGGTTCCAAAAATGGGACGGAGGGGAGGGAAGGGGCTCCGAGCCATCTCAATTCACTCACCAATACTCGTGGATGCGGACGTGCGATGAGTACCCGCCCTGGGTGACGTGATCCGTCCCCGGATACACCGCGCCGTAGGCGTCGACCTGCTCGCGGCAGTACGTCTCGTTGCCGTTGCGGCACTGACGACACTTGAGGCACGAGTAGACCTGGGCGCCGACACCGACGCGCTGACCAACCTGAGCGAGCGTCACGCCTTGGCCGACCCGAATGACGCGCCCGACGACCTCGTGCCCAACGGCCAGCGGATACGGGCACGCACCCCATTCGCCGGCGATCTTGTGCAGGTCGCTCGCGCACACGCCGCAGCACTCGACCTGAATGTCCACGTCGGCATCGCCAAACGGCCGCGGCGCCCACGACTGCTTCCGGAAGTCGCTCCACGCCTCGGCGCTGGGCGCCTGGAAGCCAGTGAATTGCTCGGGGTACGACATGGCGGCTGTTGATGTAGGGGACTTGTCTCTGCTCAAGGTCTCTGGGGATTCAACGAGTACAGATTGGAAAGGAGTTGGATGTAAGAGTAAAGGCGGGGGGAAGAACAGCCAAGAGAGCAAGATGCCAAAAGCTCAAACTCTCGAACAACCCCTCCTCATACAATTCGCCCCGATGCGCCGCCGACATCAGCCAAATTGCCGAATCAGGCCAAGTCAACCGTCCCCGTAGTGCCGTCAACCGTCTAGTGTGGTTGGCCGGCTCCGTGGGGGAGCAGCCGCCCCGCGACATTTATTCCACCAACCAGCGTAGAGGTCCGAGATAGCAGCCCGGGGACCGGGGCCGGACCGGAGCATGTAAGCCGTGCAGCTTCCATCGCGTTTTGGAGATTTGTCTTTCTTCATACTATAACTAAATAATTTCTAGTAGTAAAGGTGTCTCTCATCCGTCACAGAAAAGCCAAGAGGGTAAAGTTCTAGCCCCCAATACTTAGCAGGCTGAGCCCTCATCTCCAAGACGGTATATCTACGACAAGCGGCTTGTACAGAAAAAGCAGCAAGGATAGCATAACTGTATAAGCAACCAGAATGAACTTTACAGTTTTTATCATTAATTGATTGATACTATACACTCATTAGGCTATGACCTATCTAGTCCTGCTGTGTTTTGTTAGCGGGGGGGGGTGGTTGAGTACCAGTAGAAAACCTCCCGCTTCCGTGTCGGGGCCGGTATGATGCCATGGCAGTGTCTATTCGAGAGCAATACATTCCCCCAGGGCAGTTTTTATCACTACATAGCCCTCTAAAGAAATTCGATGCCGAGACACATGTCTCGGGTAACGACACTCTACCATCTCTTCTCCCCTCCATGGACGGTCTAGTGAACAGAGAGCTCAGGTTCAGACGTCTTTGCACAAGAAAGATCCGGTTGTAATTGTGCAGCATCGTGGCAGGGCACCGGCGGCGCCACCGGCCTTTCTGAAGCCTTCAAGGCCGTTGGCAGACGAGGCTACGTTTCTGCGCGCCAGTGGATCGTCCCGGCGTACTTAATCTTCGAAAGGGGGCCTGACGAGTCGAGGAAACATACGAGGGTTGCAATTGAGGACGTCGGCGCTGCAGCACATAGGTATGCTGTAGAGAAGGGCGCTGCAGATGCCATCGCGAGCTGCCAGCTTGGCGGAGAGGGTAGCGGGAATGGCAGCGGCAGTGCCAACGAATAGGGCAACGATTGAAAATTGCATGTTGGAAGTAGGTTTCCTCTGAATAAAATGCTTGAGAAAGTTGGTGCGTGTGAAAGCAAGCGTACTAAAATCATGGGCTTATTGGGTCTCGTGATTCCAAGGTAGATGGATGGAAACGAGCGGGCGATTATATACTACGAGACTCAATACCAATTCTCTGTCCCCCATTTCGTCAACAATTCTTGCTTGCTCTCTTGTGCTCGTCATTTAGTTTCAGTGTTGACTGTGATGAGGCCATCTCAATTGGCCCGGTACACTGCACTGTTTCAAAAGAATGAGGGGGCAACACAGGAAGTTCACCACTCGGGATATTATTTTGCAATTCCACTCATCATCAATGATGCAATATTCAGCTTGTTTGCAAGCGATAGGGTGAGCTGCGTTCATGCTGTCTCACAGCATCTCAAACCGCTGCCAGCTTGACAGCAAGTCACTTGCTTGCATGGCTTGACATTGAAGCATCAATGAGACAGATTCCGGTTTAATCGCCGAATTTATACAGGTATTGAGTAATTGCAATGTCTTGATCGATTAAGTCCTGCGAAAAATCACGGCATGCCTTTCTGCTGCGTCCTTTTGATGTCTCTCCCACACATGCCTTTAAACTCCCCCTCCCTCAGCTGGACGAGTTGTCGTACTCAGCCCCTCAACCTCATTGGCGTTTCTTGGCCGGCACCTTGGCTCCCATGCCCACGCCGGCCAAGAAGCACACCCGCAGCATCGCGCCGACGTAAATCCACCCCACGTTCCCCCACGCGGCCGCGTTCCACGCCGCGACGTCGTAGTAGATGCGCGGCCCGAGGGCGCGCAGCGCGTGCAGGCGTGCCAAGTCGCCGAGCAGCGCCGCGCCGAGGACGGCGCGCCGAGGACGGCGCGCCAGACGCGCAAGTCGCGGGTGCTGCGCAGGATGACGGCCTGGTAGGCGCCGAGGAGAAGGAGAAGCGCGGCGAGCTGGGAGAGGGCAACCGAGGTGCCGAGCGGCGACGAACCGGTGGCGTAGATGGTCGCGGCGGCGGAGGGCGCGTCAAGGAGGGTCAGGTAGCGCGCCGGTCGCGCGTGGCAGAAGTAGGCGCCAGCGAGGGCGGACGCGGGCTCGAGGAAGAGGAAGAAGAAGCGATAGAGCAGGGGCAGGGCAAGGCCGATCTGCTGGGGCGGTGGCGTTGAGGGGGCCATGTTGCTGGCTATGAGGTGGATTATGGGTGGATGCGAGTCTGATGATACTAGTGATGATATGATGCGAGCGTCAATGGGTGTAGTAAGAGTTCGCTGTTTGCGTGGATGGATGAATGAGGCATGCACAATGCAAATTTTAGCTGGTGGACGTTGTTGGTGTAGGGTAAGCAAGTGTTTAGATGCGAAATTTAGACGTAGCACATCATGATTTTGGATTTATAATTTTCATGGGTTTTATCGTGCAGGATAATGATTAATCTGATGGTAGGTATTCTATCAGATGAGCTGTTCACTGGAAACATTGAAGAGGATATGGAAACACTGATGTTGACGATGAGCATGTGGTGATGTGTTAGGTGTCCAAGTGCATGCGCATGGCTACGAGTTGTTGAGGTACGAATTGCCCATTGCAAGAATGTATGACAACACTGGAAACCAAGTTCCCATCATTTTTATTACGCTGACCAGCCAAAAGTGCATTTTAGTTGCGTCGTGCATCTTTATGCTTTGCAGGTAAGTATCTGTAGGTAGACTGTAGGGAGTCTGTTGGTTGGTCGGCGCCCACTGGCTGCATGGGTGACATCGGTCTCGCCGTCGGTTGAAACTTTAGGCTAACAAGATCGAGGCTACCGAACATTAGTACTAACTTAGGTACCGAGAAGTAGGCCTCCGGTCAGGGCGAAAGAGAGTTCGTCGTATGTGTAGAGAGATGACCATGATTCTATTTTGTTTTTTTCATGAATTTCCCACAGGCTTTGCAGACATAGACCTATTGGGTTGCTGAAAAGCGCCACCCTGCGATGCGGCGACGCCACGGCACCACCCACCATCTATGAATGTGTACCGTGACAGCGCTCTTCTACATCTCTCAGCGGTCCAGGGTGCAGGTGGCATATTCTGGGGTAAAAAGGCACCGAGTATTTCTACCCCACCACAGACCTTAGCGGGAAAGTCATGGACACATGGAAAAAAGGTAAAAATCCCATTGAATCGTAAAATATCGCACAATTCTACATCCAAGACTGAGCTAGAAAAAAAAAAGAGTTCCCGCCACTTGACGATGATGAGTGGTTGCAGACACTAGAAAACATAGGACCCCACTCAGGGTCGGCTTCATGCGGAGAGAAGCTTGCAACAATGATTCAATGACGCTGATTGGGCAAAACGTGGCAAATAAGTCATCCCTTGAAAGCGCAGTTAGAGAGGCCCTGACGCCTAAAAAAACCCTTGATTTCTTCTGACCGCCCCTAAACCTTACGCAGTCTATGCTGAACCCACTGACAGCCCACTGAAAAGTTATCCACTAGCCTTGCAACTTGATTGGCAGCCATTTATTATTAGATTAACCAATTCTCAGTGACACTTCTTCGGCCGCCAACCCACGCATTGTTATTGTCATCGCTTCCTTTTTTTTTTTAACCACGTCCCTCTCTCACTCTTCTTTCTCTCGTCTTCTTCCACCCCTACAGCGTTTCTTCCGCTATTCCCTTTCCTTCTCGTCTCTGACTTAGAACCACGGACACCAGCCTGTCTCTCTCCTTGCTGCTTCGTTGTTGCTTCTCTCGACCCCCGTCCCGTTTGTCCTCCCTGCAGAACGCCCGTAACACAACCTCCCACAAGCCTCCACCGATTCATTTACTTCCCTCTGCAGTCAACAGCCCAGAACCCATCCAACTGCTTTGACGCGAATAATCTGAAGCCGTATTTCGAGTGCTACATTGCCTTTACGACCGTGCCCGCTCTCCGTCAACAGCCTCGATACTTCACTTGCCGAGCGCACGGCTCCCTCCCTCGACGCCTACCTTGCCGTCGATCGCCCCTGGTGTTTCCCTCTGACCTCCCCCAGTCGTCGATTGGAAAAACAATTTCGACGCCCTACTCTGATTCAGCACAAAAACAAACCCTGTGCCCGTCACAGACTCTTCGCTGCCGTTTTGTACCCCTCACAGCCTCCCACAGTTGCCGCAGACAACCTGTCACGCAAGATCCCCAGACAAGATGAGCCAGAAATCTCCCACCAAACCCTTTGACTGGGCCGCCGTCCAGCGAGAAATCTTTTCTGCTGCCGGAACTCAGCCTCCCGCCGAGCCGTCGTCCCCGCGCCGCCATTCAGGTGCTCACCCCGGGCCCCATGATCAGCGCACGCGAAGCCTCAGTCTCTCCCTGCCATGGCGCCGCCCAAGGAGCTCGTTATTCGTCCACGATACCCATAATTTGAATGAAAATGCCATTGATGACTCCAACGACCAATATCCGAATCCCCAACACAGACGCCACGCTACCGCCGGCCCCTTCAGAGGCATCATTCGACGTGCTTCGCACTCTTTCAAGGGCATGGTCCATCGCCGCCCCTCACTTCTCAACGAGGAACCCATCCACGAGCAACAAGACCACCCCGAATCGAGACCCTCCACAGCTAGCTCGACCTGGAACAAGTTGCGCCAAGCCACCACGTTCCGTCAAGCTCGATCTGCCTATGGCCTCGATGCTTGCCTTCAAGCCTCCCTGTCGTGTCACCACCCGACACCTGCCAGCCTTCCCATCCCCGCACTCGGGGATGCTCCTCCATTCATCCCCGAGTACGGCGGAGCCGCTGCCAAGGCGTCTGCTGCCATGCAAAACGACTTCTTCGCTCGTAACCGCTGGCTCCACCAGCCGACAAGCGACGACGGCAACGACCGCGAGAGTGGCATCGGCATTGTCTTGACGGGCACCAGTGCCGAATTTGATATCGATGGCGAGGCCGCTGCTTCCGAGACGACCAAAATCCGCCGCGTTGACTTTATCACCGCGCTGCCAACCGAGCTGGCCATTCAGATCCTCGCCAATCTCGACGCCGCGACCCTCGCCACGATGAGTACCGTCAGTCGAAAGTGGGCGGACGTCATCGAGAACCAGCACGTCTGGCGCGAGTCTTTCTTTCGCGAGATGGGCCAAACTTTTGCCACTGGCGGACCCGTGCAGCCCGGCACAGGCCTCGGCATCCCGCACGCTGTGCCTGAAAACGACTGGAAGCGCGCCTACCGCACACGGCAGCAACTAGCTCAGCACTGGGCGGAGGGCCGGGCGCGTCCTGTCTACCTCTGCGGGCACACTGATAGCGTGTACTGTCTGCAGTTTGACGAGCATAAGATCGTCTCGGGCTCGCGTGACAAGACGATCCGCATCTGGGACATGCGGACCCTTGAGTGCCGCCTCGTCATCGGCCCGCCCGATGTGGTGCACGCGCGGGAGCTGCTCTTTGACGATGAACTCGGCGGCGCGGAGACGCATTACGCCTCGGGCCCAAACCACGGCGACGAGCGCATGGTCGCCTCGACGCCGGCTGCCGTCGCCTATTCCATGCACCACATGGCCTCGATCCTGTGCCTGCAGTACGACGACGAGATCCTCGTCACCGGCTCGTCCGATGCTACCGCCATCATCCACTCCGTCCGCGACGGGTACCGCCCTGTGCGGCGCCTCGAGCACCACACCGCCGCCGTGCTCGACCTCGTCTTTGACGACCGCCACATCGTCACCTGCAGCAAGGACACGACCATTTGCGTGTGGGACCGCGCCACGGGCAACCTCCTGCGGCAGCTGCGCGGCCACGCGGGGCCCGTCAACGCCGTGCAGATGCGCGGTCGCACCGTCGTCTCGTGCTCCGGCGACCTGCTCGTCAAGCTGTGGGACCTTGACTCCGGCCGCGCCGTGCGCCAGTTCGCGGGGCACACCAAGGGCCTCGCCTGCTCGCAGTTCTCCGACGACGGCCGCCTCGTCGCCTCGGCCGGCAACGACCGCGCCATCCGTGTCTGGGACGCCCGCACCGGCGACTGCGTCCACGAGCTGCCCAACGCGCACGCCAATCTCGTCCGCAGCCTCCACGTCGACTCAGTCAGCGGCCGCCTCGTCTCCGCCAGCTACGACACCGACATCAAGGTCTGGGACCTCCGCGACGGCAGGCAGCTGCTCGAATTTCCCCGCTGGCACGCCAGCTGGGTGCTCTCGGCCAAGAGCGACTACAGGCGCATCGTGAGCACCGGCCAGGCGCCCAAGATCCTGATCATGGACTTTGGAGCTGGCATCGACGGCATCGAGATGTTGGAGGGCGCGCCCTCGCCGCCTTTTAGCAGCAGCGGCGGCTCTGGTTTCTTTTAATTCGGAGAGCGGTCTGTGGCCACTCCCTGATCGTTGCATATATAACCACCCTCGGATCTGGCGTTTTGGGACTTTTTTTTTTTCTTTTTACTATGGACAAGTCATGGGGGGGATTGATACACCATCACATACAGCTTAGCGCGCATACGTTCCTTCTCTTTTTCTATTGGGTTAATATACTATATAGACTGCGTTTTTGGAAGCATACCTTGCAGGTCCCTTTTGTTCTGGTTGGATTCACATTTGTACGTTGGTTGGGGGTTTGGTAGAAAAGCGCCACAATGCGCAGGGACAACATAGAATTCTACAAGACTCACCAAGTCCCAGGAGCGACACCTATCTTGAATGCCACGCTCGTGACGTCAACGGCTGTGCTCCGTGCCAAGGAGAACAAGCTTCTTCCCTTGGCTGGGCTTTTATTTGACTTTTAGGAATAAGACCATGTTGCGAATTGTGCAACAAACAGATCCGAGCAGCAAACTCCCATCGGGGCGAGCTCAGGCAGGCAGGCAGGCAGGATCAGCTGTGACGAGAACGAGATTGAGATGACGCGAGACAATGCGCAATCATCGGAGACGGAGCGGTGTGCGGCTAACTTGATCAGCGTCCTGCCTGTTGCGGACAATGCCAAGGCTCGAGAGGCGATACTCCGCGACATGGCATGTGATCATTCAACTTGTCAGCTGTGGATGAGTCCTCACATCGCCGATTGCAGTGATGTCTCGACAAAGCGCGTACCACGTGGTGGCTGGTACAAGCGAAACTCGGCGACGAGAAAAGAATAACAAAGGGGTCGAGCACGAAAGATGTAATGACAATCATTTACCATCACTGCAATGCAGGGGAGATCAATGCGCTGACGATCCGGGTCATGAACGGAGCTATTCCCGTAAACAGCATATGTCCTTTGACAAAATGTCGTTGTGGCTGATTTCCTCTTCTAGTAAACGCTGCATGCTCCGTTCCTTTCTTTGTTCGCCTTTCTTACATGGGGCGCCACTTGTTACATTCATTTGGTCCTGGTCGTGCTCTGCGGTTGATCCTCCCCCGACGCTGTCCCAGCTACGGAGTGGACTGTTGCTCCCGGCAGCCAAGCAGGACCGAAAAGACGCCGGTTGACCCACCGGCTGGGCGGGCACGGGTAGATGTGGAGTGTGTTCATGTGCTTCCACATTGCTCTTTTCTGGTATCGTTCCTTTCATCATGGCGGGTTGAGAATACGGTTGCGAGCCTTGTGCTTCTCTGTAGTTGCCAAGAGTCGCTTATGCGCTGCCGTCACAGGGATATCTCCACACCAGGAATAATATTACACCAGTCCGGGTCCGGAGAATAACATAGTCGACCGGCGTGTAGGTGACCCCGGTGGTAGTGTTCTCGGTGCTACTGTGGGCATATGCGAAATCAAATCGTCCGCGTGGCGCACTACTTCATGGTACCATGACTGCAGTTGGGATAGCACATGGCCTGCGAACCCCGCGAATGTTGAGATGTTGCTGATCGCAGATGCTGCCTTGCTCGAGGAGTTGTGGCATGCGGATGAATAGAAAGCAGCTGCAAAAGGTGATGTGCTACTTCGTACGGCCTGAATGGCCGTTTTTTGACAGGCATCGTGATAGGATGATCTTGGAGAATCCTAACAACAAGGAAAAGAGGCTGAGAGAGGTGCGGCAGGCGTCGAGATCTGGCGTAGACTGGCGTGTGGGGTAACGACTGCACTCCTGCCAGGACTGTTGCCGATGCTAAAATTTAGTGAGAAATGGATCGAACAGGAAGAGCATTACTTTGGTGACATCTGCTCGCTTTGTGGGTATAGTTAGTACGAATGCACCGCCATTGTACATCCGCCATATCACCAGGTTTGTCCATCTCAAGCTCAGCGCCTAAGGGTCGTGGTGTTCGACGATTGGCTGTGACTGTTGTAGTGCGGCTCGATTTACATATGCCTGGTCGCGTGCAAGGTGACACACGTGCCTGCTAGGTATTGTATTTTGAACTGTTTTGCAAAGTTTCGCACCTTGGCCGACATTGGTGTGACACCTGGAATATTGAGTGGCGACGGGCATGGCGCGGTGTCGCCTTGAAGATGCGTATGCTCACCACCGTCGTGTGGCTGATAGTGACGCTTAGCTTGTCTTCATGTTGACGAGTTTGTGAAGAAAATATCCATCCCTATACCTCCGCAAGCTGTGGATCTAGTGATCTGGTTTGCGTCGGGGTCGATCCACATAGAGCCTGTCATCCGAGACGCCAACCGCGGTCAGAGTGCTCCACGCCGGGCACTAGAACTGGGCCAGCTGCCTAGTGTGGCAGGCTGCAAAGCACGGGCTCTGGTCTGGTACTCCGTACATGATGCGGTTTTGTTCTTGCAGACGCCTGCCTAGATTCTCTTCGATTGTTTCTGCGCAAAGGCAGCACGGGCTAGGGCAAGAATAGAGCTGACAAGGCAACATGAGATCAAAGGATAGCCATCAAGCGATGTCACGCAATATGGCGAAGATTTCTGAACATGTCGCATCTGAGAGTCGGCAGCCATTACTGCAATTTTGATCGTCGTTGTCATCTGCAGCTAGAGGAATGTGACCTCTCACGTTGAGAGCGACTGCCACTAACGAAGTGGTTAGTTAGTCTTGGGAGACACACAATAATAAACTTTGCAGTCCACAGAATCGAGACACAATAGACATGTTGCGTACCTTTCGGGGGCTGACCCCCAACACCCACCGGCGCTAGATATGAAGGGTTTTCTTTCCGAAAATTTGCTTCAGGGGCACGTAGTCTAGAAACTCCTTTGACTGGCCATAGAGTTGCTTGTTTCCAACACATCGCCAACCCTTTTCAGTTTCAAGGAAGAAAGGCACGACTCAGACCAGCCTGGTACAGCGAGTACAGCGACCTTCAGCCCTTCCAGACGCATTCCAGGGGTTGGGAGCGGGTGAAACAGCGCTAGCCTTTTTAGCAGCCCATGCGTGCGACAAGGAGACCCTACATGCTCCCTGGTGAGGTGTCAGCTCAGCGAGGCTCCCCTGCAAGGATTGGCTCTCAGCTTCTCGATGTGCAAAGAATAGGACACTCCGCAAACTAGGACCTGCTTCTCTTGGGCAAATGCCAAAAACCATCGGCCCAGGCTTCGGCGCTGCTCCGGCATGAGTCTTATGTGCGTGTGCTAACTGTCCGATGGCATAAAGTAGCAGGGACCACCTTTTCTCTCACACGGCGCAAGGTACTGGATTTGTATAGATGAGTGCATGATAGTCAAGGTAGCTAGTATCATGAGTCGGTGAATTGGTGTCCACAACATGATCAGGAGCATCGTTGCTCCAAGACAAACTAGTAGTGGTTGATGGAGGTTGCCGCTCAAACTAATTTCCACCGAGCAATAGTTACGTCAGGGGTAGGTTAGAGTCGGTCGACCGTGTCCGTTTCGTCATGCCGGCGCAGGCGCGGTGGACAGGAAATGAGGTCCGAGTTTGTTTCCTGCCTGCTTCAACTGCCATGCCTGACAGCGGCAGAAGCTCATGTGTGAGAGCCAATATGCGCGACCCATCATCTGAAACAGAGGACAGGCTGCATTGGGCCAATTGATGGGGTGGTTCGGTACCTGTCGATTCGGTAAGCCCGCAAGGGTGTGGCCGGGGTGTGGGGGCTCCGCTTTCTCAATACCTCAGTACGCGCCGCCCCGACGAATGTTGAGAAAACGATGTATCCGTAAATGGAGCGAGAACAATGGGCTGGCTGGCTAGCACTGCCTGAAAGTGGCCGTCATGCTCGACCGACCTTGCCAGATGCCAGGCTTGCATGCCGACGGTCTTCGCCAGTTTCGATCGGAGCTTATAATGAGCGGGTTCCCGCGCCCGATGAACATGAACGCCTCTTGAGATTCAGTAGTCGTGCCTCTTTCGCCCTCCCCATACTTTCTTTGACGATACGCGACGTTTGCTTGTGTCTTTGGGCAACTCAACGTGAGCGTTGCCGCTTCCGACCCTCCTTTTTTGTCTCTTTCCTGTTTTTAGCCGCCTGTGCAGGTAGCCTCGTGTACGTATTCCGTGTCTCGTCTGCAAAGAAACTGTAAGTGTTTGTTGCCAGCACCAAACGGCAAGATCAACGGTACGCGTGTAAGACGCTGTACACCCACCTGACACACCTGTACTGGCAAGTGCCTTGCAGCAGAGGATGAAGATCCATAACAGTCGTCGACAATCGTCTTTGACTTGTCGATCATGTCGTTAGCAGGTTCAAGTAGCAGTCTCGTGAAGAGAGGAAAACAAGCTGGTGACTTACTGCCCCACCATCGCCGACAATAAGGCGACAGCCGTCCAACAACAACAACAACAACGGATCGTGCAGCTGGCAGGCAGTCGCTTGCCAGCCGGCAGGCGGTACAACCCTTACCTGCTAAGCCGCATGTCATATTTACTCACTGTTCCTCAAATACAGCATTTCCCCCCATCATAGTTCCTATTGTCTTACCTACATGACACTGTACACTGCATCTTCTGCATCCCCTCGCTTTCGCTCTGCACTTCTTCCTTCTATTTTCTCCTTCGTCCTCGACAACAACAACTGACACATACTTCCGATCTAGACGCACTTACTCACCCGAATCCCGCACCATGGGTCTCGGCTCGCTCTTCACGGCCTCTCTGCTGGCCCTGAGTGCTTTCTCCCCAGTCTCAGCAGCGCCATCTTCCTCTGTCGACACTTTGGAGGCTCGAAATGGCGGCAGTTGGTGGCTCTCCAGCATCAAGCGGCAGGGCGCTGTGCCCAGCAACGGCAATTTTAAAGTCTACCGCAACGTCAAGGACTTTGGTGCTACAGGCGATGGCTCTACTGACGATACTGCTGCCATCAATGCTGCCATCACGGATGGGAACCGCTGTGGCCAGGGCTGCGACTCCAGCACCACGACGCCTGCCCTTGTGTACTTCCCTCCTGGAACCTACGTCGTCTCGAAGCCCATCATTCAATACTACTACACCCAGCTCGTTGGAGATGCTGTAAACGTGCCGACTCTCAAGGCTTCTGCCAACTTCCAGGGCATTGCCGTCATCGACTCCGACCCGTACGCCGACGGTGGCGTCAACTGGTACACGAACCAAAACAACTTCTTCCGTCAGATCCGCAACTTCAAGATTGACATCACTGCTCAGGGCAAGTCCACTGGAACTGGTATCCACTGGCAGGTTGCCCAAGCCACCTCGCTTCAGAACATTCAATTCGACATGATCAAAGATAAGAGCAGTGACAACAAGCAGCAAGGAATCTTTACCGAGAACGGCTCTGGTGGCTTCATGTCCGACCTTACCTTCAACGGCGGCAACCTCGGTGTTTTCTGGGGTGCTCAGCAGTTCACCACCCGGAACTTGAAGTTCAACGGATGCCGCACTGCTATCTACATGAACTGGAATTGGGCTTGGACCTTCCACGGTCTCAACATTGACAGCTGTGATATTGGTCTGGACATGTCTAGCAACGGCCAAGACCAGCAGCAGGTCGGTGCCGTTCTTGTCCAAGACAGCACATTCTCCAACACCCCAGTCGGCATTGCCACTCGCTACAGCCCTAGCCAGAACGACACCCGCGGTACGCTGATTGTCGACAACGTTGATTTTAGCAAGAACTGCCCCGCGGCCGTCCAGAACCCCCAGACTAACGCCACCATCCTCAACGGCAACGCGAAGGTTCAGTCTTGGATCCAGGGCAGGGCCTACAAAGGGAATAGTGGTAGCGCTGTCCAGGCTACCCAGACCCCCGTTTCTAAGCCTGCTGCCCTCCTAGATGCCTCCGGAAACATTTTCACCAGATCAAAGCCTCAATACAACGACGTCGACGCCTCCAAGTTTGTTTCCGTCAAGTCCAAGGGTGCCAAAGGCGATGGTGTCACCGATGATACTGCCGCGATCCAAGCTGTCTTTGACGGCATTGGTAGCGACCAGATCGTTTACTTCGACCACGGCAACTATGTTGTTACCAACACGGTCAAGGTTCCTAAGAACGTCAAGGTTGTCGGTGAAATTTGGCCCGTCATTTTTGCCAGCGGCAACAGCAACTTCCAGGATCAGAGCAATCCGAAGCCCGTCTTCCAGGTCGGTAATGCTGGAGATGTCGGCACTGTCGAGATGCAGGACATCATCTTCTCTACCATGGGGCCCCAACCCGGTGCTATCCTGATGGAGTTCAACGTTGCCGGTCAAAAACAGGGTGCCGCGGGTCTTTGGGATGTTCATTTCCGCGTCGGCGGCTTCGAAGGAACCAAACTTCAATCCGACAAGTGCTCCAAGAACCCCCAGCAGATCGCTCCCCCGAAACCCGAGTGCATTGGCGCGTTTATGCTTCTGCACGTTACAGCTCAAGCAAGCGTCTACCTCGAGAACACCTGGTACTGGGTTGCTGACCACGAGCTCGACCTTGGTGACCATAACCAAATCAACATCTACAACGGACGTGGTATTTTAATCGAGAGCACCAAGGGCGCTTGGCTCTGGGGCACAGCTTCTGAGCACAGTGTTTTGTCCAACTACCAGCTCACCAAGGCCAAGAACGTCTACATGGGCCTCATTCAAACCGAGACTGCCTACATGCAAGGCAACCCCGATGCCAAGGTTCCTTTCAAGTACAACGCCAAGTACAGTGACCCTGACTTTTCGAAATGCACTGGTCCTAAGTGCGCCAGAACTTGGGGCGTCCGCGTCGTCGATTCTTGCGACATTCTTATTTACGGTGCTGGCCTCTACAGCTTCTTTGATAACTACGACCAGAAGTGCGTCGACGCAAATAACTGCCAGGATAATATTCTTGATATCCAAAACTCCAGCGTTCACATTTTTGGCCTCGCCACTAAGGCGAGCATCAACATGGTTACTGTCAACAACCAGTCGGTCGCTCTCGACAAGGACAACAGAAACAACTTCTGCGCTGCCCTGGCATCCTTCTCATCCTAGAAGGGTGATGGTAATGGCCCAAAAGGATCCAGCAGCAGCGCTGAGCCACAGCCCACTTCCTCCGAAACTAAAACCCCAGCAACTTCAACTTCCGCAGTGAGCACTTATACCAAGCCACCCTCAACGACGACCTCTCGTGTTACCGTATACGAAACAACAATCCTATATACCACGACAATGTACGTTACTGCGACCGTCACGGTCTAACCTTAGAAGGATCTCGACCACTGCAGGAGAGTGTTGGTGGGAGCTATTCAAACCTCGAAGAGTATGGGTGCGACAATCTGCATTGCTGCAGATGATGATTTTTCTCTTTCTGTTATCATTTCTATTGATTCATATTTTATGTTTCTTTTTGGTCCATATTTTCAACACGTTTTCACCCGCCCAGGAGGTAGGGCAGAATTTGGCGAATGGGAGGCAAGGCTATGCCTCGGCGAGTACTCGGTAGCTAGACTGGAGACTGATACAAAAACTTTGTTCATCAAATTTATCCCCGGTATCCAACAGCATAAAGTGTAACTTTTGAATGAATGAATGGATGGATGGTACAAGGTGCCAGTCACGCCGCTTTGTCCAAGAGATGCATTATGCAACATTGTTGTGCGCAAACAGCCCTTTGGGACGGCAAGACAAAGGCAAGACAAAGCACTTGAGGGTTGCAAGATGTGCTTACGCAACCAGGAGGGACGAGATTGTACGCCTCACCTTGAATTGGGATACTGAAGCGTGCAAAGTGTAACCTACCATGAGAAGTCGTCAACGTCAAGAAGGGAAGAAACCGACAAGCGGCTTAAAAAAGACAAGTAGAAAAGATCCGAAAGTCTAGTAAATAAAAAATAAATAAAAGTAGGTTTTTTTGGGGGGGTGGGGGGGGTTCACGTCGGGCTGTTGGTTTCGCGGTCACTGTACAAAAGAAGCCAACACCACGGGACTCGTTGGCTATTCGAAGCGGCGACTTTGCGGAGAGTTGGCCGAAGCCAAAAAGAAAAAGCGAAGGTACGGTAACCGTACGGAAAACTGCATTAGTTTTTAACTTGATTGTAGCTACTTCGCTGAAGGGTTGAAGGTTTATTTAGGTATATATACGAGGGCTTTGGCGGCGGCGGGTTCTGGACCTTAGCCCACAGCGCAGCTACTACGGGCCGGGATTCTAGGGAAAGAAAAAGTACTGGAAAGGTGGCCAGACAGGATGAGAGTTTGTGGCAACTTGGTGGGAACTACAAACACTGCAGGTCAGTCACAAACAATTTGATGATGCTTGGGAACTTGTTGGGCAAGTTCTGGAGAAGGCAGTTGTTGATGCAGTTGTTGATGCAGTTGTCGATAACCAGGGAATTACTACAACAAGTGGACAAACTGTAGGAGAGAACAACTCAATTATGGGAGTAACCGTGTTGAGCGCACGTTTGTTCACTGCGCCGATAGAACACACAGATCACTAGGCTCCATGGCACAGGGCCTGACACCTTGACGGGAGATGGCAGCAATTTTGTATAGTAATCAAACTTTGTTCTTTGATTAGAGATCCAGCATCCAAATTGATTTGTGGCCGCCAGAGGGCCAAGCAGTCTCGCCTCTCCCGTAGGAGGAACATACTGCTGCATCACTGCTGCACCGTCATCACGGTTGCTCATGCGCATGCTTACCGAAGAGGAGGGTGTGGTGGACATGGGCTGCATGCGCGTCATAGCTGCTGTAGTACCTGTCGGTGACCGTGGAGAGGCAGACGCAGTCATACACGCGACTTGTCTTGTACATTGGGCCTATTGTTCTCCCTGGTCGCGGGCGACGCGGTGTCGAGAACACGACGACGGCCAAAATCCATACAAGCGTCGTTTCCGCTGCATTCCGAACCCTCAAGGCTGAGGTGGCCAAAGCGCGCCGCACGCCCTGGACTGGGGCTGTAGCTGGGACTAAGAAGGTTGAAAGAGTCCCATCGCGGAGAAGTTGGCTGATCCTGGCTTTGGCCGCTTATTATTACCGGCTTGCAGATGTTGACGAGACAGATCCCAAGGTGACGCCGAGATGCAGGCAGGCAGGCGGGCAGTGTGGTGAAACTGCATTGGCATTGAGCCTTTGGATGAAGCGCTTGTCAGGGAAATGCCGTCGGGCGTGAGCAACGCGCGCTGTGACTAATAAGAGCAGCACGGCGCTCTGGCAGGCGCTCTCTAGGATCCATCCATCAGAAGAGGAGCAATATTTGTTGGTCAAGTACTCCGTACAATAAGTCTGCCCTGCGGCCAGCATTTGTGCGGGCCCTGGAGGAGGGCAGGCTGATGCATGTTCCTGTGGAAACTATGCGAGTGTTTGCCAAGGCACTGAAACCCGATTTCGTGGATTTGGGATTCGGGCGCTGACCTGAGGGTGGTGATGCTGGGGTTATTGAGAGGCGATCGTGTCGTATCCAAGAGCCCGAGCTGTGAGGAAGCTGCCGAAGTGGTAGCAGGAGCAGCCATCGTCGACTAAAAATATTTTTTTGTACCAAGGATTATTATTATTAGTATTATGGAGCAGATAATCCGCAGATCAGTCGACAACGCATATGTCTCATTATTGGTACCTGGTTCTTACTCCCTTGTCTCTATTGCGCCTGGCGCGAGACACGGAGGCAGGGAAAGGCAAACAAAGTCTCAAGACAAGAGATGCAAGCATCCACGGGCCGCGGACGAAGGAATTTTGGACAGGGTATCCGTCGACGGCTGGTGTCTAAGGGCGCAAGGCAGGCAGACGAGGCAGAGCAAGGGTGCCTCTGGCGGCGCATGCCGTGCAGTTATCGCTGATGAGCTCGGAGTAGCGGCCCGCCACAGCTTCAGACCGAGACGTCAGGTGGGTGTATTGGTAAAATCGCATATTAAATATATGCATGAGCAATGCGACAAACAAGCTTGACTGCGTTTGATGGGGGGAAAAAGGAAGCAACAAGATCTTGCATGCAGGGAGTGGAGGGGGGAGTGGAGGAGGAGGAGGTGGGCCGGTGGGCTGGTGGGCTGGTAGACAAGGTTGGTGGCGGCCTCCATCTTCTGCTTCCCGCAGCGAAGCTTTTACACGCATGATTTGTACGAGTTCACAATGATGTTTTATTACCGACGGATGATTGCAGCGCCCGCAGTCATCGCCTCCAAGCGAAATCGCTGGGAAAAAAAGCGAGGGAAATAAGAAGCGACAGACAGACATGGCACTGGCACGGCATGGCCGATGGAAATCACGTGCAGCCAGCCAGCCATCTCTGCGCAAGACGATCAACGTGACGAACAAAGACGGGCTGCCAGCGCCTCCATCATCAACCAACCTCTTCACTCCCTCGTCCCTCCAGCTCTCTATTCTCCATACCTGGTCATCCACCCACGCAGGTCATCGTGCAGAAATACAGCAAGGCTCCATTGTTCAGACTAGTCTCGCTGCAGCGGCCGTGTAAGCCACTCCATCGGCGACCCCGGAGGCGCCGCCCTTTGCGTGTGTGGTGGGCTGGCTGGTCTGAGTTGGCAGCATCGGGGCTCTCTTTTTGCCTTTTACCTTTTTGGTCTCTTGTCTTATCATATATACCGTTCTTTAGAGGCAAGCTTTCGCGTCTTGCGCCAGCCGACACGTGCCCGTTATTGTTCCTTCTTACAACATCAAAAAACATCGGCCGCACATCCATCATCATACGCTCGGCGGATGAGTACGATATGGCAGACCAAGCCAGTCCGTCGCTGCAGGTCATTGTCCTCGTAAGTATGCATCCCCGCGGGCAAAACGTTGGTCTGGCCTTGCTTGTTGGTTGGAGGGCTTTCGGCGCAGGACCCTGAGCGCGATGGCTGGCGGCTGGAGCCTAGCGCCCGTTACAGACAACGATACCAACCTCCTCCATCGCCCGGTCTCCGAGCATCTCAATCAATTGCCCAGAAATACATCTTCGCTAACTCTCTCCCTCCCTCTCCTACGCAATAGGGCTCCGGAGGCGGACCGCAAGAATCCAATGTTACCGCCTTTCTCGTCCGCTCGCTCGAGCAAGACTGGCGCAAGGGCTCCATCGTCGCCGTCGACGCCGGCGTGCACCTCTCCGCCATCACCCGGCTCATTGAGGAGGCCATGCCGTCGCCGGCACCGTCGCCGCCCTTCACGTTAACCACGGGGCCATTTACAGGCCTGCGACTGCCGCACGCCACCGCAGCGGCGAACGCCGCCCACGTCGCACGCGCCCTCGTCGACACCTACCTTGTCACGCATCCGCACCTAGACCACATTGCAGGCCTCGTCATAAACACGGCAGGGCTCCCCGGTACCCGACCCAAGAAGCTGGCCGCGCTGCCGAGCACCATCCAGGCCCTCAAGGCGCACGTCTTCAACAACGTCATCTGGCCCAATCTCAGCGACGAGAGCAACGGCGCGGGCTTGCTCACCTACCTGCGCCTCGTTGAGGGCGGCAGCCCGGCGCTCGGCGACGGCGACACCAAGGGCTACCTCGAGGTCTGCGACGGCCTCCAGGTCAAGACGTGGAGCGTCAGCCACGGACACTGCCTCGAGAAGCACAGTCATCGCGGGTCGACCGCCTCCGACCCCTCGACGCGCTACGGTAGCCACGACGCTGCCTCAAGCCACCACTGCACCCCACGGCGCGACACCTACGGCATGGCGCACCACCACACGCCCATGTCCAGGGCGCACTCCCTCGCAAATCAAGGCGGCGGCTTCATCGGCGGAAACTCCCCGCGCCCCCCGCCGCCGTCCTCCCACGAGACCGCGGAGCAGCAGCGCGTCTGCGTCTACGACTCAAGCGCCTACTTCATCCAGGAGCAGGCCACCCGTCGCGAGATCCTCATCTTTGGCGACGTCGAGCCCGACAGCCTGTCGCTGAGTCCGCGCAACCTGCCCGTCTGGCAGGAAGCCGCGCCGAAGATCGCCTCGGGCGCCCTCGCCGCCATCTTCATTGAGTGCAGCTACGACGACGCCCAGAGCGACGACCGACTGTACGGCCACCTCAAGCCAGTCTTTCTCATTGAAGAGCTTCGCACGCTCGCCGCCGAGGTCGAGATGGCCCGGAAGCTGCGCGCCTTGGAGTCGAGGAAGCGCAAGCGCGCGAGCGTCTCTGACGGGGCGGCGGGGCGCAGGCAAACCTCAGCGACGACGTCGCGCAAGCCGCTTACCGCAGAGGATCCGGTGTCGCCCAAGTCTCTCAAGCCAATTCTGCGCGCAAACACGACAGACATGGTCATGAAAACGGGCGAGGACGGAACGGAGACGCCGCATCTTGCCACGCCGACGGAGGAGATGTCGCTGCAGGATGCGGATGTCGGTATCATGTCATTACCACCATCTGTGACGAACCCGGTATCATCTTCCTCTTCGTCGTCGGCGAAGCCCCTCCGAGGGCTCAAGGTCGTCATCATACACGTTAAAGAGACGTTGGCGGACGGGCCGGAACGAGGAGACGTCATCTTGCAGCAGCTGCAGGAGCACGAGGAGGAAGCACAACTCGGGTGCGAATTCATCGTTTCCAAGTCGGGGCAGTCGTTTTATTTGTAGCGGATGAGATACCAAGCGCATTGGGGGGCTTTTTATTCATTGGATATCATGCATGAGTTGGGTAACATTTGTCACGATGTCAACGTCTACTGGGCTATTTATTTTCATTCCTTGAATGATACGGTCATTCTCGACTACCATGACAAACTTGTCTTGTTTTATCGGAACACTTTTGGATTTTGGGTGGTTTCTATCTATATTGGATTAATGATAACGCATACACACCTCGACGATTTGGTGCATATTGCTACCGTCCAACTCCCGAAAACTATCAGGGATTGCGCTCGGCGAGCTTCTCGTAGCCTTCGAGGCCGCCGAGGTCCTCGTTGAACTTGGGTCGGGTGAGCTCGATGCCTTCTGTGGTGCGCGAGTATGTGATGCCGCCGAGGCGACCCACGGAGCCTCCCCTCCATTCGCAAGTCGTGTACTCACCGCAGGATCGACGATGCTCTTGTCGGCGTTGAGCGCGTCCTCGCGGACCCAGAAGCGGGTGCCCTCAACAAACACCGTCGTGCCCGACTTCTCCCCCGGCCTCGCGCGACTGTCCCACTCGCGCACCGAGTCGAGCTTCGCCTCCACGCTGAACACGGCCTCCCTGACCCTCGCGCAGCGCACCGTCTCGCACCCGTACTCGGGCGTCAGCCCCGTCAGGCGCCACTCGTCCCTGCCGAACGGGGCGTCGATGCTGGCGGCGTTGGCCGCCTCCAGGTACGTCTCCGAGATGATGTTGATCACGCACTCCTTGGAGTCCAGCAGGTTCCTCAGCGTGTCCTTGGCGTCGGCGACGGAGGAGGAGAAGCCAATCACGAAGATGGGCGGGTCGTGCGTGACGACGTTGAAGTAGCTAAAGGGGGCGAGGTTGGTCGCGCGGCCGTCGGGGCTGCGCGTGCTGATGAAGGCGATCGGGCGCGGGGTGACGGCGGAGATGAGCAGCTTGTAGTTGAGTCCGGCGGGGCGGCCGTCGGCGTGCGGGTCGAGGGCGACGTGCGGCCGGGAGGCGCCGGGGTCGGCGAGGCGGTTGCGGCCGGAGCCAAAGGCCCAGGACGGCTCGGGGGTCTTGGTGTAGCGGAAGGGAGGCGCGGAGGCGTCAAAGTCGGGGCGCGAGGCCTCGACGGTCTTGAAGTCCGGGTGCGGGTTGCGGTTGATGCTGTCGGCCATGGTGGCGGAGAAGAAGCGGCAGCGGTGCGGCAGTGGTGGATGGCGGAGCAGTGAAGTGGGAGGAGGAGGGAGGCAGAGTCGGCCGCGACGCATGAAGGAAGGATGGGGGGGGGCGGGAGGAAGGTAGATGAAGATTTATAGAGAAGGTAGGTGGTGTGTTGAGGGAGCGAAGCCGAGAGGGAAGAAAAAACATGACGTCTTATCAAGAACTTATAAAGCGGTTTTAGCATGGGCCCGCCCGGTTCCGTCATTGGTGGGTGGGTTGGCCGGCGCGCCGGGGTTGCAGCCGGGAGCTCCATGAAACCCCGCCATGGTGTGTAGCTTTGGTTGGGGAAGATAAAGAACCGTCATTATTTTGATGAATGATGACAAATTAACTTGCCGCATTGGTTCCATAAAAAGACTAAGTTGGGCGGTTTTCTTTTTACCAAGACGCTTTGGCTATCAATCTCTTCTCGATTTACAAATTGCATGCCGGGTAATCCGTAGATCTTGCCCTACTCCCGCTGTCCGATCAGGCCGTGACGTGATTGGTCAGATCTGAACGGCCTGGGGGAATTACAGCGCTTTCAAGATTCAGGAATCAAGCACGACATCTGGCTTTCGTTTCGAGTACGCGGCGCCAAATAACTCGAGCATATGGCCTTGGCGGCGCTGAGGTCGCTACTCATATCAAGGAACTCTCCGATGTTTCATCATGTCAGTAGGGGGGAGTATTCCGTACAAGGCTCCCGCTCAACAAATTACATCGCCGCCGGGGTTCAAAGCATCATCACGCGAGCGATCCCCCAGACACTGGCTTATCCTCTTCACATGTCATCCATCTCACCTTGGTGTGTCGCCTGGCGATGGGATTGGTCAGTGTCTTGTCGTCCAAGAGATCTCCCGTTATGAATGCGGGGAACATCACTAAGATGTCCGGATGGATGGGTGGCGCTTCTTTTGGCGTGTCCTCATGCTCGGTGCCCAGCCATAGTCAGCTTACAAGTATATAAAGGCAACAACGTCGGCAGTAAAGGTCAAAAAGCATCTTGCCGTTTCATTTGCAATCTGCATTCTATTATTCTCTACCAACTTGTATTGCTGTGCGAGCCACGCAAGATTCACACACGAGCCCTTGACATTAGTCTAAGTCGCATACCACTACACATCTACATACTACACATTACATACCGCCGACACACATCGCACATATACCACAATGGCGCCCGGCAAGCTTTCCACCGCTTCACCAGCCTTTATGCTTCTTGGGGGCGTGTCGTCTCTTCCCAGCGGAACTCTTGTCCGCGGTCTCCTCACCAAACCCAAGGCCACGCCTCAGCGTTTCCGTGATGTCGAGGCCGAATGGGACTACTTTCAGCTCCGAACCTATGGCGTCGGCGTCCCAGAGCGTGCGTCAAAGATGAAGCGTCGCAGCGAGCCCAAAGATCGCGCATAGCATCCGTCATTGGCATCTCTGGGCGGGGAACGAGTGTGTGATGCAGAGAGAGTACTCCCACCATAACGCCTTTGGAAATGCGCCCATTTATTTACTTGATTTCATGTATACTATTCTCGCACAAATAAGAATCTTTCTTTACAGCTGGCTACAATTTTCTATTAGAGTTTCAGAAATGTACGTGGCACTTGATCGTATCTCATCTACTCTGACGTGAGCTGCATAATTCCTGGGGTAATACAACTTGGCGCAGCTCACTAAGTTTACGCCTTGCCCAAATGAACGTCAAGGGATGCCTCGGCTGGATTACATCGATGGCCTAACTAATTAAGTATTCCCATCGTGTACGTGTAGCAGGTACCTACACACATTGGTACTTCACCCTGAAGGGCTGGCCAGCGAAGCAGGTAACCTGATTGCCTCTGAGCAATGCGGCCATTGTGCAATTTCTCTGAATGACCATGCAAGATTCCATTTTAAATAACAAGAAATGTTTGAGCAAATTATTCTTGCAATTTTCCTGGCAACATGCATCGATTTATCCGCGCCTCGCATCTCCAACGACTTTTAAGAAGGCCTGACCAAACACCGAGACCCACCAGGCTGTCCATCACAGCTTTTTTTTTTCGCCTCGCCGGTGACTCCAATCTGATCCTCTCACTTTATGCATGCCCGCTGTGACGCATCAGCGCAACTCCCAATGCCCCTCATGATGCCACTCTAGCTCTCTTTTTAACTATTACTCTGTTATTCTTCTCTTTTTTTTTCTCATGGAATCATGTGGCATCCTCCATCGCAACTCTCTCTCCGCTCTTCACTTCAAACCTCGTTTCCTCGACGTTTACATTAGATATTTTACCTGTCGCGCAGCTGCTACCGCACCCCGGCTACCGAGTCTGCATACTGCACGACCTTGCACTCGTTTCCTACCACTCCTCTCCGCGAGACCTGACCGTCTCGGCTCGACTCTAGTAGCCAGACAACCCTACGCCAGGTCCGGAAACGATCCCACCGTCATGACGACGACGGTCGAGCTCGCCACGGTGCCGACGGCCGACACGCCGGGGACCTGCATATACGTACACCACGAGAAGCGCTCCTACGTCTTTGGCCACGTCGCCGAGGGCACCCAGCGCGCCTTCTCCTGCCGCAAGCTGCACCTCGGCGGCACCGAACACGTCTTCCTCTCCGGCGCCGTCGGCTGGTCGCAGATGGGCGGCCTGATCGGCTACCTGCTCAGCATCGGCGGCGCGTTCGACGCCGCCAAGGAGTTCCGCGCCACCGAAAACTCGAAGCGCGCCGAAAAGGGCCAGAAGCTGCTGCGCCAGCTTCGCAACGACGGCGTCACCGTCCACGGCGCCGACAACCTCTGCCACATCCTCGCCTCGGCGCGGCCTGTCATCTTTCGCCAGCCCGTCGCCGTGCGCGCCCTGGAGCACAGGGAGGACCCGCGCGGCGCGGACCCGACGCTCACGGCGCCGGACTGGGAGGACGAATCGATCCGAGTTTGGAAGATTCCTGTTCGGAGGGAGCGCTCTAGTAGTCCGACCAAGCGTCGACGTAGCGACAGCGCGTCCAGTAACTCGAGCAGCAGCAGCTTGTACAAGCCTGCCTCTACGCCGTCAGATCCCGCTGTGGCGGGCCTGGTCATGGAAAAGATCATGTTCACCGGCAGCCATGATAAAATTACCATGGCCCTCAAGAGTATTGACGAGCTGACACCGGAGGACGAGGCTATCATATTAGACGGCAATAGCATGCGACGGTACAACGGCTCACTCGGCGCCGATGCGCTTAAGTCTGTCAGCAGCGCAGCCAAGGCGTGGGTGTTTCCCGACGCCGACGCCGCGCCCCCCAAGGGAGAAATGGAGGGCATCAACGCCATTTCCAACGGCGCGCTGCCGCGGACGTCGTACTCTGAGATTTCCATGAGTTACATCATCAAGTGTCAAGATCGTCGCGGCAAATTCAACGCTCAGGCGGCTAAGGAGCTTGGTGTGAAACCGCAGAGCTTCAAGCTCTTGACTGCTGGTGAAACAGTAACGACAGACGAGGGCACGGTAGTCACGCCGGACATGGTTCTCGGGGAGCGTCAGCCTGGCAAAGGCATCGCTGTCGCCGACATTGGCAGCCGTGACTTCCTGGACGCCTTCTTTGAGCGTCCAGAGTGGACAAATGCTGAACTCATGTCTGAAATAACCTCCATGTACTGGATTCTTGGCGACGGTCTCGCGTCGAACCCCAAGATTCAGAAATACATGGCTACTCACCCGAAAATCAAGCACATCCTCTGCTCTTCCAGCACATGCCCGAACATGGTCAGCAATGCCAGCTCAGCTGAGATGCTCGCCAAGCTGCGCCGCATCGACCCCGAGCGCTTCCCCTTCGTCTCCTTCGACAACACCGTCGACTTTCAAACCCCCGATGACCCCTCCTCATCTATCGAGCTCGGTAGAGCGGGCCACAAAATCCAAATCATGCCACGACTGCTCTACAAAGATGACGCCATCGCCCCATTCCCCGACCTGCAGCTGGCCTACAACTCCGTCGACGAGGAGGCCCTCGCGCTCGCGCAGCAGGCCCGGGCCAAGGCCACTGACCCGGCCTTTCTCGCGCGCATCGAGCAGCAGGAGGCCGACATCCCCAGCCGCGACGCGGAAATCATCCCTCTCGGCACCGGCTCCAGCGTGCCCAACAAGCACCGCAACGTGTCCGCCACGCTGATCCGCGTGCCCGGAATCGGCACCTACCTGCTTGACTGCGGCGAGGGCACGCTCGGCCAGATCCGGCGGCTGCTCGGCCGCGAGGGCGCGGCCGAGCTGCTGCGCGACCTGCGCTGCATCGTCGTCAGCCACCTGCACGCCGACCACCACATGGGCGTGGCCACCGTCGTCAAGGCGTGGTACGAGCAGACGCTCGCCGACGGCAGCAGCGACCGACTGCTCGCCATCAGCTGCATCGGGCGGTACCGCGCCGTGCTGCAGGAGATTTCGCAGGTCGAGGACATTGGCTTCCACCGGCTGCGCTTCCCGAGCTGCGGCCCGCGCGGCGACCGCGATCTCACCACCGCCGAGGACCTGGCCGCACTCGGCGCCGCGGACTCGTTCGGCCTGCGCGGCATCAAGCGCGTGCCCGTCGCGCACTGCTGGCGCGCCTACGCCACGGAGCTGGAGCTCGCGGCGCCGTCCGGCCTGCGCGTCGCCTGGTCCGGCGACTGCCGCCCGTCGAGCCGCTTCGCGCGCGCCTGCCGCGGCGCCCACCTGCTCGTCCACGAGTGCACCTTTGGCGACGACATGCAGGACCACGCGCGGTACAAGATGCACAGCACCATGGGCGAGGCGCTCGAGGTGGCCCGGGAGATGCGCGCCCGCCGCGTGCTGCTCACGCACTTCTCGCAGCGCTACGGCAAGGCCGACGCCCTGCAGCCGGTGGTGGGCGGGGAGGACGGGGAGGAAGGGGAGCAGTCGGTGCTGTTGGCGCACGATCTGATGCGTGTCAAGCTCGGGGACTTTCAAAAGGCGGCGTGCTACATCCCGGCCGTTGCGCAGGTCTTGGCCAAGACGGCCGATGCCTAGAAAACGGAACATCATGTTGCGTCACCTTGCTTGGATTTTACTATAGACTTGGTCCACTCTGATATATACCCAATAGACGGCGGAAACATTTTGTGTACTAGTCCCAACTGCTACAGCGCATGCGTGAGGATCCAGCAAAGTCCCCCCCAGGTCAGCAGCCCTCCACCGGCCTTGGCCACCGCCGGCCGCCGCCGCCGCCGCACCCCAGCAGGACCGTCGAGCTCACCGAGTGCACGCTGCCAACCCGCGGCATCCCCACGGCGGTCGGGTGCTTCGGCACCGGGATGCCGCTGCTCCGTGGCCGGTAGTGCCGCGTCCGCAGCGGCCGCGGATGCAGCGATTCATCGTCACCATGGTCCCTCCTCTCAACCTCCCTCTCCGCAGCGACGTAGCCGTGCTCTGGAAGCGGCGAGACTGGCTGCGGCGGCGCGCTCCGCGTACAGGGCGGCGACGGAGGACCGCGGATGCCAGCGCGGATGCTGGGGGCAGTGGTGCCGACGTCATCCGCCGCGGCGGCCGCGCGGTAGTACGCGTCGTAGATGGCGGCCAGCTCGGCCTCGCTGGCTAGCGAAAGCGGCGGCGATGGCAGTGATGGCTGCGTAGGCCAGGTCCGTGCCGCCGCTGCCGGGATTCCGTCCGGGGCGGCCGTCGTCCGGGGCGGGGGCTCGACTACCACGGTGCTGGCGGAGGCGCGCAGGGAAGAAGTCGGAGGAGACCTCTCCGGCACGCGCTCGTTCGTTCTCGACGGCTGGCGATCGTCGTCACTCTTTGCAGGAGGCGGCGGGCTTGGCGGTGATACCTTGGCCTCCCCCGACTGCCGTTCCTTCGACCGCCGCCGTCTCGTCGACGACGACCTCGAGCTCCTCTCCGGAGTCACCCTCATCACCGCCGCAAAGGCGCCCGCCGGGAGGTGCTGCGAGTATCCCTCCTCCTCTTTCCTACTCGTCGCGCGCTTGAGCAGCCTCCACCTCCCCTGCGCATACTCAACCTCATACTCGTCCTCCTCGTCCTCGTCCTCCTCGTCCTCGTCCTCGCCACTGCTGAGGAGGAGCGCCTCGACGTCCACCTCCATCATCAGCCGCGCCTCCTCGTCCCGCGCCAGCCAGCAGCCCCCCCTCCGCTGCCCTCCGCCTCCCCCTCCTCCCGCTTCAGCCCTCCTTTCCCTGCCGCTGCCCAGCCGCTGCCGGAGCACCAACGCCGCCATCAAGTCGCTCTCGCACCGGATGCGCCTCCTCCTCCTCCGCGCGTAGCACGTGTCGATCCACGCCTCCACCATGCGCAGCAGAACCGGCGGCTCCGGCGTGCCCGCCCTTCGCTCGCGGCCCGTCGCGACCGCCATCTCGTGGCGCGCCACCAGGCCCGTCCTCAAGACCATCAGAAACTGCGGCGACCCGCCCACCACCGCCAGCCTGCACGCCGCGCAGCCGCTGCCTCTCACGCACGCCGGCAGGGCCACGTCCAGCGGCCTCCTCATCTTCTCCTCCCATCTCCTCCTCCCCGTCCAGAGCGCCGCCACGCGCGCCGCGCTCTCCGTCCACATCTCCACCGCCCCCTCCTCCACCTCCTTCTTCTCCCGCGTCCGCCTTGCCCCTGCTGCTCGGTCCAGGTGCCTCCTCACCTCGTCCTCCACCAGCACCGCCAGCGCCGCCAGCACGCGCGGGCTCAGCGCCCTGTGACTCGGGCATAGCGCGGCGTCCACCTCCGCCCTGATCAGCTCTCTCGCCCCCCGGGTTTCCTGTCCGCCACCACCGTGCTGGAAGCAGCTGCAGAAGAGGTCGCCGAGGAGGGACAGCGCGCGGGGGCGGCGCAGGGCGGGCGCGTCGCGCAGGTTCGGCCGGCGGGGGCGCCGGTCGTGGTGGCGTGGCGCAAGTAGAGGATCCGCGCGAGGGCCTCAACGGCGGGACGGCGGAGGGCGGCAAAGGGCGCGACCTCGTCGTCGTGTAGCCGGTCAGGCATCTCTGGGCAGCGGAGTGAGGGGTAAGGAGAGAGAGGGAGAAAGGGGGCTGCTCAGGTTGGACCGCAAAGTTATACTGTGCTCCGTCAAGCATCTGTGTGTATGTTGTGCGTGTCTTTGTGAGTGAGTCAGTGAGTCTCTAGGGAAAGGGGAGAAAGGGAGGTACTTATAAGACTGAATGCCCCTTGTTTGAATCGCAAAGCAGTTGAGGTTTGGCTGGCGTTTACAAACAAACATTCTCTTTCATGACATGCTTCCCGCTGTCATTGTCAGAGAGCAAGCAAACTAGCAAGACTACAATACAGGACCAAACATTGAGTAACAGCCTCACTCAGCACGCAATGATGATTGTGTTTTTTCTTGTCATCGGTGAATACTATGGACGATGCCATCAACATAAATCAAACCCCGTACACCTGTTCAAGGTTATTCCCAAATCTCAGTCCCCTTTCAAATGATAGTATAGTTAATATGTATGCAACAATACCAAGACAGGTAGCGCCTTGTCAAAAACATATAAAATGTGTGTGCATTGCCGTAGAGGCACAAGATTGTAGCAAAAAGAAGAAAACAGACGTCGTGTCATCATGATACCCTATTGAAACTCCATGCAGGAAAAAAGCAAGATTCGTGGCCACCAGTGGTACCAACAAATGAAAGAAAACGTGCAGGCAATGCAAAATGACGGTTCAAACCCCCAAGTAACTGGAATACTGTTGTTGAGGCTCCTAGCGCGTAGAAGCCGGGACGATTTTGATTTTCCAATACTCCCCAATGCTCAAACGGAAAATCGTGATAAAACGGATAAGCTTGACAACGAAGAGAAGCCCGGCAAAACGGATGCATCAGAGAGAACGGAGAAGCTGGCTTCCCATTGGTAGCAGCTGCGTTTCCTATGCAGCCAGCCGTTGAACGGCCGGTAACAAACGCCAAAATCATTCATAGATTGGTCATGTATCCAATATGTATCCAACTAGGCCTTCTGGGCGTCTTGGCCAATTCGCCGCTTTTCCATTCGAATTTTGGCGGCTTCCGTTCCGTCGTCGGGTGGCGCCATCTCTTTGAACCAGGGATGGTTTAATGCCTCGCGAGCCGTGATGCGCTGTGAAGGATCATAGATAAACATTTTCCGCAGCAAATCGTGGAAGTTCTTGAAGAACGTCGTATTCTTTGGAATTATGTTATCAAGATTCTTCATGGCTCTAACAAAGCGCTTTGAGCTTCGCGAGGTCTCTGGAGTCGGGTAATCGAGCCGGAGCCGTTTGAAGTATTTGGAAGCAGGGTTGCCGCCTGTCCTGCTGGATATTCTGTTGACGGCTTGCACCAGATGAGCATCTATCCGTTGTCCAAGAACCATTTCCATCATGGCAAGGTGTTCCAAGTTGTCGTGCGTTTGGAAGAGGGCATCGCCTGTGAAGAATTCGACAAGGATGCATCCGATGCTCCAGATGTCACAGGGAAAGGACCAGCCGAGGCCGAGAATAATTTCGGGTGCGCGATAATGGCGGGTGGAAACGACAGATGAGTGGTACTCGTCCTCAAAGGTGGCAGACCCAAAGTCGATTAGTCGAATTTCGGTATCGAGCAAGACTCGCCTTTGTGTGGCTTGTCGATTAATCGTTGTCGAAGCAGACGGAATCTTCCTGTGATATGTAAAAGTTTGATAAGAGTTGTCATATAGTAAAATGTTTTCGGGCTTGAGATCAGTGTGTATTAGATTGAGGTCATGAAGGACTGGCCAAGTGTTGTTAGTAAGAGAAGGCAGAGACGGACGGCTGGAAGGCGGTGGAACTTACAAGCAACGCTGGTAAGTAGTTGACGAGCAAACTTTTGAATCTGGCTGTTGGGAAAGGGCACGAAGTGGTTGGCTTTGAGAAAATCAAAGATGCTTTGACCCAGCAGATCCATGACGATGCAGATGTGACCACGATAGTCAAAGCAGTCTCGTAAGTGGACGCAACGATTTCTGTTGGTGGGATCGTTTGCTTTCAGAGTGGCAAAGACGCGGAGCTCAATGCGGGAAGCGTCACGATACTTCTGGACCGAGCGAATAATCTTGACAGCGACAGCTTCGTTGCGGCGGCGGTCGCGGGCTTGAACGACCTTACCAAAAGTACCTTGGCCAAGAAGGCACTTGATCTTATCTAGTAGGCAATCAGTATCAGGTTAAATGGATGGAGGGGCTGGAAAGATATCTTACACTTGTCGGTAAGATCTGCATCTGGTACAACAAGGTAGTGACCGTCATCGTCATCAACCCTGGCACCCTTGGACTGGGTCTGCGGGGGGTCAGCATTGCACTGGAGGCTACATGGCGAGAAGGGAGACAACGCACATCGTGGACGACTCGAACGTATACGTCGCCAGATTTCCTTGGCGGGAATGGCGGCGGTACATAGGCCTCAAAGGGATGACCGAGTCCTTGAATATCACGTCGTTTGGCTTCAATGGCGGCTTGCTGGCGGGTGCGTTTCCGCTTGAGCGGGGCAGTGGCGGCGTCGGGCTGGCCATTGGAAGACAACGAAGTAGCAGCAGTGGTGTGGGCGGTAGAGGGATGGCCGTCGCTTGACAAGGTCGAGGCACTGGGCGTAATATTGTAGTTTGGAGTTGTCGCATGGGATTCGGCCACGGGCTGGACGTGGTAGTGGACGGGCGGGTTCACGTTGTCTCGGCGGCGGCGTTTGGTAGGCTGTGATTGCAGTGTGGTTTGTTGACGGAGAGCAGCGCCGTCTGGAGCGACAATGTGGCTGCTGGTAACATGGCTGTGGGTGAGTTTGCGGCCCTGGTTCGCCTCTGGCTCGGGAGTGTCGTGGATGACAATGACTTCCTTGGGGAGGCCGTTGCGGTAGAAATTGTCCCAGTCAGGTTCTTTGGAGCGGCGACGCTTGCGGGAGGGGTGTTGATCCATAGCCAATGTCAGGGAGGTGGCGGTGGAAGTAGACACTGCTGACGAGGCGAAAGTATCGTTCTGACATGGAGGGGCGGCGGTCGTGTAGCCGTGCAGTTCGAGGTAACCATGGGGGGGAGGTGGTGGCGGATGACTGTTTAACAGGGCATCATCAGTCGGGGCGGGAGCGTGTTCTTGGGGGTTGTGGTTGTAGTTGTGGCGACGCGGATGGAGAAGAGGACTGGGGAGAGGGTAGGCGGGACGTATATGGGAGGTCGTGTTGGTGGCGGAGGATGAGGGGGCTGCGTCGACGAGAGCAGCAGGACGATGGCCAGGAGAGGTAGGATATTGTTGTTGTTGTTGTTGATGAGGTTGTTGATGATGGGCGGCGTAGGGTGAGTGGTAATGGCGCGATAAGTGGTAGTGAGGGAGCGTGGCCGCGGCCACCACAGCTGTCGCAGGCGTCGACATGCCGCTACCTCTAGTCGAAGTGTAATGCAATCAGAGCGTCAGGATTGTAGTCGTTTTCGAGAGGGGGCAGAGAGTTGTCGACGAAGAGCGAACATGTGTCGTTGTGAGGACGAGGATTTCGAGGGGAAGGTCGGTCCGCAGCACGAGGAGTCCGAGTCAGATTCTCAGAGGATCAGTGAAGTGACGGGTGACGAGCGGCTGGAGGGATAATTTTGGGAAAGCTGGGACGGTCTGCAACGGTACGGTACACAAGTGAGTGGTGAACTGCGGCGGAGCGATGCACTGTCTAATGCACTGTAACGACCGCCACCGTGAGCGGGTGAGCGGGAGGGAGGCGATTTGACTAGTTGCATTTGTGGTGGCGGCAGGTAACGTTAGTGGCTTCCAGTGGCCCTGCCCCTCTAACAGTCGGCAGCCCCTAAAATTCACAATTACAGTGCCATTGCTCTACAAACGCCAGCCAGCAGGTGACACTGCTCGTCAGTCATTGCCCAGCAGTGGAACGAGCAAGGCACCTGTCGAGCCATTTTGACAACTGTTGCCATCATGGATATTCATACACTTGATCAAGGTTTGGGAAGATCGCAAAGAAAAAAAAAAGGGGGATGCCTAGGATAATAAACCGCGGAACAATCAACCACCCCCCCCCGGAACAGAACCCGAGGGGAAGCGACATTGTCCTCGTGGCTGCATGTTCCAGGGCCAGTCTGCGTGGAATGAAGCTGGCGACGGGATGGATGGATAACTTCGTAGTGGGTGGCCCGCTAGAAGAGGAGAACCGAGCCGGCGCTGCCCAGCCTCCTGGCCTGCCCTGACAGTGGCTTGTGCCTGCTCGAGAGAAAGGAGGAGATTGGAAAAATGATTGAACTAATAATAGGAAAGACGCAGCTAAATATCTTGTCACTTTTTATTGCCATTTTTGCTGGCCTTGATGTTCTGTCCTGTCGCTAGCCAGCCTTGTTTTATGTGCCGATTGTGGAAGCACCTACAAACTATGTACATACATAACTACTGTGTAAAACGCGAAACGCACTGTACCGTGCATTGCCAGCGATGTACTGTGATGTGCCGCCTTCTAAGGCACGCCACGTCTCCGCGGATTCCCTGCATAAAAGGCGCAGCAATATTGCCCATGTTGCTATTAAGGTTGTGCCATTTTTGCTGGATTTTTTCCCTCTTCGCCCTTCTTCTCTATAAAGATAACTCTTTCCGTTCGTTGCCTTGTCGATGCTGACGCACAGGGCAAGGTAGTTGGCGGCGCCGTTGGCCCAGGAGGCACCAAGCAAGTCTGCCAGCGTACACAAAGGAAAGAAAGAAAAAACAACGAAAAAAAAAAAAGGAAGACAAAAACAAGACAAAAGAGAAACAGACCGGAAACACTGCTGCAGGTCCTGTGCACAAATGGACTAGAAACTTAGCTAGATGCCTCTTTCTTCACGATCGTTAATATTGAAGGGAGTTGTGGAGTCTGTCTGAGGGATCTTGGCAGCACAGTTCACAATGACGGATAGACTTGCGGACACAGCATCCCCTTGGCCCCCCCCCCCCAAAACTACCAGCTGACTTGACAGGAACACGCCAAAAAGGTACAGAAAATAACACACACCACCTTCTGATACGCTGCCCATTACTATTTATTAAGAACTCGGCAAGTTCGTTGGGCTTCGCACAGAGTGCAGCCTTGGCTCCCGACGGGATCCCCTCCTCTCCGCCCGCCTCTTCTTGGCCCTATCAACTTGCGGGTAGTCGAAAGGGCACATCATACGTGGCAAGTCCCTGCAAAGCAACGAAGAATATAAAATTTACAATTTTATGCACAGGTGATCGTTTTCGATAAACCAGTAGCTCAGACCCTGTGCACAAGGCTACGGCCCAAGGAAAAACAAGCACATGTTACTACGCTCCAAAATAGAAACCACGGTACCCGGTGGGTAGTTTGTACCAACATTGAGAAGATTGCTCCATTATAATCCTAGAAGATTATCTATTCTTGTCGTTCCTTTACGCAGCCTTGGCGGCCTGGCCCTCGTCAGGAATCTTGTCAAACTTCTCCTGCTTCTCGACAAACAGCTGCTTCGCCTTCCTCAGCATCGCCATGATCAGCTTCTCGTCGGTGCCCAGCTCCTTGAAGCCCACCACCTCGTTGTGTCTCGGGATTGCCTTGATGCGCTCCTCGCTGAGCTCCAGGATCAGGCCAATGTACGCCATCGACTCGGGCGCGATCTTGAGCGGCGGGATGCTCGGGTGCGTCATGAACTTCTCCTCCGCCTTGGTCGGCACGTCGCCCTCCAGCTGCGCGGCCCTGATGTGCTTCTGCGAGTCGAAGACGCGGCCAAACTTGAGCGCCAGGAGCACCTGCAGCTCCTTGACGGCCTTGTCGTCCGAGGTCGGCCAGAGCTTGGACATCTTCTCCTCGGTGGTGCTGCCGCGGAGGAGCATGGACATCTGCAGCGTGTGGTGCAGCGCGTAAAAGTCGACGTCATCCTGCTTCATGTCGGGCACGCGCGACTTGATGAACTCGCCGGGGTGCAGCGTCAGCTTCTCAATGTCCAGCATGCCCTGGGACTGCCCGAGGACATAGGCGATGTCGAACAGCTGAGGCAGAGGCAGCGGATTCTTCTGCAGATGATCAGTGATTTTGGTGAGGTCGCGGATGGTAGCTGGCCTCAGGTCGTTGCCCGTAGGGGGGGTGGGCGTGTAGTGATAGATAGTTTCGCTGGACTGGAAGTGGGCGATGGTTTCCTTGTTGAACTCCTCCGCCATCTTCTGGACCGAGAGATCCGTCCCCTGCTTGATGCGCTGGGGCAGCTGCAGCAGAAATTCTCGCTGCCTGCTGACAATCTTGGGCGTGATCTCCGCCTTGATCTGATCGGTGACGTTCAAGAGCACGGCGTCGATCTGCTTGTTGTCCGCCTTGGTGTTCGTCTTAGCAGCATCTTGCACGGTTGCCTTGGCGGCCGCGATAAGGTCGGCGGCGTCGGACAGAACAGCCATGCTGTCCTGAAGCATGGTACCGTTCAGCTTGTCTCGGAATCTCCTGTTGCGCGGCGCCAGCGAGCTCTCCGAGTAGTAGTACGTGTAGACCCGGTCGTCAAGAAGCTTTCTCCATGCTGCGTCGCGAGTTTCCTGCACCTCGGTCGGCTCGGGGACCGCGTCCGTCTTGAACAGGCCGGCGATCATGCGGAAAGCCTGAACCACAAAGGCAAAGGGCGCAAGCGGGGTGACCATCAAGATGTCGGCCGTGATGCACATCATCTGGTCAATGATGTCGATGCCTTGCTTGGTCTTGGACTCAGCAATGGCGTTGAATCCGCAGCCGAGGAAGGGAATGAGGGCAGACAGGGCCGCGGCCTTCTGCCAGCCCGTGCTGTTGGAAGTGAAGGCGTCAGCGATTCCGACACCCCAGGCGAAGAGACCGGCACCCTCGAGAGCCAGCCCGACCTTGGAGATGGAAAAGTGCGGCGACTGCTCCGTGAGCGGCTTGTAGCCCAGGGCCCGGGTACGCGCATCCTTGACCTTGGTCAGCCCCCATTCGGCGGCCTTTTCGCTCAGCTTGCGAGAGGTGAAGAGGTCCTCGAAAACTTCCTCCGAGGCCTTGCGGGCCACCTCCACCTTCTCACCGGCTTTACCGCCGATACTCTCCTCAAGTCCAGTGCCCTCCTCGAGTCCAGCGCCCTCCTCGGAAGATCCGGTTCCTTCCTCGGAGGATCCGTTCCCTTCCTCTTCTGTCTGGCGACCGTTGAACTCTTCCTCGTCCTCGTCAGCTCCCAGGATGCATACCTCACCCTCGCCCTCGGCTCTCTTCTTGAGATCTGTCTCCTTGGGGTTGCACGGGGGGTCCACGTCCTCGTAGGGGTTCGGCACGCCGTCAGCACCGGCCTTGGTCGTCGTCTGCAGCTTGACGCAGGCCTCCGCCTTGGCGCAGACCATCTCGCTCACGAACTTCTTGAGGCTCTCCGAGGTCTTGGTGTTCTTGTGCGCCTTCCACGGCGCCTCGTTCCAGGCCGGGCTGTCCTTGGGGAAACCGGCTAGCTCCGGACGGCCGCCGCTCGCCTTTGTGTTCTGGTACTTGGCGGCCTCGTACTTGGGGTTGGGCGTGTACGCGTCGGACATGCCCCGGCCGAGCTCCTGGCGCAGCGCCTCGGAGACGGGTTCGCCGTTGAGCTTGTGCCCGTGCCGGCGCAGGTTCAGCCAGTCGCCCGGTCGGAGTGTGGCGTCCTTCTTGATCCAGCCGCGGATCTGCTCGAACGGGATGCTGCCCGCCGCCGCGAGCTCCGCCTCCTTGGCGAACTCGGGGGGCATGAACTTTCCGAGCGTCTCGGGGACGTTGATGAGCTTCGGGTCGGGAGCGATGACGTAGACGTAGCCCGAGGACCTGCCAAAGTCGCTGGCGGCGCCGGCGTCCATGGACGTCGACACGTAGCCGGTGTACTCCTTGGCGACCTTGACCGCGACGTGGCCGTAGATGCTGCTGCCCAGCTCCGCCTCCTCGGGGTTGATGGCCCGGGTAGGGGCGCGGGGGAAGAAGCCCTCTGCCACCTCGATGGCCTCGGGCTCTCGGGTCTCGCCGCGGTAGGCGACCAGCGGCTCGCCTTCCTGCTTGAAGGGGGGAAGTCTGTCCACGGTCTTCTTGAAGCCAACCTTCTTTCCCTTGGGGTAGCTCGCGGGGGGAGGCGCGGTGGACGACTCGCCACCGCTTGGACCCTTGCCGGGCTTGGGAGCCTTGCCGGGCTTCGGGGCCTTGCCGGGCTTGGAGCTGCTGCCGCCGCGTTCGGCCAGTTGGTTGAGGTGGCCGCCGGAAGCTGGATGTCCGTGGCCGAGGCCGAGAAAGAGGAAGAATGCTGCCAGGACAGTCAAAGACAGCCAGGAAATCCTGGACTGTCGAGTGGTGAAAACCCTCATGTTACGGGTGATGAACTGGGTTAAAAGAATGAATCGTAAAGAGAGGTTGTAAAAGAGTGTGTTTGCAAAAGAGTGTGTTTGCAAAAGAGCGAAAGGTAGAGCTTGTCAAGTACAAGGCTCAAGCAGGAGCTGTTGTCTTGTAAGTAACGAGTCTGATCCTAAAACGAATGACTGTCGACAACGGCAGGTCTTTATAAGTTTTCCGAGCAAAGCTTCTAGTCGGCCCAACACAATCATCGTGGAGGCGTGCGTGAAGGGCCGCATAGGATGACGGCTGTGCCTGGCCGTTGTTGACCACCGGAGCATGAATTGTTCTGGCAGCTGTCGACTGGAGCATGAATGACGATTGTACCTGACAGCTCGCTCACGGCGGGAACATGAATTACGACTCCAGCCATACGAATAGCCCGTCCTGTACTCTGCTCTGTTGCGCGGGGCGGAGAGTGAGGCCGAGAATACAGCCAGAACTCGCAACTCACAAGGGTCGCGTCGTTTAGATGATAAGATCAAGGATATAACGGCTACTTTTCATGCGTTTCCAAGGGATGCGTCTCTTCAACAGCGATGTCATGTCTTCTAGGCGCAGCATCAAGTCACGATGCCGACGTTGCTAAAGATATTCCTGGCCTGCATCGTGCCTTCTGGCATAAAGCAGCAACGAGAGACCGTGTCGTGTAAGTCAATGCAAGCAACGTTGAGGCGGAGCTTTGTCGTGTAAGCTCATGCGGCACCAGCACCGTCTCGAGGCTCCTCGCAACGGTGCCTGCAAGTTGCCCTGATGGCCGGTTCTTGGTTCTGGCGCTGCGGAACGGCCGGCGATGCCCTATGTAGCCCTGATGGCTGCGCTTGACTCGGGTGTGAGAACTGACGCCGGTTCCGTTCATTTGTCTATGAGCATCTATGTAGCCTGTGTGGCTGCGCCCTGACTCGGGCTTAGCGAGCAGGTGAGAGGAGAGAGGACAAAACAGGTACACCAATTGGCACGTCATTTAGTAGTAGGAACTATCTAGCGGCAGATGGCGTTTTTCTGCAATACCGTCGGAATACCTCTTATTTTTATTTTTCTACCTGCTATTACAAGGCTTTTATACGCGTTGTTAATAGCGCGTAGCGACGTTGGCTTGATGATTCAAGCGCCTTGACCTTGACAATGGCATCCCGCGAAGGTGTGCTCTGGCCTCTTTGTTTCTGTTGCTGTTTCTGTTGCTGTTTCACCGCACCTCGCCGTCAAGAACTTCCATACCGCCTGTCTATGTATACCTTTCCTTTATCTTGATCGCGCATATCTCGCAAATTCCCAGCCATCATTTTTAACCTAGGTAGCCAAGAACAGGAACGAGTCTGTCCACTAAGCCAGGCCGTAGTAGCCCAGCCTAGCAAGCCGTAAGGAGTCCATCATGAACTGAAGCCAACCATGCACACACGACTCAAGCAAAGAGGAATGAAACGCGCATCTATTTCCGAGAAACAAGATGAGGGGCCAACGGAAATTTCGCGGTATACGTTATCATTGCAGAATATTTCATCATTACGGAATATTTTGATCATTTCGGTATGTTTTATCCTTACAGTATCATTCTACTTTCCCCCACCCGCATCGCAGCCCCTCTGCATTTGTGTCGCAACGGACGTCTAGGCGACAAATCCATCTATCCCTGCTGTCCAAACAAAACGGCTTGGCAGAGACCAGCAGCGGCCTCTTCCGATTGATTCTTTGCATAGTCTTCACTTCGGTAGAGCCGAAGGTAGCCAAGCTGAAGACGGCCACAGAGCCGAGGTAGCTGAGTATCGATTTATTACCTGCCGCTGCCTGGCAGCCAGAGTGGCCGGCGCTGCTCCTCCGTAACAACCTTAGTCGTTCGCATCAAGTCCATCGGAACGTAGTAGAAATAGTTCCAAAAGCTTCGGCGATGAGTCTATATTGCTCTCTAATGATGAAAAAAAAAAATACCGCCATCTAAACAAAAGTACACCAGATGCCAGCACATGTCACCATGCACCCATCACCCGCATCCGAACCTGCAGCCTTGCCAGGCGTGTTCTCTTCACGCCCCGTCCCCCTCGACACTAATTCCCGCCTTTACAGCCCGCGGTTGAACCAAACCTTGCCTCCGTCGCCGCCCTTGCCGTGGAACTCGGGCTCCAGGTTGTCGGCGCTGATTTCCTGCTGCTGCGGGAACACGGCGAGCGCCAGCGGCAGTGCCGCAAACGACACCACCGTGATGAGGCCCAGGTTGAGGCCGATCGGCACCAGCATCGCCACGTTCGGCCGCGCCTGCACCCACGGCCGCGCCATCAGCCGCCGGTACCACGCCTGCTTCTCCTGCACGTGGTAGAGCACCATGGCCGGGATGATCATGATCGGGCTGTTGTTGAAGACGCGGCTCGCCGCCGTCTCGTACACGGCGAGCTTGGCCGCCTTGCGGCTGCGCCCCAGCGAAGGCACCGCGTCGCGCTCCGACCGGCCCTCCGCCTGCAGCTGCCGCTTGCGCTCCTCCGAAATGACCGGCCGCACGTCGATGCCCGTGGCAATCTCCCCGCGCCGCATGATGTACGCATTGAGCGCGCCGGCCGAGGCGACGGCCGCGAAGGGGATCAGTCGCCGCAGCACGCTGCGCGTCGACGGCGAGACGCGCAGACGCGGCACGAGCGCGTTGAGGCCGAGCGCGACGGAGCACGAGGCGGTCACGGCAATGCCGTAGGACTTGGCGAGCGTCGCGGTGGTCATCGGCGACGACTTGTTGGCGTTGGAGCTGTTGACGGCCACGTTGAGCGACTGGTTGGCCACCTGCCACCCGACGGTGCCCAGGGCGCCGAGGCCGGGCTGCAACATGCCGACCGTCACGACGAGGTTGGACAGGACGAACGAGGACATTCGGAAGGGCAGGAAAACGGGCTCGCCAGTATCTGCGTAAAAAGAAAAGTCACATTGTTAGCCGCGGGCGGGTTGGGGTTGTTGTTGGCTCAGGCGGTCTTGGTAGGCAACGCACCAGGGTGAAGGGTCGAGTCGACAATCTTTTTGGCGTTCCAGAGATCGGGCGTCATCTCCTTAATCTCGCCCGTCTTGTACTTTGTGACCAGCTGCTTGGCATTTTCGAGGCCCGCGTGTCCGGCGAAGAGCGTGCTGGTGGAGGGGCGCGCAAGTCAGTTAAACTGGCTCGTTTGTCGGGGTTGGCTGCAAGAGAAGCACGCTCCCTGCTCCCAGAGAAATGACGTACCTCGGGTCAGTCAGCGTAATGGCGTGCTGAACTCGGCCAAAGTACGTTGACAGATCGTACTGCGAGCGCGGCAGCTCGCGGTCGCCGGGGAGCGAGGCAGACATTTTTTTTCTTGATTCTTGTTCAACCCCCCCCGTCGAGTCAGCGGCAGCCAATCTGTCGACCTTTGTTTGTTCTTCGCCTCGGCGGTCGGGCGGCGGTTCGAATTGTCGAGCGCAAAAGTACTCGCGATGGCAATTGTTAGAGTCGTTGGCGGTCAAGGTAAATTTTCTGTTCTAGCGACGCTGAGTACTGGGACGAGCGAGAATAACTAGTCGCGGCGCTACCGATGTCGGATGTCAAATCTTGGTAGATTTTTTTACGCTGAGTGGTCTGGGGAAGAAGAACGGGGGTCATGTCATGGCGGGCGATGGTTGACTTAATGAGCACCTAATAAGCTCAAAGGATTCGGGGTGCACCAGCCTATCTGCATGCCCTCCTGCTTGACATGTGCAACCTTATATGCTGCAACATTAATTATTCGCCTCCTCTTCTCTCCTTTTCTCCGGGTTTGCCCTCCTCTTGCGGTGTGGAGGTAGTAAATGGCTTGCCTTGTAAATTTGCTTGTCACTGTATCCGAGCCCTCTTGTGACGGACAAGCCCGCAAAGCATCAACAACTTCGGACTAAACTCGTACAGTCATACACCTTTATTTTGTCTCAGACACTTCAGCAAAACAATGCAGTGCGCAAACAAATATTACCAGACAAGATTTTAGCAAAAATATAGTCACTATCGCAGAGCGTGCGACCACGCCAGGAGTCGAACCTGGAATCTCTAGAGAATATCGTCAAATGAGGACCGAAATCTAGCGCCTTAGCCATTAGGCCACGCGGCCGATGACCATGCTTACGAGGTAATGAGGCTCATCACCCTGACGAGAGGCAGGGAGAATCATCTACACGATCTTTGCGTATCTGCTTGCTACCTACAAAATAAAGATTGGCCCTAATATCTGCCTCGATAGCCTGGGATGCGCTTCGCGGAAACTCCCTCCTGAGCTTGCTATTTTCCCGTCGATAAAGATGATTCGATATCGACCTCCATGGCTATGCATGTTACTTGGCTTAGGCAGACCTTGCATATAGTTAGTGGTGAATTAAAGGTTAGGATAGGAAAACCAAGAAGAGCAAGATTTAAAACAGAGTAGAGTGGTGCATAGAGCAAATGGGTAGACTTTTTAAATAGCAACACTCCGTCCGTACAAGCGTTTTCTACTTCGATTTATCCCCGCACATTCTCAAGCGACTGCGCCGCAAACTCCCAAGTAAAGCGATCCCACCACAGCTTTTTGCCCTCACCATTCTGATTTCTCACACAGCTCAAGTGGCCCACCTGCGAGAACCCGAACTTCTCCAGCAGCTTCTTTGCGGGCGACGCCTGGCCTTCCATACGTGCCTCATACTCAACAAAAGCGCGCGCGTACTGTTGCGCATTCTTCGAGGCCAGCGGCTCGTAGACTTCGGCTGGATCATCACACTTCCACCTAAAGTCGATCAAGCTGCGATGAATGGGGGAGACAGACATAAGAATCCTGTCTAATAGTGCCGATCCATACTTCTTGTTCCTGTGGCCTGGGTGGACGAACAAGGTTATGTAGCAGGATTGGTCGACGCGGTCATGGTAGACGTCGAGGCCCGAGGACTTGCGCCGCAAAGCGAAAGCAAAGCCGACAATGACTGCCTTGGGCTCTATGGATCCGCGATACGCTACGTAGGCTTTGTAGGCGGTATCAGACCCAGCAGGCCATTTCGACTGGTCCAGAAGCTCGTCTTCGCTGGTTGCGACGATGAATGGCCACTGTTCTTCCTGGCATTTCTGGAGGTGCTCCGCAATGTCCTCACTTCTGATGCCAACAGATAACTTGCCACTGTTCTCATCCAGCCCGTTGTTTTCTCGTTCCAACTTGGCAATGTCCAATATTCCGCCAATGTCATCGTCTGTTGCGGGTCGAATCGTACAATGTGCCCTCGGAAAAGAGCTTTCTGCTTCTTCCGGTACAGGAGGAACTGGCTGCATTTCCTTGAGGCGCTGGCCGAGTCTCGCTCTGGCGCGGAGCTCCCTGCTGATCTGCATGCCCGAAGTCATGTTGCTTCGTCTCCAAGCAGGTTCAGATCGCAGATCAAAATCATGATTCAATTTACACTCAGGCTGCTCGATTTCGGGAATAAAAGCTCCGGTTTCGGGGTCAATCGCCAGGCAGTCGACAGAAGTGGCCGCCTTTGTGATTTCGTGTGGCATTGCTATTTCCACTGTCTCCATAAGCCAGGAGTGCACTGGCGTCCAAGGTGGCCTAGCAAAAGGCGGCTCGACTTTGGGGGAAGAGTCCATTTTGCACGAGATTTTGTCTTCCTCATCCTGGCCTACCGAAACCTCTTTGGGAAGTGCTGCAGCATGACCCTCAGCGATGGCGCTTACGCTCCAAGACGAAAGTGAGTCCTTTGCGTTGGGTGTTGTGTTGTCATCTTGGATAGCCCTTTCTTGAATTTCCCCTTTCTCGGTCGATCCCGAAGCCCTTTCCTTTGCTTCATCGACGGGCAAGACCGATTCGGGGTCTTGAGCCGGGGTCCCGATCTTGCTCTCGTTTTGCGTTAGATCTTCAGCTGGGATAGAGTCGGCCGATGGAACCTCCAGAGAGGGGTTTGATTTGAAGTTGGCGTTGTCACCTGTTGGTTTGATAGTTAGATCAATAGTTTTGAGGGTGTGGATGACGCCGATAGTGATGATGTTGATCCAATGAGCAAGGAATATGGACAAACCTGTGCCGTTGACCCCTTCGATAGTCAAATCGGGGCATTTCCCAGCATGCTTTTCCGGGTCGTCTAGAACCCAATCAAGCAGTCCAGACGGGAAATTCTCCGATACGTACTCGCTGGCCTGCACATCGACTGCTGACCACTCCTGCACGGCGGCTAACGTAGCGGTCATAACTGCTGGGTAAACTGACAGAAAGGTATCCAACAATAATTCAAGGGCGCTCTAGAGGATGAATGGAGAAAATTAAAGGATTCCTTCTTTTTCGAAAGAGGGAAGGGAAGGGGCAGAAAATAAAATAGATCAGACTTTTATCACCATGCCCGCTCCGTTTGCACACTCCGCTTGCACACTCCGTTTGCACGCCTGCAGCTGGTAACACTCGGTCACCGCCAAGGTACGTGGGCTGGCAGCTGGCGGGGAGTAATGAAACAATATCATGCCATCAAACACTTGGAATTTCAAAAGCTTAGTACAGATATCTTTTCAAGGTTCTGGAAGTCGACTAGTGTCGATAATGCCAGTCATGCAGCATGTTCACTTGAAGCATCGCCAGCCAGTTTGACGGCGTGCGCACACGTGTCTGTGTGTCTAATGGGATAGTAATGAAAGGACAAATGCGCTAGAAGGAATACTGAAATATGCTTCAATTCTTTTAAACACGCTCAAATGCAATGGTTTGTTACTATCACGTCGGCAGTTGAGTACGTACAACTTGCCCGGAGCCAAAGGGCTCCACCCCTATGCCAGAGGCACATCATTTTGACTCCTTCACCCCAAACTGCGTAATTACCATCTCCAAGCGCGTCGCTCTCTGGAATAAAAGAATACCACGGCTCGCATCTAGTTGGAGAAAAGGACCCGGCCGCACCATGCTGTCGATTCTGCGAAAAGCGAGGCTCAAGGACAAGGAGATGCGGATTCTTATGCTGTGAGTCGTTGGTGAGATGCTATCAGTAGGCAGCATGGACAGCTAATCCAGTGTCGTCCAGTGGACTCGACAATGCAGGAAAGACGACTATTGTCAAGAAGATTCTGAACGAAGATGTCCACACAGTTAGCCCAACGTTGGGGTTCATCATTAAGACAATAGACTACGACGGGTGAGTTGCGCGCTGGCTGATTGCCACTGAGGCTGGTTTTGCTAACTTCTGACTGTGTTGCTTGCAGATACAAGCTCAATATTTGTCAGTCCCTCGCGAACCCTGCCGCGATCGGGCCGGTTTTTGCTGATGAGATTTACTAGGGGACGTCGGCGGACAAAAGACACTACGGTCCTACTGGCGAAACTACTTTGAGAAGACGGACGCGCTGATCTGGGTGGTGGACTCTACGGACCGGCTGCGCATCGACGACTGCAGAGAGGAGCTCCACGGGCTGCTGCAGGAAGAGGTAGGTGTCCCACCCGCCAGGGAAGGAGGCGAGATTAAGGGCAGAAAGAAACTGACGACGCTGCCAGCGGTTGGCGGGCGCGTGCCTGCTTATCTTTGCAAACAAGACGGACGTGGACGGGTGCATGACGGAGGCGGAGATCCTACAGGTAGGTGGCAGCGAGACAGAGAGAGAGTAAAGGGGCTAACAAGAAGTATAAACAGTCGCTCCGCTTGGACGAGATTCGAACGCACCAGTGGCACATTCTCCAGTGCAGTGCCATGACGGGGAGAAACCTGAAGGAGGGGCTTGCGTGGGTGGTGGAGGACGCGAAGAAGAGGTTGTTTCTGTACTAGCGAGGATAGAAGCAATGAACTATGGTGAGAGCCATGCCATATACACATCGAATATATAGAGGGAAGACTAATAAGTGATGCGATTGGATGGCTTGACGGCTGTGCGAACCATCCGAGGCCCGGTGCTGTAGATGGTAGTGGGCATGACGTGCATTCAAGTACATATAAAGTCGACAGTGACGATGCAATAGTTTAAAACTATTGGACGCAACAGCAGGATCGGGCCAATCGGAGAGAAGCTGGCGAGTAAAGGAGACGCGGAAGACGGAATATGATAGAAGAGGAAGTGGTAAGAGGGCGATGATTCGCGGACGCGTTGCGGGTGGGCATTTGTTTTCCTGGGTTTGTTTACAGCTGAATGGGGGCTTAATGGATGAGCTAACAGAAGCTACTTGTCGTGGTGGGTGTGTGTAGCCTTTTGACCGTGAATAAATATGAAGAGAAAGAAACTGGCAAGTGTGAAAGGATTTTGTGTAGTGTGAGAGTGGAATGTCGATGAACGTTGAAGTATTTACGGCAGGGAGAATCTTGGGTTAATAAATTGAAAGGCCCTACCTAGGGCGGCCAGACTTCGTGGCCAAGCTTCCATGTATGTATACGCTCAATGCCGGGCGAAACGACTTGTGTTTAGCGGGCGACAAGTACCTGCTCTTAGCGGCAACGGGCACTGTGGGGACCCAGGAACGCCCGAAGACGCGCCAAAAGGCTTAAAAGCTGTCCGCTAGAAGCTGTGCCAGGTCGTGGTATCTGCTCTGTACCTACCTCGTGACGCTCAATCAAGGTAACGCGGCTAGTACCTAATTTAGGTGCAGTGTACTTTGGCCGAGCGTGTACCTATGTATGTATGTCGCCGCCTGATCCAGAAGTGCGACTTCTTTTTCGCCCTTTTTTCCCCTTCTTGAGGTTAGATTTTTCTTTCACAGACAACAAATAGTGCTTCCCCTGGAGGGCAGACTGCAAAAAGTTGGCCGCAGCTTACGATCCCCCCCGACAGTCGCTACGGAACAAATACGAGCAGTGTGCTTGCCATGTCCTGGGTACATTGACGGCTTGCCGACGAAACAAGACAAGCACCAACCCTGGACCGACGCCGGCCGCTGCCAAAGAAGCAGACAACATGTCGGACGAAGTGTCCCAGTTTCTAGAACAGGTCGAGCAGCTGCGTGGCAAGCAGATTGAGGACGACCAGCTCAGGGCCCGCGAGCACGAGGAGTTTATGGCAGCCAAGCGAGAGCGCCAGGCCAGACGAGAAGGTGAGTCTGTCGTCACCCATTGCTGCGTCGGGGTCCAATTCCGAGGGTTGGAAGGTATGCTTCCAGTCAGGGTTGCACAAGGGAAACAAAAAGAGGACGATTCGAAAGAGAGAAGTGAAACGGCATCCTCAAGAGATCAAGTAGTACAGGCAGGCCAACCGCAAGTGATGGCTCGCCCGGCTGGCAGCTGGCAGAAAACACGCCGCCCCTCCCCTCAAACCCGTCGTCATCAAACAGAGCACCCTAGTCCACATAACAATCACAACAAGACGGGAAAAAGACAAGTCAAAAACGCACAGTCCAGCTAACCAAAATATCCTCAATTGCTGCAGAACGCGCAAGGTCCATCTCGCCGCAAAAGTCTTCGCCCGCCAACACCCCGTCCCCGCGCGCCAATGCCCGCGCCTTCAATCTTTCAGACTCGCTCAAGCTCGACTCCCCCCTCACCCTTGACGACGCCTTCGAACACTCGGTCGAACCACCACATGGTATGGGATACTCGGGCTCGCCCACCAAGGAGAACGAGGCACCAATTGGCGCCCAAGTGAAGCAGGACGCCTCCTCCGCCTCCGCCTCAGCCGGCTTGCCCTCCAGATCCTCGACATTGTCCTGGCAACAGCGACAGCCCAACTCACGCGGCGGCACCGCTTCGCGTCCGCTCAGCATGGTGGCAGCGCAGAATGCTACGCAGCGCGGTGTCGCCCGTATGCACGAGCCGCAGTCGCCTGTTGCCGCTCCCGAGCACCAGACACTCACGAGAGAGGATATTGCTAAGAGCCTAGGCCTAAAGGATCCCTCGTGGTTTCGCCAGACGGCTGATCGCGGTCAAGGCTCTGCTGCTCTCAGAAAGAACCAGGTCGAGGATGGCGATACTATGGATATGTCGTCTGTCAAGGCCGAGCTGCCTGGCATGTCAGGTCTTCAAAAGGAGTCTGTGGTGAACCCTTCCTCTGGAAGCCGCCTTGCGTCTCCGCTGCCACTGAACCCTCCAGCATTCGACGGGCTGGCGGATAGGCACGGTGAGGCAGACTTGCCCAGTGGCCGAAGTTCGCCTACACGCTCCGGCTCCCCTACAAAAGGCTTGGGTGGGTTTGTCCAGAGTGCCATGATGAGAAGAAGCGACAGCATTAAGCGGTGGAGTGTTGCTAGTCCTCCAGGTTTGAGCCGTGTCGATTCGGTCTCGGGTAACATTGGCAGCGGCAGGGAAGCAGCCAGAGGTAGTCCACGATCGCGAAGCGCAATCAGAGAATTAACTACGCCGGAATCTAGCCAGTCTACATCACGGGGCGGAATCAAAGAAGAAAGCTCGCTACCCGATCATTCGAGCCAAGGAGCCCTGGACCGCGAACCGAGCGATTTGAAGATCCCCACCAGCCCTTCCAAAACCATGGACTCGAGACGATGGAGCCCGACCAAGTCGAGCTGGCTGGACAGCGCCCTGAATCGACCTGAGTCCCCTCGACCGCAGCACAAGTCCAACCAGTCACAACCCGATTGGATGTCGGAGCTCGCCCGTAGCAAGGCCGCAAGCCCCAGCGGCGAAGGTAGCCGTCCGAGTTCGCCTCACAAACACCAAGTCAGCATCGGTGGACTCATGCGGACGACACCGTTCGACGGAGGCGCGAAAACCAACACGACCGGCCTCGGAGGCATATACTCACCACCACCGGGCGGGAACAGACCGCAATTTGGCCACGCCTCTAAGTCGAGTTTTTCTACTCCCGCAACAGAGCGGCCGCCTTCAAGCCTCGAAGCCGAGGTTCCTTACACGCCTACTCAGCGAGCCATCAAGCCAAAATCTATTCCAGACGCCAATCCAGACATGACCGAAGACGTGCACTCTGAGCCCAACCGAGAATCCGAACCAGCGCCCAACCCGGGACCTGTGAAACGGCTAACAGTGGCCTCTCCCCCGGCCTCCAAGCCCAAGCCCACAACACCCCCTAAAAAAGACTTTCGCTCGGGCTTGAAACCTCGTCCCATTGACACAGATGCAAAAGCATCTGAAGAGCCGGAGTTCAGAAATGCCCTTGGCAATCTACGCCGTACAAAAACCCAGAATTACGTCGCTCCCGATGAGTTTAAGGGGAACATCCTTCGCGGAAAGGCTGCCCTTGCCGTAACTGGTGGCCCGCAAAAGACGGAAAGAAGGGATGAATTCAAGGACTCGATTCTCAAAAAGCGCGAAGACTTCAAAAAGGCGCAAACTGATGGGAGAGGTGTCACACGAAACCCGACAGCCGCTTCAGCACCCACGGCGTTACCAGAAGGTCTAGCCAGGAGAGCCGAGCTCGGCAAGGGCGGTTCTGTCCGTGGCAACAACCCCGTCGCTGGGCCCTCCGCCGCCGCAGCCAAGAAACCAGAGCCATTTAAACCAGTACCAGCACCGAAGAGAGCCCCTAGCAACGCTCTCTCTGCCGCTGGAAACAATGAAGCCGTTGACAAGCCTCGTCGCGCTTCCACCGAGCCTCAGAGAAAGGCCAGTGGAGCCGAAGCCCGTCGCGTGCCCAGCATGAAGAAGGAAAACACGGCTCCATCGAGCCTGCAGCAAGGGCGCCCTGGGACTGGGAAGCTGGCAGACCGTTTCAACCCCGGTCTCGCCAACATGCTTGCGCGCGGCCCACCTCCAATGGCATCAAATGGCGGCCAAAGCTCTGAAGCTGATAAGGGGCCGGCCGCCGGTGCGGTAGCTGAACCCTCTGCTCCCGGTCCGCAATTAACACATATGACAAAGGGCAGAGCTCGTGGGCCGAAGAGAAGGGCGCCCACTTCCAGTACCAACGCAAAGGCCGGTCCGGAACCTTCTATTCACCGGTCGACCAATGTAGAGCAGACAATCCAGCCTGAGTTAAAGAGTGAGGAAGCTGAAGTTGCGGTGCCCGAACCTGAGGAAAAGACCGCCCAATCTGTTCAGGAGCAAGTTGCCGCCATGGCAGCGGCCCGCAGCAAACCACCACCGCAGCGCCCCTGGGAAGCAGCTGCAAACAAAGCGAACGCTGACGCTAGCTCGTCGCCCAAGACACCACTGCAGAAGTCTTTTGTCAACTCAAGCTCCAGTTCGGTTACTTCGCCATCACAAAACCTTGGTACAGGAAGGGGCAGCGTTGCGGAGAAGAGGCAGTCCAGACCGCTGAGCGCCAACCGTCTTTCTACGTTTGTAGAGAATGCTGAGCAGAACTCTGGCCAACACAGCCTCTCCCCAAAAACTGTCACTTCGCCGCAGTTCACGTCTTCGTCCAAGACTGTTTCCCCACCCAAGGCCGAAACACCATCAAAGCCAGCGCCATCGCCTCGGTCCGTCACGTCGCCCAAGTTTGCTTCCTCACAACCAACCTCAACAAGTACCCCTTCGTCTGCCTCTTTTTCACCTACGAAGCCTACCACTCCTCGGGAGAAGCAGACGGAAAGACAGTTTGTATCTCCTGCTCAGGCCATGCCCTCTCGAACGTTTGGTACCATTGGCCCAGGCTCACCCAGGCCGACACTGCATGGTCCTCGCCCACAGGCCGAGTCTTCACGCCCAAAGTCGCGACACGGTCGCCCTCTTTCTAGCGCGGGCTTATCTTCTGCGGCAGCCTCTGCGCCAGGATCGCCCATGCCGTCGCCGACCAAGCAGCCAGGCGAGATCACCACAATATTTAAAGACTTCTTCGGACCGCCACGCCCAAGGAAGGATTTTAAGGTTGACACGGGTGAAGTACTAATGAAGCACTCTGAGTCGGGAAGTAAGATTCAGTCCCAGGAGGTTCAGATGTATCGGCTGTCAGGAGATGGAAAGAAGACGCCCGTGTCGTCACAAAATGAGCGGGTCCTTTTCGATGGCGAAATGTACATTTGCGCTCACAGTTTCAAGAATGCAGCTGGTTCGGGCTCTATTGAGCTGTACTTCTGGGTTGGTGACGATGTCCCCGACGCTATGGCGCAAGATGCCCAAATCTTTGCCCAAAGAGAAGCCAAGGCCATTGGTGGTAGACTCATGAAGTTGTACCAGGGCAAAGAAACCAGTGAGTTCATGCAAGCCCTAGGCGGCGTCATTATCGTTCGACGCGGCACCAGCAACCGCTTCGATAGTCTGGCTCCGCACATGCTATGTGGTCGCAGATATCTTGGGCAGGTAGCCTTTGATGAAGTGGACATGAGCACCTCTAGCCTCTGTGCAGGATTTCCGTTCATCGTTTCGCACAGCGGAAAGTGCTGTCTGTGGAAAGGCAAAGGTAGTGATGTAGACGAGCTGAGCGCTGCCCGACTGGTTGGTATGGAGAACACCATTTCTGGCGAGCTCTTGGAGCTGGAGGAGGGCAACGAGCCGGACTCGTTCTGGCAGCTGTTCGAAGAAGGCCAAGCCAAGTCACACTCTGCCGATCACTGGCGCCTCAAGCCCAGCTATAGCAAGTACGGCAGCAGGCTATTCTGCTCAGACGCCGATGCTCGCCGCCAGGTAGGATTGACGCGGCTGTGGATGCGCAGACAACGCTAACAATGGAGCAGATTACGGAGATTACCCCCTTTAACCAGACCGACTTGTCGCCTCTGAAGATTTACGTTCTGGACGCTTTTTTCGAAATGTACGTCGTTGTCGGCTCCGGCGCGCAGTCGCAGTACTCGTCGTTCCGCAACGCTCTCGACTTTGCGCAAGAGTACGCGATCCTGTCGGCGAGCATGGAGGACCGGCCGTTTGTGCCCGTCTCGACGATTGTGCTAGAGGGCATCCCGCGCGACCTAAAGCGCGTGTTCCGCAAGTGGGAGGACGCGCGCAGCCCGACGGTGACCAACACGTACGCGGGGCTTAAGCGCGGTCGCAGCCTGCGGGTTGTGCCACTGTCGCAGGCGTTGCAGGCGCTGAACGAGTAACTGTCTCGCTTCTTCCAGGGGCATAGAAGAGGATGTTGATATCTAGACGACGGAGATGGTCAGGGTGGAAGTACATTATATTTGGCTGTCCTTTGTTTTTTACTTGTCACTTTTTTATTTTTCTTCCAGCATGTTTATATGTGTACATGAGATACTCATTAGAAGAGCAAAAGAGATTAATGCATGAAAACAGGTGCGCACTGTCTGAGGCCGCGGATGTAGCAAAATGGCCATGGCGAGAGTCAGATACCTCTAGTGCCACGGGCAAGTAAGAGAGATTGTGGCCCTTGGCCCTGCTACCTCGGAGGAATTCAGTCAGCTAAGGATTCATTCGTCTCCGGGGGCTGCGGTGAGTAGAGCATGGCGACCGCTTAGGAAGTTGAGTGCTATTTTCTAGGTAGCTCTATAAAATTTGGGGGGTATCAGCCATGTTAAGAAAATGGTGTCGCTTTTTCTGTTTGTCTCTCCGTTTCCGTCATCGTTCCTTCTTTCCCCCTTCTTTTCTTTGTTTCACTCTCGTGAGTATGTGTGTGTGCGCATGTATATACAAACGTTTGCGTTTATTTGATGCTTCTTCTCCAATAGGCCCAAAACAATGCAACTCTCAAGGGGCAATAGAATGCTGTAGGATGATGAGTCTCCGGTTCGTATGAAATACGACTTGTGCTGCGTCATTGTGACATCGTCTGTGTCATCCGCTTTCGAGAACCGGGCAGCGCTTTGCCTTTTTGTTTAGTTCCTCACGTCGACTCCCGAAGACTTGGCCGAGGATGGGTTGGCGGGGACGGCGATGGGCTGGCCGCGGGCCTCTGCGGTGAGGGTGACGAGCTCCTTGAGCATGAGTTCGCGAGTGGTGCGGGCGAGCTCGTCGACATCGGCTGAAGTGAGACCCTTGGTGGGGATAGGGTCGAGAACTGCATGGAATAAGTCAGCAGGGGTAATTCTGATGGCAAGACACGGGAAGTTTGTGCTGCGCCTACCTTTGATAGGCACAGTGCCGGCGTTGAACCTGTATTCTTTGGGGTAGAGGAGGTGGCTGTAGTTGGCGACGACGCAAGGGACAATGGGGACGCCGGCCTGGACGGCAAGATGGAACGCGCCCTTCTTGAACGGCAGCAGCGTCGGTTCCTTGGTGTAGCTGCGCGTCCCCTCGGGGAACATGTAGACGCTCTGCCGCCGCGCCTTGATCTCGTCGGCGGCGCCCTGCATCGCCTGGCGGGCGTCCTTGCTGTTGGAGCGGTCGATGAAGATGGAGCCGCTGAGCGACATGAACCAGCCGAGGAAGGGGATGTGCTTGAGCGAGCGCTTTGCGGTGACGCTGCAGTACTTGGGGAAGACGGCGCCAAGCATAAGGACGTCGAGCTCGGTCTGGTGGTTGCCGATGAAGACGGCGGGCCGGGTGGTGCCGAGCACGTCGGCCGGGTCCTGAACGACGAAGGAGGAGCCGGTGGTGAGGCGCGCCGAGTAGAGGAAAGCGCGGGCGGTCGCCCACTGCGCAATGTTTTGGTGGCCGAGAAGGGTGAGGACGATCGAGGAGACGACGCCGAAGACGGCGGAGCCGAAGAAGGTGGCGTACATGGCGAGGCAGCGCGCGAAGAAGCCGGCGCGCGGGACGACGAAGGACAGCATGAAGAGAGCGGATGTAAGGGCGCAGTAGGCGACGAAGCCGGTGACGGCGTAGTAGAGGACGGCGCTCATTGTTGAGGGGCTGAGGAGGAGGAGGGAAATCGGCGGGAAGCTCTGCGAGGAGAGAAGAGGGACAACGGCTGGCACTGGCGTCCTTGTCAGCGGCTTCCCATGCGGCAAATCCGGTATCGAGAGTCTGCTGAGGTGGTCGAGTATAGCGGAGGTGTAACGAGAGATGTCAGTAAAGGAACAGCGGCGGGCACAGGACGGAGGGAGGGGAGAGAGGAATGTGACGACGAAGCAGAGATGGGGATAGTAGAATGGTAAAATGCAGCCGGAAGCCCCGCGTGGCGCCGGCGTGGGGTCTGTGGCTCTCACAGGCACAGGCAAGGGTTTGCACCAGTAAATTTAGCGACGTTTCTTATGTACTGTATGTAAATTATTAGGCCCAAGCTAGGGAGGCTGCAGCGGTCATGGAGGCCCGCTTTTGTTGAGATGCAGTTGGAGACCTCGGCAGCATGGGGATGGCATTCCATGATGTGGGTTGAATTACTGCCAATTTGCGCTTCCAAATCTGAAAAAGACAGATGAATTACATGAGAAAATATTGAGAAATTAGACACTAAATACCGTCGCTTGCATGCCAAGACGCGGCAGTAATAAGAGCATTAAGCCAGACATGACCTCATCTCATTGGAAGCATGTGCAGGTACCCCGGTACAGGGCTTGTTGGGGAAGTGGTGGCCCCTTTTAGGCACTTTAGCGGATCAGATGGCGCTAGAATACCTTGGCCTCCAGTGGGTGGTGTTAGATTATGTAGGTTGGTTTCTGCGCTTACACGTGCCAGCGCATCACGACCGACTTTGGTACATACTGTAGATGCACCATGCTGCATCATCCAATCCTGCACTCTTCACATTGTTTCGATATTGAAGCCCCATTCATAAGACACCCAACATATGACAATTGTTTTCACCTTTTAGAGACCTCCTTCTTCACAGGCCTTTGCGTAGTCAGCAAATGATGGTTGTTGGCTGCGATAGTCGCCTACTCTACCAAAATTTGCCTTTCGCCAATGTATCCAGTGCCTAACTCTCTCAAAAAAAAAAAAAGTCTGCGGCCTCGAATATCATGGGTATTCATCGCGCTGTTCAATCTGTTTAGCAGTATCTTAGCAATGCGCGGCGTTGAATACTGACTAGCCACATCCCCTTCTTACCATGCTGTTACCAGCCACAGTCAGTACCTTTACGGCCAAGCCACCGTAACTGCCGAACCTTCCTTGCTTGACGTCGACCCTTCCATCACCATCATCAACACCACATCGTTCCTCTGGCATACACTCGCTCATCTTCGCCCTCCATCTGCATCTCTGCTCACTCGAGCAGGAGCTGCAGCCGCCACACTCGCTACCCGTACCATGCCATACTCCTCATGCCGTTGAATCAGTCGCTTGCCGCAGCCGCCCCGAGTGACCTGCATCTCTCGTCCCACCATGGCATCCGCGCGACGTCCCGCGCCGCCCTCGGCCTCGACCTCGACCTCCGCCGCTGTTGCCGGCCTCCCGCCACTCTCCGCCCTCTTCCTCATCAACTTTGACGTCAAGGCCGGCTACACCATCGTCTGGAAGCGGGCCGCCGCCCCGTCCATCGAGCTCGAGGGTCTCGTCGAGTACAAGTCGCTACCCTCGGGTCTGCACACCGTCCCGGACGACCTCATCTACTTTGTCCACGATGACCGCCACGCCGGCCTCAGCGCCTTCGTCAATGAGCCCACCGACGAGGAGGGCCTGCGCAATGCCCGCATGATTGCCGTCGGCGTCCTCGTCCCTTTGAGCTACGGACGCCTCGGCCGCGCCTGGCGCCACGCAGAGAACCTCAAAAATATGGCAGCGTACGTGAGGCAGAAGGCTTCTACTATGTCTGTGCCAGCATTGGCGATAACACTAACCTTCTCTTCAGAAAACTAGCCAAGGATTCCTCGCAGACGAAGCTCCTCGAACAATACTGGGACCAGCACCAGGCCTCACCCGACGGTGGTCGCAGGTCGCCCGTCCCCAGCCTGCCCGCTTCGCCGATTCAAGACCGCCAAAGACACAAGCGCAATAGATCTGCCTCCGACGGCGCCGCTCTATCAGCCGAGCCTGCTGAACATAAGCTCTCTACATACCACCCTGCTTGGAGCCTCGCGATTCTGCTCGACACCTTTGGGCCCCTGGTCTTTCCCATATATCGCGCTGCCTTGTTACGGAAGCGCATCCTGATTTCATGCCATGCCCCTGTTCACCAGATGTGTGATTTCGGTACGTTGACGCCACTCTTTATAACATAGACACCAGCTCACAGGCCTTAGTATATAATCTCTCTGTTCTGTCAAACATACCTCTCTCCGTCGCCGACGATCTCCCTTCCTCTTCCGCCTCTATCCGTCTGCGACCGCTCTTCACGATAGGCGTACACGATATTCCCTTCTTAATAGAAGACCAAAAGGCCGCCAAACGCCAGCGCCTCAACCCAGACGCCGACGACGAGTCGGGCTGTGGCTGGATTGCTTGTACTACTGACAGCATCCTTGCCGTCAAGGACACGCTCTGGGACATGCTCATCACCATGCCGCCAGAGCACACGACCAGCACAAAGGACCGGGCTTGGCCTGTCGTAGAGTGTCCGCGCGGCGTACCGATTAAAGCAACCCAGCGTGATCTGAGACGTTTCAATGCGCTGCGTGCTGGCCTCACGCAGCTAGTCGCTATCGATGAACACAATGCGCAGCGCCCAGGCTCGCACGCCTCTGATCGGTCTCCTGTCAGGCTCTCCACCAGCCACTCGGCCCGTCTGATACGGGACGAGGGCGACGAGTCCATGGACCCCATCGTCGAGCCCCAGAGCTGGTCCGCCCTCGCCTATAACGGCTTCATGTGGTGGGCCAGCGCCGGTGAGCAGATCCGCTCCGAGGAGCAGGAGGAGTCGGCACGCGACGCCGCCCTCCTCGCCGACCTCGGCGGCGGCCCTTCGATGCACGCGCCGCCGCAGTCGCCGTCCCGTGCCGCTAACCTCTCGCTCGCTAACTCCATCGCCTCGCTCGCTCGTCACGACGCCTCTTCTGATGGCGACGCTACCGTCGAACTCGCTATCATTGCCTACTTTCACCGGCTAACTACTCAAATCGTCTCCGTGTTCGCCGACATCGTCGATAGCGTCGACGATGACGGTGCGTACCCGCCCGACGACCCCGAGCGCTACACCGACGGGGAGGACGAGACAGACCTTTTGATGCCCGCCGGTGGGGAGACCAGAGCCGACACAGCGAGAGAAGAAGAAGACGACGACCGATGTGAGCCGGTCAAGGTTGACAGCCACGCCATGGAGAGCATGGGCCTCGACGTCTGGAGTGCCACCGACGCCGCATTTGTCCAGGAGCTGGCGAGGCGCTACTTTGCCCGCGACGCGACGATTGAGACCAAGGGCGTCGAAGTGTGTGGCGTGCGCGTGTGTTGAACACATCAGTTCATTGTCGGTTCGTCTCTATATTACATCCAGGCAGGTCTTCGTCCTTATGTATCCCCTTTTCTTTGCTGTATTTTTTTCTTCTTTCCTTCAAAGTGTATTCAAATTATTGGCTCCAATTGTTTTCTAGACGAGATTCTTAAGCTTCCATAATCACAAAGATGTGCATACTTTTTCATCTCTTTTCACCCTATTACGATGCTGCGAGGTAGTTTTGGAGTAGGAAATGTGCCATTTTAATCCTCTCTGTTAATGACATCTCTCTACGTTGCTGGCTTCTCACAGCCGCAGAAAAGTAAAAAATCCCGTCCAAGCATTAACAACGAGTAATTCCTGACAAAAACGGAACAAACAAAATATGACAAAAACAAATCATCCATTCTACCATTTTCTAAATCCCCCCATCCACTCAACACGCATGCAGGACTAACATCTATGACTCGTCTTCTGTGTCTGTGTTGGTATCGCTCGTGTCGTTGGCGTCGTCGTCTGTGCCGCTCTCTTCGTCCGAGTCCTCCTCTTCCTGCTTCTGCTGCTGCTTTCGTCTCGTCCCTTGGGGAGCCTGCCCGGTCTTCATGGCGTGCATCTGTCCAGCGATTGAATCTACAAAAACGTTCAGTTAGCTCACAGTTTCCCTCATGGTGTGCGAAAAACGAAGGACTTACCCTCTTCAGGCTCGCTGATCTCGTCCTCGGCCTCCATCTCCGCCGCCTTGCTCGCATCATCCACGACGAGCGTCACCTCCATCTTGGTGTCGAACCCAACGTACGCGTCGCATACGACGTGCAGGACAAAGGTGTAGTGGCCAGCCTGGGGCGGTGCGGCAAACTGGGCCTTGAGGGTCTGCATGGCAAAGGTTGGGCGGCCGGTGGCCGGGTCGAGGATAGGCTGGTCAAACTTGTCGAAGAGGAAGGGCGGCACGGCGAGCTTGCCCTGCTTGGAGTCGCTGAGGAAGGCGTACCACTTGGGCGCGCACTCTCGGGCGTAGTGGGGGGCGAAGACGAGGGGCGGCGAGACGGGGTTCGACTCGACGGACACTGGCGCGCCATCGGGGCCCTTAACCGTGCGTTGGCGGCGGCCCGTGAGCGAGTCAAGGTCGTCCTCTGCCGGGTCCACGTCTTCGAGGTCGAGCTCGTTGATGGGGGGCGCGTCGCCCGCGGCGCCGGGCGGCACGAAGCGGCCCTTGATGACGAGGCTGACGAGCGACGACGGCACGATGCAGCGTTCGCCGGTGACCTTGAAGAAGGCCTTGGCGACGCGAAAGTATGGGATCTGCTTCCCGAGAGCGATGGTGGTCTGGTACTGCGCCTCGGTGAGACGTCCCTTGCCGACGGCGAGCTGCCGGCGCTGCGCGTCGGGCAGGTCCATGAACTGCTGCACGGTCATGTGAGCCTTGGCACCACCCTCGACCTCGGTGGCGATGCGGGGCGTGAAGTGCGGAAGCTGCAGCAGTGGCGAGGCCTTGGGAGGGATGGCCTGGATGAGGTGCTGGTTGGCGTGGAAGGAGCCGGCGATGGGACCGATGTTGCCGTAGGCGAGCGCGATGGCGGCGAAGGACTGGTTAAGGGTGCGCGCGATGGGGACAATCTCGTACATGGCACGGGTGAGGGCTGCATCGTCGAGCTCGACGCGGCCGAGGTAGGCCCAGAGCAGGGCGAGGGTCTTGCGGCGGACGCCGCTGTCAAGGTCCTCGAGCCGCTGCTTATCGCGGAGTCTGAAACCAGCGGCGAACGGTGTAGTGTCACCAGACGCACCAATGCGAGCCTCCACCTTGGCGAGCCCAGACTCGGCGAGGTCGCCGCGCAGCACCTGCTCGTACTCCTTGCCGGCGGAGAGGGCAGCGATAATGCCGCCCTCATCCATGGACTCGTCGTACTGGCGGAACAGGTTGTTGGCGCTCTCCATGAGCACTCCCTCCTTGGAGCGGCGAATCGTGCCGTACCACCAGGAGCCGACGAGGTACGGCAGCAGGACGCCGAGTAGGCCGGTGTAGAGGAGCACGAGGTACTTGCCGTTGCCATCGGAGATGATCCACTGCGGCAGGGCGATGCCGATGCTGAAGCTCTGCTTGCCGTCGGGGTGGCCGAACTGGATATAGTTGTTGCGCACATCCTCGTCGGTGAGGGCCTGGTAGGCCTTTGTGAGCTCAACGTAGTGGTCGTTGAGCGACTCGACCGTCTCGTTCTTGGCGGGGTCGGGGCGGACCTTGTCGGGATGGAACTTGACGGAGAGCTTCTTGTAGTGGGATTTGATTTGTTTTTCCGTTAAGGACTGCGCGAGGAACAAATGTAAGTAACTGAGTGACCTTGCATGGAATCCTTCTCCCCTATCCGCTTTTACGTACCTCTGAGATGCCGAGAATGTCGTAAGGGTTCCAAATCTTGTTGATAACTGGCTGGGTCGTCATGATCAGGTATGCCATGGCGGCCATGAGAGCCCAGCCGGCGATTGCCACAAGGGCGCGCTTGACGCGGCGCTGTTTGCGCTTCTGCGCGGCGCGTAGTGCGTCGACGACGTCGGCATGATTGTGCTTGTAGTCGGTCTGGATTGCGCCTGCCTTGTCGTCGGCGTCTGCGCCGCCGCGGAGCAGCGAGTAGGTGAGGGGGAGCGTCACAAGGCCGGAGAGGGTAAGGATGAAGAAGGGGAAGAATTGGGCCTGTGCAAATGTTAACCGATGTTCTGCGTGTCCGCCAGAATCCCAACTCGTGGGATCCGTGAGCGTGACGGGGCTCTGGGCTTACCTCGTTGTCGTATGAGTAGTCGGAACTCATCTTGGCAGAATGCCGGCCTTGGCCAGGCCTGGACGATCAACTTTGGTGAGAGAGCGGTGCGGCGAGGTGCCAATGGGGGCGGACGGCTCGCTGGCGTTTGGAGTATCCCGAATTCGAGTTCGAGGGGTCGCGGGCAGACGCGGGAGTCTGTCTGGGTATTCTATCGTTCAAGGGAACTGAATAAGGCGCCGGCAAAGCGCAATCGAGCAGCGTTCAAAAAGGGGGAGAAAAAAGAAAGAAAGCAGCGGGTGTATAGCTGACGAGCTAAAAGAAAAGGAATAATGTCAGATTCTGGACAAAGTGTCACGAACAAGAACTCGGTCCCCGTTCTCAGGCCAGAACTACTAAGGTGGTGCTTTCGAGAAGGCCAGCTAACAAGGTTCAGCAGTTGGTGTTAGGCGATCGGATTGCAATTATCCGTGGTCTTGCCGGGGCCTTCCCCACAGCGGTACACAATGCCGCCACCGTGTTCTCAAGCACCATAATGCTGGGGTGGCGTCAGGCGATTTTATTTGCGGAGTGCCTCTGTAGTTAGGTACGGTTTTAATTGATTAGTGGTTTCGGTTGGATCTGATGGATCGTATGGCAGATTCCAGAAAGTGTCAGTGTGATAGTCCGGCCAAGCAGACGCCTCACTGCGCTTCACCCAGCAGCCCATGGTGCTCGCCCGTTTGTCCTCTGCCTCAGCCACACACAGATCCGATCTTGTGGCTGCGAGAGCACATGTCCATCCGAAGAACGCATGTCAAGATAATCAGGTGTTTATCGTATTGCACAGGTTCAGTTACCTTGAAGGATGTTATTATTGCTATACTTGCATAATGATTCTCGCTACCCAATTCAGCGCCAAACCAGACACTGTATGCTCAATCTATTTTCAAAAAGCAATGTCAATCTTGCCATGGTTACTTGCTCCCTTCACCCTTTCACCTCTTCCGAATAAACAACCCTCCACCTCCCTCCGCTGCATCTCCCTTATCATCCTCTATTACAACCTCTTCATCCAAATCCGTCGTCATCTCCTCCTCCGTCGTGCCACCACCACCACCCACCATCTCACCTACCAGTATACTCCGCAAATCATCCTCACTCAGTATCCGCTCCAGACTTCCCCGTCTCACCCACGGCCGCGACTCCGTCCGCCCGCGGTCCACCATCCGCTCCACCTTGAGCCTGTTGCCCACAAACTGCAGCGCCGGGAATGCGCCCTGCCGGCCCTCGTGCAGCATCCGGGCCAGCCGCCCGGCATCCGGGTCCGACAGGATCCGCCAAAAGTCCGACGCCACCGCCGCCGGCCACAGCGTCACCGTCCCGCTAAACTCCTGCAACCACAGCTGGCTCCAGTCCTGCCCGAGCGGCCGCGGCAGCAGCTCCGCGTGCCGCACGAACCGCAGCCACTTGTGCATGTCCAGCTTCAGGTAGTGCTCCGTCGCCGACATGAGGAAGCCTCCTCGCCACCCACGGCCCTTGCGGTGCGTCACCGGGTTTCCCACCCGGCCCCGTGACGAGAAGAAGAACAGGTTCACGTGCGGGTTCACCTGGCTCACGATCGTAAAGTTGACGTTGAAGTGCGTGTTGAGCGCCTTGATCGGAATGTCCGTCCGCAGGCTGCCGTCTTTCCACTTGTGCCCAAATGAGTACGGCGCCAGCGTCCCGTCCCGCTTCTTCATCATTAGCACCACCGGGTTCAAAATCCCCGGCACCGCTGCCGACGCCAGGACCGCCGACCAGATGACGCAGTCCGGGCTCGTTAGGTAGTTGCACAGAATCGTCGGTGAGTGCGGGTCTGCCGGCACGCAGCTGACGTTGAGGATCCGGCCCGTCCGCTCGTACGCCTCGCGAAACGTCATCGAGCCTCGAGTCCACCAGCTGCACTGCGCCGCCCACGACACCGAGTCGAACCGCGCACCCGTCTTCCACCAGCGCGGGAACCATGTAGTGAAACCCTCCGAGCACGCGTTGATCTGCGATGCCAGTGCCGGCACTAGTAGCTTCTTCAGTTCTTCGTTCGTCCGCGTTGCGACGAGGCCGGCGATGAGAGCGCCGCCGCTCGTACCCGTAATGACATCAGGCAACAGGTCCGCGTCCAGGAGCGCCCGAACGAGACCGAAGTGGTAGTACGCAAAGCTCGCGCCGCCAGACAGGCAGAGCGCCGTCCTTCCAAAGTTGGCTTGGACGTGCTTGAACAGGACTCTCTTTTCCTCCAAAGTAAGCTGTTTCGTCTTGAGCAGGAACTTCAACGTCCTCTCCACTATACCAACTGTAAGCGCATGTATCCCATTAAACAAGAATAGACTTACCCTCGTCAACAAAATTCTGCACCAGATTCTTCGTTCCGTAGTATGTCTGGCTATACAGCTTTGGGTTGTCAATGCCCACAAAGTTATTCTTGACGCAAGCCTCTGTCAGCGCCTTGAGCTCCTCCACCGCGCGAATTCCCTCACTACCACCACCACCACTGCCGTTGCCAGACTTGGTCGCCAGATAATCGTTTTCCTCCCTCTCCGCCTTGGCTCGCGTCTTCTTCATCTGGTCCCAGACGCGCTTGACTGTCTTGCTGTCGTAGTACGCAAAGTCATTCTCCTCGCGCCACGACTTGCGGCCGAGGAACCCGTCCAGCGCCCGCGCCGCGCGGACCCAGTCCTCGTACGTCGTGGCGCCGCGCAGCTCACGCCGCAGGCCCTCGCGCCGCCCGCGCCACGTGAAGAGCTGCTCGTAGACTACGATGTAGAAGCGCGTGAGCAGGTAGAGCACCGAGAGCACCAGCAGCCAGCCGACGACGAATAGCAGCAGTGGCCACTTGGCCAGCATGTACAGGTACCCGTCGCGCGTCTCGTCCTTGCTGCGCGTGCCCAGCAGGCCCTCCACGGCCTGCTTCGCCCGTCGGCGCTTCTTCTTCGGGACAGCCGCAGGTTTCCGCCTGCTCGTGCGGTAGAAGCGCGAGCTGATGGGCGCCCAGTCGTTTTGCGCCGTCACAAACGTGCCGTGCCCGCCTGGCGCAGGCGAAGACTCCAGTCCACCGAGCGCCACGTCTTCGTTGGTGTTGAAATCGCCGTTCGCAGCGGCGGCCGCTGCCGCTGTCGCCAGGGCGCTACTGTTATCAGCGTCGTCGTCGAGCCCGGCGCCGAGGCTGTGCGAGTCGCGTCGCGTGATGCTAAAGGAGCCGGGGCTCTTTGGCGACCGCAGAGCGTCAAATGAGCCGTTCTTCTGCTGCTGCGCTAGATTTTGCGCCGGTGCGGCATTTTGGTCGGGTGCCTGCAGCGCCGCCTCAAAGGCAGCAATGTCGGCGGGCGAGATGAACTCGTGGCTCGAATCGGGCAAGCGTGCGACGTCAAACGCCTCGGGCGGGAATCCGTAGTTGGGCGCCAGTGAAGGAAATGAAGGCGTCTTCGATGTCGTCTTGGAGGGCGCTGCCCCCTTCTCCCTTTCTTTGCCAAGCATGGCTGTCTCGTTTCCCGCCAGGCGAGGCCGATCGTTCAAATCATGGCAAGATTGTTGAGGTGTAGGGAGAGTTGTCGCCGAGTAAGATTGCTGCAGAGATGGTTTTATGCGCTTTAGTAGTATGAGGTGAGTAAATTGATGAAATAACGAAAACGAGGAAAGAGGCTGTCTTGCAGGCCGGGTGATGAGTGACGTGGTGTAGCAGCTGGATTGCCCTCCATGACGTCTGGTGACATAACGTTCTGTTGGGGAAGCTCCCACACTGGGCGGGTCCATCTCGGCAGTCGCACAGCGACCCCATAGCACGGCCAGCCGGCACAACTCTCTGGGACAATCTCGTCATCATTACTGAGTTCGAAATCGCATTTCCATAGAATTGAATAAGCTGTGACTCTTCGTGACACTTGATATCCAAGTGTTTTTCACAGATGGACATCAGAAATTCATATGCACGTGCTAAACGCGGCATAGCATTGGTTCCAGTATTAATATAGGATTCTTTTTACTACCAAACTTCGCCGAACGGGAATGCAGAGTCTCATAAAACATTTCTTAATTGCACAAGCGCGGCTCTCTTTCCCTTCACGCCTCCGCCGTCTCGCCCTTAAACGTACTGGGAAAGCCAGCGAATGCCGTCGCCGTAGCCCTGCCGCATGACTACTGAGCACATGAATACCTCAATCGGGCGGATGCCCTCCAGAGGCACCTTGCCCTTGCCGGTCGTCTGATACAGCCCGAGCTCGTGGCGGAGCCTGTCCTCGGGCACGGCGCTCGGGTGGTCAATCTTGTTGCCGAGAATGACAAAGGGCACCTTCGCAAGCTCCTCCATCGCGAGAAGCGCGTCGAGCTCGGCCTTGGCCTCAGCGAAGCGCTCCTCATCCTTGGCGTCGACAAGGAAGACGACGCCGTTGACCTCGGGGAAATAGTCTCTCCAGATGCGACGGGCTGTAGTGTGTCGTGACAAGCTGCTGTTAGCGATTCGCTCGTGGTCCGAGAGGCGGCGCAGAAAAGAGAGCGTCATTGGGGTTATCGGTCATACCTTGGGGGTGGCCACCGAGATCGAATGTGGTGAATCGTACATTGCCGATCGCGAGTTCCTCGGAGGCTGTAGAATGCAGTGTTAGCTACCTCCTCCCGACTGCGGTCGAGCGAGCCGTGGCAACTTACTAGGATGGAGAGTGGGCTGCAAAACCGCAACACGGTCGTTCTAGAATCATCCCCGAATCAGTACGCTGTACTCTGGCGCGAATTCCTGCATCGCTCGGCGGCTCTGGTCCAGCGCTTTCAGGCCGCCGTCGCGTGGGCGGATCGCTTCGAGGAAACCCGCGCTCCGGCGAGCATCGTTCATCTCACCTTCAGCATGTGCAGGAGGGTCGTCTTTCCGGCATTGTCGAGACCGAGGAACAGAAGCTTGGCATGCTTGTTGAGCAGACCGAGCGACGACAGGACGTCGTAGACTATTTCATCGTTTGCCCGCGCGTGTCAGTTTAACAATGAAAGAATTACGAAAGGGGCGCGGCAACGGGCGAAGCATCGGGAGATGACGTCCACGCCGAAGAGATTAAAACAAGAAACATGAAAACATACACCAGTTCACAATCCACATGTTGTCGAGTGTTATAAGGCAGTATTTGTATCGGTGTTGTGGCGAAGGGATGTTGCTGGGCCTAGGATGGATACGTGGTGGTTGAGTATGGTTTGGCCTTTGACGTTGGGGCCTCGGAAGAATAGCGCGGATTATTTGGCCTCTGCCTTGCTCCGTACCTTATCATGCTAACACAAGTAGGTTATAGCACCTACTCAGAGCCTGCTGGGCAGCCTTTTAGCATCCAGTAGGCCCAATGTTTCTGCCTAGCCTTTCAGGCGACAAATAATCCACCACTTGTTTTGGGAATTCAGCCAACAGGCAGGTATATGACTGGCATTCTACTACGTCACTTCCAGTCGGAGCCATGTTTTGTTTTGAGCAGATGCACACTGATTGTTCCCATTGTTATGTTCACTCATATATTCATCATTCTAAAAGTTCTTCATGTGCCATTTTCGAGTATCCAAGCGAGGGTATGGAGTAAGGCAAAAACTGAATAATTTCTCGCTCGATATACACAATGTGTCCAAAAATATATGTACAAATTGGCTTCGCCGAGGGCGCCGGTATATTTAGAAAAAAAAGTATGTGCATGAAGATTGTCATAGCCAATAACAAAGCCAAAGAGAAATGGTAAGCAACCTGGTAGTGTATATGGTATCCAGTATCCAGCGCCGTGTGATGCAAATTGTATAAAACAAAAGAAATTGGCTTCGGCAAGACGCCATTAAAAGAGGTTAAACATAGGCAAGACGTATGCCTAGACAGATAGCACGTAGTTGCCAGGGTCCTTTTTACCTGCCATAAGCAAGCCGAGTTCCTTCATGCGCTCAGCGCCGCGGCCAGGTTGTGTCTTCCGCTCGGGGATCTGGCCACGTCGAGCCTTGTTGCAGTATTTCTGATTAAACTTCTCCTTGCGCCTCTGGCGCTTCTTTTCAAGTCCCTTGACAATATCAACTGCGCCGCGAACGTGAAGCTCATCGTCCTGCCGTTTCGGTGCGCGATGCTGCTTAATGCGGAACATGGCAGCTGGTCGCGGCAGCGACTTAGTATGGGTCACATCAGGACGTCCAGCAAGTTTGAATTGAACCGGCTCGCCCTGGCGTGGAGACTGGAGGGGTGTGGTGAGAGCCGGGGGAGCAGGGGAGCGCATGCGGCGGGGTGAGCGACGATCAAAGAGAGGCTTCGGAGAGCGAGCACGGGTTTTGGGGGCTGGTGAGAGGCGTCGCCGGGGTGGAGGGGAGTGATATTTGCGAGGCGAAGCCTGCTCACTCTTCCTGCGGCGGCGAGATCTGTCCTCGTGGTGGATGTCATCCATCTTGGCGGGCATCCAAGAAGCTTCTTCGCTGCCATTGCGATGATCGTCGTCATCGTCATCATTCTCAGGATCAGAGGTTGGGAAGCTAGGGTCGATATCCTGCGGAATGAGGCGCAGCTTCTCATTTCGGCGAGCAGCGAGGCAAGACAAGTAAGCCTCTTCCAGGGGTCGATCTTCGTCCAGAGTGCCGCAGACGAAGTCGGTGCTGTCCGGTAGATCATGCGCCTCATGATCCGAGTGAATATTGCGAGGCTTAGCGCGGCGGCCAGTCTTGCGACTGAGATTCGAGATGGTGGAGCAATCCGAAAACTGGGAAGCAGCTGACGGGCGGCGGGCGAGATTGGCACCGGAACTTGGGGCAGCGGCGTTGCCATGGCTTGGCGTCCAGAGAATCATGTTCTCATCCTCTTCGTCATCGTCCGAGTCAGCAAAGCCAGTTTCCTCATCGGTAGAGTAACCGTCGCAGTAATCGACATCATCATCATCGTCCTCGTCATCTTCATCCTCAGAGATGTCATATTGATCGTCCTCCTCCTCCTCCTCCTCGTCATCATCCTCATCCTCATCCTCATCCTCGTCCGCATTCTTGTCCTCATCTTCTTCAAGGAGGGCTTCCTCCTCGGCCTCATCAGCTAGACGGCGAAAGTTGAGTTCCTTGGCGAGAGTGTCATTGATAGTGAGCTTGGTGCGAATGGCGGAGTTGTTGTCCTGGCGAATCCAGTCATCTTCACGGGTAATGCCACTGGCAAATTCGTGAAACTGAGAGGAATCCTTGACGAGGTCCTTTGAGTTGGCGCGTAAAAATCTAGGCCTGGTGATCTGAGGGCCGTTAGAAAGACGGCGGACGGTAACAGGGCTGGCAGCCAAAGCAGCCGCAAGAGCCGAAGTCTTCCTTGGGGTAGACGGCGACTCCGTGGTGGGAAGCGAAGTGGATGCAAGCGTCGGCTCCGAGGCTCTCGGAGGCGTGTTTTGAGTCTCCGTAGGGCGAGGAGGGCAAGCAAAACGTATGCATGAGCGTCTTGGCTCCTGCGGTGCGATGACCTCCGCTGATGGAACCCGGTTGGCGGAAGCATCCAGTGGAGGTTTCGCAGCACAAGCAAACTGGATGCAGCGTTTGCGAGGTACCTCCTTGGGAGGTTCCTGGCCTTGCTCCCCAGTGGTGTGACCAGAAACAACAGCGTTAGGGCTGATACGAAAACCGTCTCGATTGAGACGTAGCATGGACATCTCGGGAATGGGCGGGCTCGGTGTGTTGGTACGGGAAGGGCTGGTCTGGCCGGTGTCGCTAGTTAGGTCGGCAGTAGAGGCGATGCTGACGGTGCTTGCCATGGAGCGACGACGCAGGCTCCCGGTGGTGAGTATGGATCGGGGAGGGTCACGGAAATCATCGTGATCCTGCTCCTTCAGCGCCTTGGTGAGGAGCGAGGGCTGCTCCGAAGGTCGTCGAATGGCAGCTCTCGGAAATTTCTGGGGTTTGGGATGGTGAAGCTTTAACTCGGGTGGTTCATCGAGGTCCTCGTCTTCTGTTGTTTGGGCGGCCCAGGTGGGCGCCTGCGAGACCGTGTCTGAGCTATTCATGGTGATATTTGCTGTCGTGCTTGGTGGTTGGTGATTGAAAGTAAGAAAAGGGGCGGTCGATCAACGACACAAGAATTCGCAATAGGCGTCTTTACTTGGTGTCAAGGAGCGTATGTTGGTGGTGCACGTCAAAAGCAAATCGCTTGTAACCGATGCGAGCAGATATTGGGTTGGTGATGCGTAGAGCAGACGAGACTTGTAAGCCAGTACAGTGCCTCTACCGACTTGAAAAAAAAGCCGAATGTTTTCCAAGTGCTGAAAAGTGTCCCTGAGGACTGTTGTGCTATAAGGCACAGACGGTCATCGTCAACTCAATAGCCAGTAGAAGAGGCAGTTATAAGGATTGTGGGAGAGAAGCGATGAAGGCTGCGAAGCCCAGCAGTCAACGGCAAGGCGCAGCAAGCACGACGAGATGATGACTCTTGAAGAATGAAGAATCAAAGGGTCGCCAGGAAGAGCTTAAGATGCAGATGCACTAAGGAATGCCGCTTTTGTCGTGGTTGGATGATGATGGTCGTCAGGGTAGAGGCGAAGGGCTTGGCGGCAATTGAGATGACGTTGAGCCGGGGCGAAGGATGACCCAGGAGTGGCGAGAGGAAGGGCGCGGAGGGTTGGCAGGTTGTTGGATGACTCCGTCGGTGGGTGGCTGTGGTGGTGGGCGAGAGGGGATATGCTTGCGCCTTGTAGGGACGTGGTAGGAGGCGAGGCGGTGGTAATAGTAGGCTGAGAGGGCGAACCGAGTAGTGTGGTGGGTGGTGGTCTTCTGCTTGTGCTTCTTGCAGGCGGGCCCCAAAACGGCAATAGCTTAAATCGATCTTGTCTCGGAGGCCTTGGCAGAGCGATGCAGGGGATGGAGTCGTCGAGGAATATCGTAGATGATGGGCAGAAATACAAAGAGATGAAGGTTGTCGGTTGTAGGAATGATGGGAATTCTAGAGTGGGAGGAAGGGAAAGGGAGAAAAAATAGTAGTAGAGGAGGAGCGGCAAACGGGTAAGAAGAGGACGAGTCGAGAGAGCGGGACAAGCGAGGCGAATGGGATGCTGGGTCTGGGAGGATATATTGGCTGTGGCGACCAGCGGCGGGCAGCAGCAAGCGGCCTGCAGCTGGCAAAGGCGGGCAGGCTGCCAGGCAGGGCTAGTGGACCGACTGGACTGGACCGGGCAGGTGGGAGGTGGCAGGTTCCAGTGTTTGAATGCGCATGCACTGTGCGCTGCGAGCCGGTGGATGCCAGTACACAAAAAGATGGAGGGTGGAGGGGGGTGGGAAAGGCAAAGAAAAATCAACTGATGATTTTCGTGGTAGTGATGTACTTGGATGATCCGTAGCCAGCTCACTAAAACAACAGGTACTGTCGTAAGTAAGCTGAATGTACTGAAATCATCCCGTTCCTCGGGACACAAATTGTTTAGTGGGTGAGTGGCACCACACAAGGGAAAGCAACGCTGCTGTTTCGGGCTTGGCTGGATCAACCAGAGGCCCCAGCGGCATCCACCCACAGTGCGTAGAATTTTTGTCTGCACCCGCCGCTAGGGGGAAGCCGGACTGCCACTGTATTACTCAGGCCACTGCGCTTTTTTCCAGTGAGGTCTGACTGCACTGGCCGAGAATACATGACAGCCGTAATAGGGCCTACCTGCCTTAGCCGCTTGCCGAGAATAAAATCTACTGAAAAGACAGTGACAATTGTTGATCGATTCTCTTCTCTTCTCTTCTTCCACAACTACTTTACACTTCAAGTTACCAAAACAGAGTTACCCAGCAAGTTGCAAGTCGCATACCGGTCCACAAGGGCCGTTTCTCTGGAACCGAGCCTCAAAGCGACGCGTCTTTCCAGAAAAACACTTTTCTGGCTGGTCCCATGGAAAATTGCGCTGTGGAGCCTTGCACCTGGTTGCAGGACTGGATCTACTGTGTGCTAGCCCGCCAAACTGTTTTTTTCCTTTTTGACTTTCTGTCCGAGTCAACGTTCGGTCTACCTTGCTCGGGTTAGCCGTATGCACAGTATCTAGCACGGTACAGCCTTGTGACGGTCAGCGCAGCGAACGCAAAAAAAGAAGGAGCGTCCCATAACAACTAATAAAAAGGTAGCAGCGATGCCCCAGAGGGATCTATTCGCGGCACGTGCGAGCACGCGGTTTCGGTGGCCGAGGCCCTCCGTTCTTACCACCAGTTCACTCGCACTGTGCGACAGGGCGGTGACTTCTTCGCCCTCCTCCACTGTAATCATCAGCCTCCAGGGAGAGTAGGCGGAGCAGTTGTAACGGAAGCTCACCGCCGTTCATCCTTTTCCTCATGCCTTCTCGGATGGATTTGTGCTAATAGTATTCGCGGCCTAGGCACAACCAATTCTTTCCGCCCACCATCGTACAAGATGCAAATGCCTCGCCTGGCCCACTGCCTGCCTGGGCCTGTCATTTCCAATACCTGCTACACCATTAGCCAACCAACCAGCCCTCTCGGGCCCTGCCCGTAACACCACTCGTCGACAGCAAACAGCCACAATCTACGGATACAGGGAACCAGTTCCTGCTGGTGGGCATCGATAGTTACTGTCGCATTGGTCATCTCATCTCCAGCCACCCTTCCCTATTGGTACAGCCCCTGGCACGGTAGCAGCCACGAGGCTATGTATGTACAGATCACTACCAGTGCGGTATCGACAGCGCTGCAAGACACGGCTGTTTGTCCAGCTTTTCAGGACATCCTAGGCGTTTACGCAGCTCAATTCTTGCAACAGGCACAAGGCCGAATTTGTTTCCTGCCGTGTCAATCTGCGTAGTACACAAGAGTCGAATCGAATCTCACGCTAGCCTAGAATGAGACACCACAAAGCTGCAGAAAAGCGTTCTAGCGAGTAAGACGTGCATGGGCTCAAGCAAGCCCGGTCCTGCATGTATCGGTATCTACAAAACACTGTACGGATATACAATCCTCTTTTGCATCATGGTCATGAACCTGTTTATTATTATCCACCAAAGTGCCCATCTTTATCCAGGGTGGCAAGATCGGCGCTTACCAGGGCATCCAGGGCAGCAATTAGCGACAAAGGGACAAGCCATTGTCTCGAAAAGCGGAAATTCAGCGAAGCGGCACAGGGCAAATTCAATTCAAGGGTTCTCCTCGTGGTGCTTCCTGATCCTCGGTCCCCTCCCCATTCATCCCAGATGCCCGCAGTCGACACAGAATTGTCCAATGGCAGCGACCGCAACATGCTGGCACTTCACGCCACAGTACGCTAACCATCGTCCTGCAACGCCAGCGACGTAACCATGGATCCGTTCTGGTAGCCTCGTCTTCTCTCTGCGAATGGTCGTCGCCAATAATGGGACCTGGCGGCAACCACTTGAGCCCATCACTGGAGGGTACATGGGAACTGGCCGTGTGCCAGCTAATGCACCCCAGCCTCGAACTCCTTCAGCAGGAAGCCAAAGGAGGCAGAATGACGACACATGAGCATCTGACACGCCGCTCCAGCGATGGTCAAGATGGGAAGATTGGCTCGTATTTCATTCCTACCAACATTACAGCTTGTTCATTCCTGATGGCAACAGCCAAGAGAGACGGTGTACCGAGTAATTCACACTAGCATGCCCAATATGCTCTTTCGCAGGCCAGAAGCAAGCAGGCCTTGTCTGGCGCAGTATCGCCAGTTTAGTTTTCTTTACGAAGCAGCCCAGGGATCTGGTCAAATATCAAATTACGCGTTGCGGTGAACCGTAACGCTACATGCGGCACAATAATGGTATTCGTGTCGCGCCACAGCATCATATGGAATCGACAAGCAAGCTTTGCAACAGTTTCCACCCCACGTTGATGCTTGGTACGCACAGAACCACCTCGCATTGCATGTACGGACATGCACGAGTCCATCCATACGGGATTGGGGTCTTGTCTCGCCTATTAACTACCAGGGTCTTCGTGTCTCGCATAGCGGGAATCGTACTGTAATCATAAGCTCAAGGGGACAATGCCGATACCAGGGTGTCAACGAAGGCTCAACTGAACCCTGTGTGCCACCGGAACTTCCAGAGCGCATACGACCAAGTCAAGAAACTGTGATGGCACCCGCGCGGTTGATCAAAGGCGCGAGACATGACGGTGACTGATGACTGATGTAAGATTGCGATAAGACAGTCAGATTTCAATGCTGTTGGACTACACACTTCCATTTTACGCTGCCCAACTCCACAGCCACGGCGAGGACAGCTGCTCTTTTGATGGTTGAGCAGGCCGAGAGCCTTGACATGTCGCTGTTTGGCGGGTACTCGCTGTACAGCATGTCGGCAGATAACTAGGGCAGGCAGGGCATGGAAAGCGTTTGGCCAAACCCCAATGCACAACTCGGTACTTCTGGGACACCGATTGTCACATATCAGCATTTCAGCCCCTTTGTGCGTTTGCGCCACGACTTGTACATAACCTCGGGTCGTATGCCGATAGACGCCTTCTCAAGAGGGGTGGTGGTGATGGTGGGAGCTGGGCTAGTCCAAGGGTCTTGGCGACGTCAGCGGTGAAGGTAGGTGCCAGTAATTCTTGTCGGGAGGGGCGCGCAAAGAAGAAGCGAAAATAATAATCAATGCCCATGGACAAAAAGCCAAAAAGGAGGGTTTGCCAAGCTCGATCGCTGCCTTAGTTAGCCTGGTGATTTCGGCGCGGCGCGCAAGCTGGGCGCAATAAAACATGGAGCCATGCAATGCCTGCACCGGCTGGTCTGTTTTTAGCTGGCGCGAATGGCATGAAAAAGGACAAGAGCTGCATGTCTGCAGAGGAGTGTGGTGGCAGTCAGCAAGTCGGTGGCTAATATATCTGGTGGTATTGGTCTTGGCTGGTAGCCTGGTACATGATGAGCGGCTCACCTGACCCTGCCCACGACACTCCTTTTTCGTTGGTTTTTCCAAAAAGAAAAGACGATTTCATATTTTTAAGGGGGGGCGGGCTTGAAACAATCAAGTATTACGATGACGATGCTGCCCTTCTTGGCGGCAAGTGGTGTACCCGGCTTTCCCCTTTTCTCGGCTCAACGTCTGGAAATGCCATCCACGGACGGACGGGTACTCGGGGCGTTCTTCTTGGCAGCTTGCTTGGCGGCGTGACAGTTGCAGAAAACTAGGAAATACGATAATGGTAAGACATTGTAACCAGGATCCCACGATCACGATGGGGGGATGGATGGATGGATGGCTGGCTGGCTGGCTGGCTGGCTGGCTGGCTGGCTGGCTGGCTGGCTGAGCTGAGCTGTAGGTTTCCGACTCTTTTTCCTGTCCAGCGAGCGAGGACGATTGAGCCGCGTGGGAAAGAATCAGACTAGCCTGTTTGTTTTTGTGCACAATCAAGTGATTCAAATAAAATTCCGAGTGGGTTTGTTTGTTGCGGCTTTTTTGTTCGTTTTTCGTCGTACCGGCCGAGCCCTAAACTATGTACATAAGTACATTAGTAGTTCACAGTGTTCTAGGCCACAGTGCAACAACACAGTCCGATGTTGCAAATCAGTAACCAGGGTAGCAGCAATTGCAGGTTGGTTATTTTAACCTTTTTTGAGGGGGGGGGGGGGGGGGGATGAAACAAAAAGTAGGCCGAAGAAGAAAAGCTTAATTCTTTTTTGCCTACTCTACCAGTACAAAGTTGAGTCTTACCGCGGATTTATACGACGAGGATGACGCATTAAAGCTCGAAATTTGACGTTTCAAAACATCATCTCTGTATATCAAAGAAAACCCGTTAAAAACTTAATTGCAGGAATGGCAAGCAGTCGATCCTGTTAGTGTGGCTTGTCGCGAGTCCTGTCATGGGAGTTTCAAAAAACTACGCCGTCCTTTTCGTCATGACGCCGAGTTTCGACTCCAATCAGTTGCCGTTCTTTCCTGTTCCTGTTTAGCTCATGATGTACTTTTTTTTTTGTTATTCATTTCTGCCCGCGGGTAATTTTTACCGTGTTTTTCTCCCTCGCGTTCCTTTTATTTTTATTCTTCTTTTGTTTAAATTCTTCTTTTATTTATATTCTATTTTTATTTTGATTCTACTTTTATTTTTATTCTGCTTTTATTTTTATCCTTCTTTTATTTTTATTGTCCCGAAACCCCATTGCAAGTCGCACAGCGCGATGAGGACAGAGTAGAGTGCAACGGTATCGGCATCATCCCATGGATCGCCCTTTTTGCTGGCAATTTCGAGTGTGAAAATCATTCATCATCATCAAATCTGCAGGTCTAGACTCACAGAGGGGACGCAGCTCGTATGCTGGCTGCCGTGCGCTGTTGCCGCACGCAGTCTTGTCTCCTTCCCAGCACAGCCTGCTCCGAGATGGGAGAACAAAGGCGCACAATTATGCACGGATCGTGGCTTGCGCCCAGGAATCTAACTACATCCCCCCCCTCCTACCTATGTTCTTCTCTCTCATCCCCTCACACTTGATGCACGACCCGCATAGCGTCGCTGCGACGTGGATTCTCAATCCCATTCCCCCTGTAACTAGCAACCCCCCC